ACTTTGCAGAATATCTTGATTTTTTTATTTAATATTTGCAATTTAACATTTTGTTTTATATATTTACTGATTCTTAGAGGTAATTTAAATTGTATATACTTCCCCGGAAATGAGTCATATTAATATCTGTTTTATAAACTAAAATAATATATACCTAATCTGAACTGCTTTTAATGAATAGGTGATGGATTGTTTAGTAAAATTGTTATATCGCTATTAAAAAAACCATTTTTATTTCCTTTATTTTATTCGAAAGTTGGACCATATCATAAGAATAGGAACTTTTTATATTAAAGTGCATTATTCCCTCTGCACAAATGAAATATGGAAAGGGCGAAGGTATAAATTCTTCTATGTAACTGGAATTGATTGTTAGTATTTGGTCTCAAAATGAGTGAAAACGCGAAATTGAACCCAAACATTGGAAAAATACATTAAGCGAACGACAGTGCCAAAATTTCGGAAAAGAAAACAAGGATCAGTATCCATTATATGGCTAAACGAATATACAGTAGACAGATGAACAGAATATTTCAAGATGCTGCTAAAAGAGGGTAAAAATGCTTGATGGGTTTGGATGATGTTAAGCAGGTTTATTATGGTGAAGAACACTTTATCAGCAAGAAAGATTTGCTCTAAGCAATTGGCAAGCAGGTCTGGAGGAAGTAAACGAGGTTGATAATGATGTTGATGTAATGTAAGGTATAATGTTGATAATGTTGATGTAAACCACTTTATTATAGATTGCTATTGAAGTTGTACATTGGGACTATCTTCCCTTTGAAGCAAGTTATACAGAGGTCTATTGATAAAAGGAAATAGCTCTGCTCCTCTTTAGTGCAATTGCAAAAGATTTTTGAATGAATCTGAAAGGAAAACGAGCTTTTGTGAAAGACTAGTAGATATTCGATCAATCCAAAGTGTGAGGCACTAAGCAGATAGAGAACCATTTTTCTTTCTCTGTGGACTTCTCTATAACCTACCTTAAAGTGAAGACAGTCCCAATTTGCAACTTATGCTCCAATGTGCAACTTGAGTTTCTCAATCCATATCGCTCAGGCAATCGACAATATTTCTAATTTTAGCTTATACGATTCTTGAGTAGACTTTCTTTGGTACTATAAACAGTAAGGAATCTCGAATAACATTTCCTAGTATCTCATTTCCTGCAAAGGGACAAAACTACAGTCCTTTCATATAATTTTCTAATACATTTGTAGCCTTTGTACGCACAGCATTTCAGGTTACTTCGTCCAGACCAGGTGACTTGCCAATTGCCTAGAACAAATCTTTCTTGCTGATGAAATGGTCTTCACCATAATAAACCTGCTTAATATCATCCAAACTGATCAAGCATTTTTACCCCCATTTAGCAGAATCTTGAAATATTCTGTTCATTTGTCTACTATATATTCGTTTAGCTATATAATGGATACTGATCCTTGTTTTCTTTTCCGAAATTTTGGCACTGAAATACCAACAATCAGTTCCAGTTACATAGAAGAACTTATAGCTTCGCCCTTTCCATATTTCATTTGTGCAGAGGGAATAATGCACTTTAATATTAAAAGTTCCTATTTTTTATGATATGGTCCAACTTCCGAATAAAATAAAGGAAATAAAAATGGTTTTTTTAATAGCGATATATGAATTTTACTAAACAATCCATCACCTATTCATTAAAAGTAGTTCAGATTAGATATATATTACTTTAGTTTATAAAACAGATATTAATTTGACTCATTTCCAGGGAAGTATATACAATTTAAATTACCTCCAAGAATCAGTAAATATATAAAACAAAATGTTAAATTGCAAACATTAAATAAAAAAAATCAAGATATTCTGCAAAGTATTTTTGAATTAAGTTTTATTATTATAATTTTATAATAGAGGCGTTCTTAAGCGATCTCCGTATAGAATAAAAGAAGTTAAATTTAAAAAAAAAATAATGAAAAAAAAAACAAAAATAATAAATTAATAAAAAAAGTTTTTTTACAATTAAATTATTGTATTAACATTTGTTCGTTAATATAATGAATAAAATATAACAAAAACGTTATTATAGCACTATAACTAAGCCATTTATGAGTACTGAGTGGTGTGGTAGAGGCCTGTAGGCACCCACGCCAGTAGCGCTTTTCTGCCGCTTAAGTACATTTTATACGGAACTACTTCAAATATTTTAAAAAGTAATCAGTGTTTTAGAAAGAGAAATGTATTCTCCAGATGTTTTGTTTCAGCACGTTTTGCATTATTGTTGACCGTTTAATTACAAACGACTCTTGATTTTCAACTTGAAAATTTTTTTGTAAAAAAAATTGACTTTACCGATTTTTTTTAATACCTAAGCCAATTAGTTTTTAATATTTTTTCATGTTTTATTATTCTCTGACTATCTAGCTTTAATAAAAGACCAACTATGATGAAATTAAGCCAAATGCTGATTCTCAGTAACAAAAAAACTAACTAAAGTCAAAGTCGTCAATCCGCCATGTTTGGACGCCATTTTGGGGCAGTTCGTTCACTTTTTTTTGTGGGAACATTGGCTTTTTTCTAATAAATTGTCACAAGAAACACAACGATATGCAATTTATAGGGATGTGGGGGGGGGTGCACGGTATGGGGGTCTTGCCCACAGACTATAGGCACTTCCTGCGATCCCCATTCCATCAAAATAGTTGACAATTCGGTATGTAGGTGACGTTTACTAGGCAGAACAATACCAGAAACTGTAGTGTAAATTTTGCCCAATTTGCAGTTTTTCATGTTTACCCTTGTTTCGAGAAAAAAATTCGCATCTCTAGAAAAAGAAATTTGAGTGTTGACATTTTTTAAAATTATTTTGGTGTTGCTTAAGTACCTTTTTGAGATTGTAACTAATTTTTCTCTCACCTTCAGCCATTTTTTGGTGTTTTTTAATGTTGTGTACTTCACTAGTCCTTCCAAATTGAGTTAGTTGGTTTAAAATTTGTATGTAGGTTGAATTTGTTTAAATTAATGGTAAGATTCTTGTTTTTCTTTGTTAGATCACCAGTGACTCATACCATCTCCTTTACCACCATAAATGTACATATCAAATATTTGTACACAGGAATCGGAATATATAATATAATCAAGGGTTTAACTGTATAATTTTTGTATCCTATAAATAAACTTCATTCATATTGCTTTTCATGAAGTTAGAAGTTTTTTTTTTTAATTATGAAAAACACTTTAACTTAATTTAATCTGTTTGTTGTTCAAAGAGTCTAGTCTGTGATTCTATTCAAAGAAATCAGCCATAATCAATCCAGTGTCTTCACAAACTATGACCCATATTAGGTTTTAGGACAGGTGTTTTAACGTAATGTGGTTATTCACTGCTCTTTTGATTTTGATAACAATTCTTGAATATTATTTGGTTGCAAAGATTCAACTTTATTGAATCACTAATATTTTGTTAAATTATATATAATTCACCTAATACATATTTTAACTTACTAATTAATGTTATTCATACATTGATTTTATTTACTTTCATTTTAATATTTATAGAATTTTTGTAATTTGTAAATTGAAAACTTAAGTTGGATGTGATATGAAACAAATTTTATAAAATTGTTTTTTTCTTAGGAATAAAGGTGCTACATATATTAGTCATATGAAACTGGCAGTCCAATATTCTTAATAGAGTAATCCCATGATTTATCGCTAGATTGTATTTAATAGATCGTATTTTTAAAAAATTAACTTTCTCTGTGACTCCATGTAGAACAATTGTTAGTCATTAATTTCAATAAAAATAAATTTAACGAAATGTTAGGAACTAAACTTTATGATAATTATTACTCATTCAATAACATTACAACATGCTATATTACAGATTGACAATAAATACATTTAATTTTATTCAAAGATCTCCTCAAAGACTGAAACATTTTTGATGCATATACATACAGACCAACATATGGTCTGATATTTATAAGACACAATCATTTATCAATACTATCACATAAATAATTAATTGAATTTATTATAATGTTAAGTACCTATGGTAAAAATTAGGTCATTTTAAATAAATATAATATTTTCTTTTATAAAAAAAAAAAAAAACAAGTAATTTATTTGTGCATTTCATTGTGAATTTGGCATAAGAATTGAATTTTCAATCTCAAACTTAAATTCAAATCTAAAGATCTGTTAAGACACAATTGCATCAAGTACCAACCAAACAAGAAAAGTTATACAAGGACTAAATGCTTTTCTAACCTCACATTTATTTCCAACCTCAAAATCTTAAAAGCATCAACTAAACAGATTCTCTATAGCTTAACACCTTCACTGTAACTGAAGCTTTAAAAAATTCCAACTAGCCTTCTTAACATGACAAAGGGCAGTCATTTTGAACCTATCCTGACCACTACCATATGGTAAATCCACTAATCATTTTTTTCACTAGGCTGTAAGAATTACAACAAAAATCAATGGTTTTATTTCTTCAAGAATGTTTAGAAACATACAGTTCCTATTTTCCTTTATTTCAATAAATAGTAAGTTATTTTTAATGATAGAAAAATCTTTGAATACCACAGCCTAAAGTGGAAAAAAATGAGGGAGGTATCATTTCAAATTCAATATTTTTCATTCTAAGAATGTTTCTATTTATATTATTATAGAATAATCTGGAATTTCTAAATACCCTCCAAATGTTCCATAAAAAATTGGTTAATATATTAGGAAATTTATATTAAAATCTTATTCATAATGGTGTGGAGATGGTTTACCATACACATTGTAGTTCAAAATGTTGGAAAATGCAATAAACATACTATTATGTAATATAGTATTTTATATATTGACCGCAATCCCGATTTACTTCTTCTGGAAAAAGCTTATTCTTTAGTTTAGTATATATTCATATGAGTAAATTAAAATATAATATAAATTTATAATGAATTTAAATAAAGATACTAATACTGTTTGTTCTAATGAACTTAAATATGAAAACAAAAATTATATTTAATAACATTTTGATTTATTTATTGCACTAATATTTGTTTAAAATTGGACTAATAAAAAAATATTAATCAAACAGTGAAGGTGTTGAAGAGTTAATAAGAGCAACTAAAAATTAGTCATAACTAGTATTTCAATGATGAAATGATGTTATTATATCAATGAATCAATCATCCCTCCATTCCAGTGCAAAACTGAACAGTGAATCAAGTAAATAAATATTAATATATTTTTTAAAACAAAATCACAGACTATAATACCTTAAATTAAACCCTAAAACGTTAAAAATGCAACAATTATAGATTATTTTTTCCGATACATTTGTATATAAATTATTTTTTTTATAAATGCATTTTCATTTAGATTTTTTATCGTTGAGTGAAGGTGGTATACATTCTTTGTCAGTGCCCAAGTAATTAATTTCAGCATCCTTTACTTCAATATGATTTTCTTTCATGGTTTTCTGCAGAATAAATAGAACTGAACATTAATATTGCACAATCACAAAAATATACTAAAGAGTTAATTATAAAATAAAACTAAATCACAATTGAAAAAAAAATTAAATACAAGAAATACAACTGCTCCAAAAAAATAAAATAATCTTAAACTTAAGTGATTAAACTAAAACTATGATTAAAAAAAGTAATGACATTCGATACCACAATACTAAAGAACATCATAGTAAACCAATACAGAACAAAAAACCAGCCTAAATAAACGTAATGTAAATTCATTAAACCACAAAAATATGGTGAGCATAGATAATGAAGATGGCGTTCATTGATATTTATTTTAAAAATACCATAGCAAATTATATTTAGAATTAAAAGAAGTAAATCAGATATATTCTAGAAAAGATAAATTGAAATTGATTTTAGAGACTGATGAATTATCAATGGTCTCAAAGGTAACAAGATATCACTATTTATTAATTCTATAGTATAGATCTATTATCTTGATCACAGGAGTCATGGATTTTGACAAAAAAATGTGTCAAAAGAAAGAGATTTTCATGAAGAAATAAAGATTTTTTTTCAATTTTTTTTAAATTCTAGCGTTCTCACTTCAACTTTAATAAAAGTGACTAGAAGTATTTAGGGCTTTCAAAAGTTCATCAAAAGAATTTAACAACAAAATATGGATCAGGATTTTTCTAAGAGATTTATAGGATTACATGTGTTTAAGCACCAAAACTGACAGTTTTCGAGACAATGTCCCATCCTAATTATAGTATCAGCCTCAGAAGCTGCTGGAGGCCTAAATTCAGAAATGGATCCTTGCCATCAAATAGAATTAAACTAGAAGAATATTTTAAATATTAGAGACAAATTAATTATGACATAAATAAATTGTTATTGAATTCATTAATTGTAAAGTATGAAGCTTCACCAATTAGGTGTAATGCACGGACAGATCTACGGGGGACTTTCGGGCTGAAGCTCCCCCCCCCCCCAAAATGTAAAAATATAACAATGTTTTATGGGAAAAAAATTTTAAAAATACCTCTTAAAGTATTATTGTTCGTGTAATTACATTTAAAAGTACTTAAGGAATAACTTAAACACCATTTCATATAGGTAGTTAGTTTCTTTCTGTTTTTCCAAAGTAATTATCGTTATTTTTATGAAAAAAAAAGGTTTTGGGCTGAAGCCTCCCCAAAATTAAATCCTGGATCCGGTAGTGGTGTAATGAATATACCTGTATACATATTGTTTATACTATGTTGCTATTATAATTTTATTCAAATTATGGCAGTAAAATAAAAAAAGTAGTAAGATTAATTGTGTTCTTGTCTAAGCAGTGTTGAGTTACAATGACCCAATTGTTATTATTATCACTTATAAAAATAGTAAAAAAATTTCAGTGTTGGTGTAAAGCTTGACAATAACAAATTTCATTTTTATTAGTATATAAATATAAGTGTGTGTTTATACATAAACACATATGTTTTATGATATTTTAATGTTATACCTGAGTGATAAGCAACCATATCTCTGATAAAATGAAAACAATAGTAATCTCTATTAAACAATTTCTTTTGCATAAATCTTTAAAAAATGTCAGTATTGTCAAGTATTTTTCATTTACTGATTATACCATCTCTTATCCAAAATCTGGAATTATATGGAATATATAGGAGCTTTGGCCACATTATTCTGAACAAGAGTGTTTCAACTAGATAAATATTTAAGTATAAAAAAGGCATAATATAGTTAAAGGAAATGAGAATTATTTGTATATCAATATTCTAAGAATCTGAAACCATGGCATATAATTTCAAATTTTATATGGTTACTATTTAGCCATACCCTTACTTTTAATATTTATGGTATTGTGATCCATGTTTAAATGATTGATCCTGAAGATGGCTCTACAGAAAAGTTGAAAATGTTGGCTCAATTAATGAATAGATTATGCAACAACAGTGATTCGTTTCAATAAAATAAAATGCAATGTAAAACATCGAAACATTATTTAGGAACATATCAATGTACAAACATATGAAACTAGAAAACCAAATAAGTGAAGTCAGGATTTATATAAAATCTGAAATCATAACTAGGATAGACATATAATTTCACAGAGTTTTTAAGAACATGAATTCTATACCTCAACACATGCTTTGTAAACTTTGAGGAGTTGGGCACACATCTCATCATTGCTATCACCTTTAAGAAATTTTTCGCTAAACCAAACATTAAAACAGGCATCGTATTCCTTTTTAAGATGAAGGCAGGCTTCCATTTAGGATTTCAGGTAAACTCTGGAAGGATAAATTAAATTTTATTATAAAATGAGTATAGTCACCTGTATACATTGCTGGTATAGTTTGAACAAGGGATCACAAGCATCATCACTTAAAGTGCCCTTTAGGAACTTTTCTGTAAACCAAGATTGAAAACATTCATCATATTGATGTTTAATCTCATTACATGTGTTCCCAATACTGTTCATCGCTGAGATCTGAAATTCGAGTTAGACTTTTCAGCATGGTAGTTAAAATTTTATATCAATCCTTGTTACTTTTGACAGCTTACTTTGTATGAATGTTAGTATAAAATATCAATAAAAAACAATATAGAACGTATAGTTCAATAGTAATAGAGACTAGCAATAAGAAAATGACAAGTTTTTAAAATAAGTAAAATGTGGACTTCCGTAGTATTTCACTAACCTTTGTGTAATTAATAAATATTGATAATAATTATGGAAGGTAGCTAATGCATTACTAGAGAAGGTAAACAGTGTAAAGGTTAAATGTATTTAGGAAAGAGGTAAAAACTTGGCCTCTGAGACAACAATTACACAAGAAAAGCCTTTAGCAAAATTAGGCTGTCCATCCTGAACAATCCTTCAATCATACGGAGATTTCCCATTATATACAGCGATTCTATTTGTTCCGCATTGTTGCAAAATAATTCGTTTATATGTCTAAAAAATGTTACTAACTGGTGTTTAAAAGTAAAAAATAAACGGAGAATCTTGTTTCCCCATCGATTGTTTTTATTTATTTTTTGCTTTTAAAAAGAAAAGAAACTTTCTTCTGAAGCATCCTCATTTATTCTGGATCATGATCAAAATAATAAAATAAATGAAAAAATAAAGCTTAATTCTAAATTGATTACAACAAAAACAATTATACATACAAGGAAGGTCCTATGATCAGATTAATACAGAATCGTTTAGTTTTCCCATAATTTTGAATTTGTATCCTATTGGTGTAATTAAAAAGTAAAATAAGAAAACGTTTGCATAAAATGGAAAAAGAAAGGAATCAGTAGATCAATATAAAAACCGAGTTCTGCAAATTGGAACACGATTCGGAAAGGGACGTAGTGTGATATGGAGTCAAATCTTATTGTGTCACAGGAGATATGATGGCCGAGAACGTTGGTGTGTGTTTCCTATATTATCTAGTCCTAAATGTTGAGAGTTTCATCTCCATCTGTTATGATTATTGTGACTTAATTTCAAATTATTAAGTCTCAGCGGCTACTGGCAATGAACCTCGACTCTCTCGCCTTGGTCAGCATGGATCGGAACCGCTAGGTAGCCTAAAGCCCGTCTTGAATCACTACCTTGAACATGGTATACATACGAGTACTACAAATGTTAATATAATTGTCACAATACATCCCTCAGACGGTCAGTATATTCGATATCGATCGTGTAAGAGCCCCTTTAGGAATTGGTAAAAAAAGTCCATAAGGCACAATTGCCGAACTAGTTTCCCCCTCCAGTACCAGTACCAGTACTGCGTCACAAGTCGAGATGCGGTGTGGCCGTGCAGACTAACGCTTGTCTAACACACAGGGATACCTAGAAGAGTATTTGGGTTTGGGGGATTGGGTAAGTTGCGATATCAAAATTTTTGAGAGGAGCATATTTTGGCGAGGTTATGAATTTTCGGAATGAAAAGTTTTATACAAAGATACACGAAGAAAACATGTAAAAGACTGCAGCAAATGTAATTTATTTGATCTATGATTCGTCTAATTCTTCCTTCATTTGCTCTGTTTTTAAGAAAAGGTGAGCAATTAAATATCTTGAGAGTGAGGGAATAGGATCTCGCGCCATCGACCTTGGGGGGAGTGATGGGCATCTTTGGTAACACATGCATTGACCGACCGTATGATCAATCGAAGATTATGAGTTCAAATTAGTTTCGGGTGGAGGTTTTAACTCTGACATTAATCCCTAATCCTCTTGTCTGGCTCAGGAAAATCTCGATAGCCGAAAGGCGAGATAAGGGAGAAAAAGAAAAAAAAATGACTAACTCCAATTTCAATATTGTTCAGTTAAGTTGTTCTAAAACTATAGAAGGCTGGAGCTGACTAACGTGCTCTGCAAAATATGTGTTGCTGGACAACCTAATAAACCGAAAATCACGAGTTCAAATCCGGGTGTCCAGGAGACTTTTGGAACCCATTCACTCCACACTCTTTCTCCTGGCCCAGAACAAAAACATAAGCCGAAAAGGCGAGGAAGAGTTGAAAAACAAAAAAAGTTACATGCCCTGGACGTTGTGATTTTAATATTCTCAAATATAAAAATTAACATCTTCAAGTCCAGCGACGCCGGTTCGATTATGGCCTGGATGGATTGAAATTTATTTCATACCGAACCCATGGAATTAATCCCGACCTTCTCACTCTTGTTAGTAAACTTTTGGTGGTTCCTCTAGAACCATCCCTCCTATGTAGTGAGATTGCTTTGTTCTCGGTGCAATTCAGCATTGTTCCCCACTTGACAGTTTTTGTAGTGTGATTGGGACACCTTCTGTAAGAAGTATAATTTAACAATGTTCCAGGAAATTAAAACAGTGCTACTATTTGATCCCAATGCATTTGCAAACTTACTGCAACTCTTGTACTAAGAATAAACATGAACTGATGCTCAAACAATAGCTAACAATTCGTTATAAAAAAGTAAAATTACTCCAGTGCACCTAATTATAAGTAGCATATTTGGAAATACCTGAGTAATAAAAAATATAAACCTATTACCCTTGGATCATTGGTCTTTACTAGCGCTGATGAGCCAGCATGGCCAAGACAGGGTCTGCCCTTCTTCATAAAAACTCAAGGCCTCTCAGCGAGATATTCATAAATAATAAATTGGAAGAAATAGGCTGGGAAATTCTCAAGCATCTTACATATTGTTCTGACTTGCCCCTCAAAAGAATCACTGGGTGAAGAATGGTTTGAAAGCAATGAACTGAAGCAGCACTGTGCAATTGGCTGACCACTCTCCCTCAATTTTTCTCAAGAACAAGTAATATCCAAACTTCCAAATCCATATGTAAATCAGGCAGGCTACTATTTGAAGAAATGCTGGAAGTATGGTTTTCATATAGCTTTAATCAATAAAAGTATCTTATTTAATTACAGTTTATACTTGATATCCTCCTCTGTTATGGAAGTCAGGTTGATGGACATAGAACTCTTATACAAACAGTTCCCTCCTTTTAAGGAAAGAAAATGTTTTCTTCATTATTTGCTGTTTTCAATGTATTATGAGGGCTTTGGCCTTTATTAAAATAATATGGATTAATTTACATTTATTTCATAATGTGGATAGCAAAATCAATTTTTTCTTTAAATTAATAAGGATGAAATAAATGACCATTTTCAGGTTTCCACATGAAGAAAGTATACAATTCCTTTGCTAAAAGTTAATATACAAAGTAATAGTTAATTAATTTATATTTCACCATGGTTTATTTAAAAAATGTTTAGTATAGATTAACATTTGTAAGCAAAAACAAATTGAGAAAATCTCAATAGTAGGTTATAATAGTATTTCTTCATGAAAGATACAAATTGAAAACGTGATTTCACTTTGATTCCAGAATGCCATCTTAAACTACTTATTTCAAAGGAGTTAAATTACGGTAAACTGCTGAGAACTATTATTGTTTAACTTTCACTTCTATATACATTTTAAATATAAGCTAAGAAGAACTATTGTCATCATGAAAAATATCAAATTTGAGTTTTTAATACACTCTTGAAAATCCCAGGACTCCAAATCTCACAAAACAGACACTGTACTAAACTGATATTACTTATTTCGGGTATGTTATAACTATCTGGAATGTTACAATGTTTTTGATTATATCAAATAACCAGAAAATTTGGTAACACATACACTTTTTTGGAATAAATAGCTAAGCTAGAAATCGAAAGAGGCAAGCTTGTGAGACAGCGATGGAACAAGCCAGAACAAATCTCAAACACAGAGCTGCAATTCTTAAAATGAAAATCAAAGAAGCTAAAATAAGAGCATATAAATCTTTTATCCAGGGAGTGGATTTTAGAAAAGATTGTACAAAGGCTCACAAGTTTTCTTTCCAACTTGAATAATGAACATGATCTCTTGATATTGAACAGTACATTTCAGTTTAAATACTGTCCAAAATGAAGAGAAATGTGATTTAAAAATATATAGACAGACTTTATGAGAGGTATAAATTACTTAATTACATTACAAATTATCTTTTATATTTTTAAATAATAAACAGAATTGAGTTTCAAAAGCAATACTTCTATAAATATTCATTTCAAAAACATATTTTCTAGCCCGTAAATAATAATAGACTATTAAACTTCTAAGCAACAACATGATTATGTACACATATAGCCTTATCAAAAATTATAATATTAACATTATCTTACACAATTTTACAAATTTTCTAAAAATATTTACATATTTTTTTTACTGATATAATACCTCAAAAATATATTTATAATTTATAAATATCTGGTGTTCAATTTTTTTTTTAAATTTTTTATCGTTGCTAAATCTTATTTACAAAATGATATTTAAATAGATTTATTCATTTTTTCTAAAACTATATACAAATTCACATAGTGAACAGAGAATTGACTACCAACATCAATATAAAGTAAGAAAAATTAATATGCCAGTCTTAATGCTATTTCGATATTCTCTTTATAATAAATGGTAACATATAAAACTTCAATCACAAGAAATTTCATCCTAGAACAGACATAAACATAATTTTAATTTTACAATAATAATTTCTTTTAATTAATACTGTTAAGATATTATTAATGTTAAAGAAAAACCTCATAAATTTGTTGTGATTAGTCATTATTAACTATCTTCCTATGGTGTGCATCCATATCTCTTCATTTATAACAGACAGCTCTAAACTTTCAGGAGGAAGAGCTTTGACTTGTTTGAAATCTTCTAAATAAAACAACAACTCTTGAGTAACCAACCTAAAAAATTGTTGTGGTTAAAAAACAGTAGTTATTTAAACTTTTTCATTTAATTTTCAAACTTGGTTGTAGTATTTTTATCCCATCATAACATAAATTATTGTCCATAGTAATGGTTCAAAATCAACGAAATACTACATAGAACACAGCGGCTTTCTGACCCTGAATTTTCTAATAGTGAAGGGTCCGAACTAGTAGTCTAATAGTTTTTAAAAACAGCGAAGTATTGGTAAAATTATCAAAGCAATATATATATATATATATATATATATATATATATATATATATATATATATATATATATATATATATCAAGCATATATATATATATATCTATATATCAAGCAAATAATGACAAATTTATCTATATATATATATATATATATACCTCGCGCGGGCTCATTACCGCGTATGGGGAGCGTCCCACGGGTGGCGGATGTGGGGATGGTCGGTGGAAATTCCTCCCGGCTAAGTCCGATGGACTCGCTGACCAACAATGAGAGGGGCCCTCCAGACTTGCTGGAGGGAGGGGACCTCCAGACTTGCTGGAGGTAGGGGCCCACCAGACTTGCTGGAGGGTGTGGCGTAGGATTGAACGCCCTACTCACATATCTTTAGTTCACCAAACACCACAAAAAGTCATGGATCTCCCTAAGGTAAAACGCTCAATATCCGGAGGTAAACTAGTCCCCCGTTCGGGTCTCCGGGTGGGGACTGCTTTAGGGGATTCATGGCGCAAGTTGAAATATAGGGATTTAAATATTGGTACGTGGAACGTAAGGAGTTTAAACACAGCAGGGGGGCTAAAATCGGTCGCGAATGAGGTAAATGGGTACAATTTGGATGTCGTGGCTCTGCAAGAGGTTCGCTGGCCAGGGGAGGGCTCGATGAGGGAAGGGAAGTACACTATTTGGTACGGAGGAAACGAGAATCATTGTTTAGGTACCGGGTTTCTAATTGGGCGTAGATTACTATCCGCTTTGAGGGACGTACAATTCTTTAGTGATAGAATTTCGGTAGCTACATTTCAGGGACGTTGGTTTAAAATCGCATTAATAAACATTCATTGTCCGACCGAAGACAGTGACGATGAAGTCAAAAGTGAATTTTACGATAAACTCGAATGGGTTTATGATAAACTACCGCGAAACTACATGAAAATAATTGTAGGTGACGCGAACGCAAAGGTAGGAAGGGAAGAAGTTTATATTCTGACGATTGGTAAAGAAATTTTGCACGAATATAGTAATGATAATGGGATCCGTCTGATAAACTTTGCCATCTCGAAAAACCTGATAATTAAAAGTACGACGTTTAAACATAAGGATATTCATAAATATACTTGGACATCACCGGATTCGCAAACACGAAATCAAATCGATCATGTTCTGATACAACACAGCTGGCAAAGCAGTATAATTAATGTACGGTCTTATCGCGGAGCAGAATGTGGGTCGGACCATGAATTAGTGATCGCGAAACTTCGACAAAAACTTAAAATAAAAAAGAGAAAAGAAAACCGTTTCGATTTTGAGAATTTTAATTTGGAAAAATTAAAAAATCCATCAATTAGAAACCAATTCGAGCTAGATGTTAAGAATAGGTTTGAAGCTTTAGAGCTTCCTGACGAGGACCACGAGGATATTGACAAGTTATGGATAGAGATCAGAGATAATATTAAAGCGGTCGGTAACTCGTGTCTAGGAAAAAAGGAAAATAAGAATAACAAACCGTGGTTTGATGAAGATTGCTTAAACATGTGTGAAAAAAGAAAAGCCGCTAAATTAAAAGCTCTAAATAATCCTAGCGAAGACAATCTTGAATACTTCCGAATCTCAAAGAACAAAACGACAAAATTGCTCAAAAATAAAAAAAGGGAGTATCTTAAAAATAAAATAATTGAAATAGAAACTAATAGAATCGAAAATAACGTAAGAGACATGTACAAAGGTATAAACAGATCACGTAAATATGTAGGGCCCGTAACGTCTGGAATTAGGGATGATAATAACAATATTCTGACCGATCCGGTTGACATATTGAATAAGTTTAAGGACCACTTTGACAATATTTTAAATACGGGAAATTATGATCTGTGTCCTCCTTCTGAGTACCAGAGTGCTGAACCGTGAATAGAAGGACCAAGTAAAGAGGAAGTTGAAGTAGCTATCGGAAAATTAAAATCATATAAAGCAGCGGGAATCGATAATATTCCTACTGAACTAATTAAGGCATGCGGAGGAGCTGGAGTTTCTAAAATACATCGGTTGGTTAAAAAGATCTGGGTGAACGAGAAATTACCTGAAGAATGGAAAGAATCTATTCTTATTCCGATTCACAAAAAGGGTCCGAGGACGGATTGTAATAACTATCGAGGAATTTCACTCCTTCCGGTATGTTATAAAATATTCACTTCAATCTTAACCAGTCGAATCACGGAATACGCCGAGGAAATTATCGGAGACTACCAATGCGGATTTAGACGGAATCGTTCGACTATTGATCAAATATTTTCTTTACGGCAAATATTAGAGAAAAAAATGGAGTATAACGGTATTGTTCACCAGCTGTATATAGATTTTAAAAAGGCTTACGATTCTATTGACCGCCAGAAACTGTATAATATTCTAATCGAGCAGGGAATTCCAAAAAAACTAGTAAGTCTAGTCAGGATGTGCTTGACGGAGACACTCAATAAAGTTAGAATCGGTAATAATTTGTCCGAAAAATTTGAGGTTCGTTCGGGCTTAAAACAGGGGGATTCTCTTTCGCCTGTCCTGTTCAATTTGGCATTAGAACATGCCATTAGGGAGGTAATGCGAACCGAGAAAGGGTTGGATCTGGGCGGGACAACATCCGTGCTGGGCTACGCTGATGATCTGGTACTGCTAAGCGAAGATGTTGAAACTATAAAACTAAATACGACTACGTTAATGAAAGCCGGGAAAGAACTAGGACTCGAATTAAACGTGGATAAAACAAAATATATGGTTAGCTGCAAAAATGGCGATACTACTGGTGATATCGATATAGATGGTAATATGTTTGAACAGGTAGATAAATTTAGGTATCTAGGTTCTACGATATCTAGAAAAAACGAAATTGAAGAAGAGATTAAGGTTAGACTGAAGGCGGGGAATGCTTGTTATTTTTCTGTGACAAAACTACTTAGTTCGCGCCTCTTGTCCCGAAACTTAAAAATTAGAATCTATAAAACAATTATCTTGCCTACAGTTCTTTATGGATGCGAAACTTGGCCGCTTACATTAAGGGATGAGCAGCGTCTTAAGGTTTTTGAAAATAAAGTATTGCGTAGAATATTTGGACCGAAAAAGGATGAGTTAACCGGAGAGTTCAGACGGTTACACAACGCCGAATTGCGTGAGATGTATCCGGGTAATATAATTGAGGTAATTTCATCGCGGCGAATCAAATGGGCTTGTAAAGTTGTTGGGCTTAGTAACGAGAGAATTCCTAAAAGGTTAATATTTGCTGTGCCGAATGGTAAGCGTCCGAGGGGTAGACCAAAGCGAAGATGGGAAGATTGCATTAAAGCCGATCTGAAGGGACTGGGTTTGGACGGCGAACGGTGGAGGGAGGTGTGTAACAAGCGGTTGGTGGTGTCAGCATCGAACCTTCGGGTTCGCTAAGCCTTATTATTATTTATTATATATATATATATATATATATATATATATATATATATATATATATATATATCAAGCAAATAATGACAAATTTATCTTTTTCTAGAACACATCTCTTCATATTAATACAATTGAACCTAACAACTAACTTGACCCATAAATAATGATAAGACCAATGTCATATTTTTTATATAATTTATACCTTTTTATTTTTCAATTGCTTTGATAATTTTACCAATATTTCGCTGTTTTTAATCTGGATAACAAAGCTATAAACTCAGATATATATTGTAAAACCAGAAATTTTTCTATTCAACACTTTGGCTTCTGGTCTATTTATAAATAAAACTATTATTCATATGAGATATATCTGGGTTTAAAGGTTTGTTACACACATTAAACATATCTATCAGATGACATTATTGTTTTTAGTAATATTAGGCAAGTACACAAAAGAGGTCGAAGATCCTGTAACATTACTGCGAGAAGAATTCCCTAACAGTAAATGTGGAAAAATCAAAGGTTGTATTACTTCATAAATCTCCTAGGCTGAAGCAACTTAAGCTCCTTTACTTGCATGAGAAAAAGATGGAATAAACCAAATTCTAAACTTACTTTTCACTTCCTCAGCAAGTTTTAGTAAGGCATTTGAGCATTTTTTCACAAGTCAAATTTCCACATACAAATTTTCATAGCAATCAAAAAATAAACTAAAAATTCTCTAAATTTTCACCTAGACTTTGACGATCTTTTTCAAAAATCACAAAAAGTGCTACTGGCATCAACATGCTTCCTTTTATCCACACAAAATTTATCAGGAATTTCGGGCCATATAAAATACTCGAACTTATATAAAGCTGGACCCCGTAAACATATAAGAAGTGGAAACAAAAAATAAAAACGCGTGAGAAGTTTTTATTTAATTATTCCTAATGGAGGTATTAAATTAAGACAAAAGTTATTTGTGCGGTTTTATAGAGCAATGATTCAGTTTTTCAATGATTATAGTAATATTAAATTAGGAGAAAATCCTGATCACTTATGAATGTTTCAGTGAATAGCAGGGAAAAAAAATTCAAATGAAAATTAAAACAGATACTATGCTAACTAGCTCAACACAACACTACTATCAACTTTTTTATATAATTTGATAGTTTTTCGCAGTAATAATCCCTTTTCTGACTCTCAGGAGCAATGGATTTTGATGAATGAGGTATCTAATGAAAGGGTATTACATGGAGCAGTGATGAATCATAGAAACATCCCGCTGAAAATTCAGGAAAAAAATTATAAATGAAAAGAAACTTTACTTGTGAATAGCTCAAAAAGTATACATTTTTTTCTTGATTAGACCCATGATTATTAGAAAGTTTACTAATTTCCCCACAAAACAAAAAATTATCAAAATCAAACTATTATTAACAAAGATAGAGCCTTAAGTAATGTACACATGTTTTAGATTATCATTTTGAATGAACTAATGTGATTTGACTGAGAAAAAGAAAATTAATTCTTCTCTATCATAATACATTTCTATTGTCAGTTTTTCAGTGACCAATTTTATATGTGAATTATTCGCATAGGCCAATTAGTATTAAATTAAGCCTAAGAAATACAAGTAGAATCATGTATAGACATTGCAAGGCTTCTCGTGATAAATAATATAAGCTGGATATAGTTATAATATAATAATAATAATATAATAAACCATCTTACCCGTGGGTTGGACCCCCGTTGTTGAGAATATTCATCTTTTGGAGTTTTTCACTAAAAGTATTGATAAAACTTGTATTAACACCTTTATAAAGCTCTTGAATTTGATTATGAGGTAATACTCCATAAACAGCTTCATGGCATTTCTTCAAATGTCTAAAAACAAACTACTTTCAGTATTTTGTTATTAATAAGTAATTGTGTTTTTGATTTTATACCTGTACACCTCCCATGCCTTCGACTCAGCTAGTATGTAATAATATTAAGAAGAAGAAAAATCTTACTTGCAAATATTTTGAAATGACTTTGAAGGAACTGGTGGCTTGGCATCCCAATGTCTCAATTCTGCAGATATATTCTTATGCATTACTTCAAGTAACTTAGCGTTCACGTCACTGGCGTGATCCTTAAATTTTTGAGATACCTTATCCAAGTAATCTTTAGAAGATTCTCCAATAATTCCTAAATTTTATAATAAGATTAATTTTAATTTAAAACAACACAATACAAAGAAAAAATTTACATGGATAAAAGTAGATCTCTAAGAAGACAACATATTTTCAAAAAAATATTGCAACAACTATAATTCATGTTAAGAACTATTAATTTGCAACTTAATAGCCAATTCCGTCGACAGAAGCCAGCATTGCAAAGCTTGACAGTTTAGATTTTTTTTTTTCAAGCCAATAAGATCTATTTATATAAATCTAATTTGATGACTATCTAAGAGAACATAAGAAATATTAAAATCACTGAAAATAAAAAATAAGATAAGCGAAAAAATAAAGGAACCAGAAATAGAATTGAAGAAGAGATACAGACAGTTCATGCAGTAAAACATTATATCAAAAGCAAAAGGTTGAAACATTCCAAGCATATGAATTCATGCATTGGTTTTAATAGATTTCTATATAAATCAGCAATTATCGCATAGGCAGAGGTCTATAATCAGTGGCTGTCCCTGCTGTTTGTCACTCAGCTGAACTATAATGTGAATCATGGAAGTATAGGTTTTAACAGGAGGGGTGAATCTGGACTGGCTCCTATGAGAAGACCTATTTAATTTAAGGATATGTTTAAAATAAAAGGCTCATTGATCACCCGGAATATATTTGGAAGAGTATTAACATAGACCCCAGCTACAGAAAAAGATAATTCAGGAAAGAACTAGTGAAGACTGTTACCAGCAGTAGGAGACATCCAAGAAAGATAATATCTTGAGAAAATCATCTCTATAAATGCTTTAAAACAAAATTGATTCTCCTGGACAATTACGTAAATAAACCAGCTGCGGAATATGAATGGTGTCTTACCAGGTCATTTTAAACTGCAGTAGCTGCTTTTGAGTTACTAAGAGCCAAATTCCAAAGGGAAGCTGAACAGTATGTCCTACACAGAGAATGATTTAACTCACCTAATCACTGAAGAAAACTATCCTAATAGAAAGATTTTGTGTATGGATGGCAAATCGCCGTGGGATTATCCTAGTTGAATCTCCAATGAGAAACTGCTCTAGGAAAGCCAAGTATAAGAAAACAAACCTGGAGACATGGATTGGAGTTGAAGGTTATGAGATGATTATTACATTATAGGAGCAAGTTATATATTTATTAGCGATATATGTATACTCTTTGTAGTATCCTAATGCTGCTGACACTCTTGCTATCAGAAGACAAGGAAGGGAAGATGGGCAAATAAAAAAATTATGAATGGACCCAATTAATACTTAAAAAAATAAGAGAACAAATTCCTTTTCAATAGAGAAGTAATACTAATTTTGAATTTCAACCTAATTCCCTTTCATGTAATAGGACAAACTGTACACATTTTCCCTTTTATTAGTAATAGAAATTAAAACTATAATTATAGAAAAATAACCAATGAGTGATGAAAAGATATATGTAGGATTGCCATGCAAAAAAATTGTTAACAAAATATTAGCATTAGTAAAGATTTTTTAGCTTCATCACCTTGAAAATGAACACGAACGTGTGGAATAAGCCACAAAATAAGCTGCAAAGATCTCAATTGAAGAGCTAGGTTATTAATTGTTATAGTTTTTAAGCCAGTTTTTTCCGACACTGCGTCACCTCCAAGCACAAGGCTATAGCAGCGGGAATTGAACTGAGTTAATAATTCACTTAAATATCTGAAACCAAATAAAAATTATACTTGAGTTAAAAAAACAAAAACAAATAACATGCAAATAACTTAGTAATTTAATGAAGTATTCTTATTTTGATTTTTTTTTTTTAATAAATTACACAACTAAGTCTTCTAATAAATAAAAAGCCTCTTAAGCAAAGGAGAGTAAAACTTGATTACTAATATTGCAATACATCATTCAAAATGCTGTAATTTTTCCAGGATGTCAAACCCTGATTATACTACTTTTTTTAAAAAAGCTTTCAAAGCTCAGATTTTTTTCTCAATTATTCATAAATTTAAAAATTATAAGAGAAAAAAAAATTAACACGAGTAGTAGACTAAAAAATATAATAATAAAGCAAATAAGACCCTTCAAAAACTTTTGCTCGAAACAAGATTTAATAAATAGTATGATTTAATTAATAAAAAACAAAAATAACATTACAAGTAAGAAAAAGAAGATTTGTAGATCATAAGAGTAAAAGATTTAAAAATATAGTACACTAATCAGAGATATATTTTATTAATGATAGTTAAAAAATTACTCTTACCGATATAAATGTTCACCACAGCTAGGAATTTCCTCTGCATGCATACAATATTCTGATATAATGTTCACAAGTAAAAGAACAGTCCTGAAATATAATAGATTAGTGCAATTATAAATATATTTTCAATAAATACACATTTATATAAATAAATTCTTGCTACTAGAAACATGAAATATAGAATTATGTGCAAATCAACTCTTTTAATTTAAAATAAAAATGTAACTAAAAAAGAAAAAACATACCCTACAACTGCAAACTTTTCATCGCCAATCATTAAGAAGCTTTGAGTTTTATTTTTGTCATTGTTAGCTATATGTGATGAAACATCAATTGCAAAGGTACCTGTCAAATATTAATTAAATTAAAAATAAATTGAAGACAATATTTATAGATTTATATATATATATATATATATATATATATATATATATATATATATATATATATATATTTATATATTCAAATATACAAAAAATCTATCTACATAAATAACTTATTGTTTTAGTAATCAATCAATGAAATTACTTTAAAGAACTAACCATTGTCAGCTATGTGGTTAACAAGTTCCTGAAAAGTTGCTGGTACATCAGTTTGCCTCCATGGTTCAGAGTCAAGTAATAGAAAAAGTTTTTTCATCTTCTCACTATGAAACTTATTCATAAATTTTATAGCCTGAAAAAAAAAAATAATAAACTAATAAACTTTTTTTCATAAGGCATGGATATAATTAGTAACTGTTCATGCATTATAATTTTAAAAATAGAACTTTGGTTAAGTATTTAGCTTAGATTACACATGGTAACAAATATGGATGAATGAAAAATATAATTTTTCCATTTTGGGAGGGGGGCTTCAGCCCAAAATCCTCACTCCTGTAGATTCACTAGTATAAATATAATCTCCTTTGGATACATTGTGAATTCAAAATTCAAAAGCAGGGGAAAAAAATCAATCTATGCCAAGCTGCACCAGATGTCCAAAAATTAATTAAAATCTGTTGTAAGAACGAATGAATTTTGTAAAATATAAAAAAAAATTCTGCCATTCAGCTTCATCACCATTTCAATTATTGGTTACACAATTCATTATCTTTCAAGGTCTACAATTAGTTTGTGAATAAAATCTATAGAAAAAGCTGTTTTTTCAGTTTTTGTCAAGGAAAAACACAGGCCGAAACTAAAGGAAAGTATTGAATTTGATAAAATCGATACTAGACCATTCAGATATCAAGCCCAATAATTCCTGAAAATCTCATCAAAATCATACTAGTGACATGTCCATCGCATGGATTTGGGAGGTAAACAAATTGGTTCGTTATTATCTAAAACATAAATTGAAATTTTTTATTTCGACCACAAAATATTTGTTTATCTCCCACAAGAATACAGACCTTCTCTATCTTCAGTAGTGCAGAGAGAAAAAAAAAAGATGTTAGAAAAACTCACTTGTACATTAAATGCTGATTTGAGAGATGTTAAAACTGCATCTGGACAGATTTTGTCCCAACTTTCAGTTATATTTTTTACATGGAAAGACATTTTTTTCAATTGTGTCAGAGTGGCACGTTCAGCAAGCCAATATGTACCATTCAAGTGTCTTGAATCTTCTTTCATCCTGACAAAAATTAATAGAAAACATTTAAATAAATATCACTAACAAATAGCGCCTAATACTCATCACTTCAGACTTACTTTTCATCAGGCCACACTAGCGAACGACTAGAAAGTAACTGAGCACATCTCTCTTGAGAATATCGACTAACAAACATTAAAAACTGTTTCAATTTTTGCAAAATCTTTTCTTCTTCTTCATGTGACAGCTGCCAATCTCCGGAATCTGAACTGTAATTCCTGCAATCCACATAAAATTGTAATACTATAAAATATTAATATAATTTCAATAACACTGTGAAAATAAAATGTAAAACTACATTATATTTTGGATCTAATTTAAAGAATGCTGAATTGTTTTGAAATTTTAGGTCAAATTTGAAAAAGTAAAAGACTAAACTTGAGATTAAAACAAATGGGAGTGAATTGTAGCCTTCTAATAATAAAAATTAAAAACATTCTAGTGAAAATATATTTATTTAACAATAATAATTATTATATTTAAAAATAAAGCATTTCTCAAATCTTCCTTTATAATAAAAATAAAGATAACTTCTCAATAATAAATGAACTAATTATTTTCCACTTACAGAATTACATCATCATCTTTTTGAGCAGAATGGTTCCCTGCACTGATATGAACAGCCCTCACCATGATATTATAACCTTTCTGTAATAAAAAAAATATATATATAAATTCAAGATAATTTGATTTAAAAATATTTAAGAAATATAAATAAAGAAGCAAATTTGGTGATGTCCAGGTATATTTATGAACATCTCCTTATGTTTAAATGTAGTACTTTTAATTATTAGGTTTTTTTTTTTTTTTTTTTTTTTTTTTTTTTTTTTTTTTTTTTTTCCTTCCCTACCTCGCCTTTTAGGCTATACGGGATTTTCCCGGGCCCCGGGGGGGGGGTGAGGGCGGAGAAATTTAAAATCCCCTCCGGCACCGGGACGCGAACTCATACTTTTTATATCATCTCAAATCTCTGTTATCCGGTTGCCAGGCAACTAACGGTGCTGTTACACACGCTTTAGCCTATTCGGATCCCATTATCATTACTATATTCGTCTATAGTATATACTATACATTATAATTATCAGAAAATAAACTTCTTCCCTTCCCACGTTTGTGTTTGCGCCTCCTAAAACTATTTTTATGGAGTTTCACAGTAGTTTATCATAAGCCCACTCGAGTTTATCATAAAATTTACATTTGACTTCATCTCATTCCTGTCTTCGGTCGGACAATCTGGGTGGGATAACACTTGTGCTTTGCTACGCTGATGATTTGGTCCTGTTAAGCGAAGACACGGAAACTACAAAACTAAATACGACAATGTTAATGAAAGTCAGTAAAGAATTAGAGCTCAAAATAAACACAGATATGACCAAATATATGGTTAGCTGCAAAAATGGTGATAATTCCGGTTATAGAAGGTAATAAACACATTTGAACACAAAGAGAAGTTTAGGTATCTAGGGTCTACGATAACTAGAAAAAGTCAAATTGAAGAGGAGATTAAGGTCAGGCTGAAGGCGGAAACTGCTTGTTATTTTTCTGTGACAAAATTACTTAGCTCCTTTACTTTACTTAAACCTTCGGGTTCGCTAAGCCTTTAATTATAATTAAATAATGAAGAAAAGTACACTTATACACAGCAAAGGTGGATATAGATTGATATATATTTCTATTGACATTTCCAGTTTTATCACACATAATTAAAACATGTTTTATTTTCATTACAAAAAAAAACTGATGTTTAATATGAGACCACAAGAAATTTTTTTTCCAATAGTGAACCTTTAAAAAGACAGTTCAAGATCTTTAATAAGATCTTTCAAGAGTTTAAAAAGATCTTTAATAAGAAGATACAAAATAGGAATAAACAAGAAGAGCCCATTAAAGGACTACAAGCCAGTGTGGCACAGAAGTGTCAAGTTTCTGACCTTAGGGTATTCTTGGAGGATAGTGTGGTGAGAACAACGCACTAACCATACTTGTTCCCTCCCTTTAATCAGAGATCAGTGAGCCATAAGACAATCTGTTGAATTATATATGTCAAATAATTCACTCTGGCAAGACCCAGTAATTTTTGGTCAAGAGAAAGTTTTGTGTACTGGCCAGAATCATTCATCATGTAAGATCAGTTCTTTAGTTCTTCTTTGGTTAAGGAATCAAGAAAATTCATATATAAATGAAAATGTACCATAAAATAAAAACAAAATAATCACCAAATTGAGGTGGCTATTTCCCTTTGAAAGACTATATTATTAGGTTAGTACCTTAAGTAAAATTGAGAACTTATCTTTTTTTTTAATACTAATTTTTCTTTTTTTTTTCCAACGTTTCTTACCTTCTCATTTCCTAGTCATTTTGACAAAGTTAATGCCATATTAAGTAAAGTCTCGTTATAAATATAATTCTCAATTATCTTCAGTATTCATTAAAAACAAACATTAATATTAGGTATATGAATACAGTTAAGTAACAGTTTACTCTCCTAAAAAAAATTTTCTTTATTTTATGACTTTTCGGGATCACTTTATTATCCCATCTTCAGACTAGAAAAAAGAAATATTTTTGTTATTTGTATTTATATATTTTTATAACTTATAATATCAATAACAGATTTGCCAGTCTTACCCATATCTCATCTTTCTATCATCTAATTTTTTTTAAAAAGAATTGTCATAATTTTTATTTTTATAAATCATCCCTAAAAATGTAATAATTTTTTTTTGTGTTATATTATTATTTATGTGTATGTAATGTAATATATAATATGTATGTAAGTAGCATAGATTCTGTAATGAATTTATTAACCTTAGTTATATTTAAACTGTTACTTAACTTTATTCATATATCTTATATAAATAAACATTTCCCTAAGGACTTATGAACAAAATATTAATATTGTTTTTCATTGGACTTGATAGACCTTATATATCTTTTTTATAAAGATGATTTAACCAATGTGAATAAAAATTAACAATTACCTTTATTCTCTGTAAGAGTTTCAGAAGAACACTGGTAGCATTTGCTAAAAGGGTAGCCCATTCATCGACAGTGAGCAACCGAAGCTGCCCTTCAATACTAGATTCTGATGATGGTCTATCAGTTCCTGCTATAACTTCTATTACGGCTTGCTTAATAGCGGCCTTCACAGCAGCCACACATTCAGTCTCATAAATGTCAACAAATGTAGAATTCCCTCGTCGAAGCATCCCCATAACTATACATATTAATTTTTCCTATAATAAAAACAAGATATGTGCGACATGAATATGATGAAATAAAAATAATTCAGCTTTTATAAAATAAAAAATATTTATTTATAAAATAATTTTAATAAAAAGACTAACTAATAACTTACAGCTTCAAGCAAAGGAGGCTCAGAATCAACCAGTGGTCGGTTAAGATCAGCTGTAGCATATTTTTCGAATTCTTCTTTCATAAGCGTGTCTATGACACCAAGCATTTCAGCTAATTCAGAGCTGAGATGTCTGTTAATAATCAGAGTAAAAATATATATTAAAACTAGATATATGATTTAAATTTTTGTAACAAGAAAACATGAACATAAAAAATAAATGAATCGCATGAAAAAAGACTTACCATATACCATATGAACCATAACCATTTTGATAGATTTATTATAAGAATTTGATAGAAAATCATAAGAAGTATGCAATAGCTAACCATACTTAAAGGGTCAACTAATCAAAATGGATAATCATTTTTTTTTTTATTATTATTGTTATTGATTCAAAGTTCTAGACAGTCTTCACCAGCAGGCAAAGCTTATTGGTTCAAATCAGGCTCAATTTTTCGGTAAAGTATCTTAGAAAATGTAGAGTTTGAACAAAAAGAGATAAATACCATTAATTTTCAATCCTGCTACTCCATAAAACAACAAAGATAAAAATAATAACTTCATAAAACAATAATGTTGTAATAATACAGAATGTCTCTGTATATTTTAATTTTTTACTTGTGGGAACATTATTTAATGATATTTGTCTTGACATTTATCTTAAATAATAATTATCTTTCTTTTTTAATAATGTTGAAGACTCATTTATTATGATCAAGAGGTTATTTTTAATTTTAATAATTTAAAAACAATTTTGTGTGTAAGCTTCTCACATTTTATATAATTTATATTGTATTTTAAAGTAGATTAATGAAAAATTTTGGTTTGAGAATAAATAAATAAAAATAGTCAAAAATTAAAATTTGTAATAAATTTGCATTCCATAAAAAGAAGATAAGTCCGTATTTTGAAAAGTTTATCATACAACTAAAATTGATATTTACTGAAAAGTTAATCAGCACTAAAATACATTGTGCTAAATAGATGATAATCTGATGGTCAGGAATTTATTTTATCATTGGAAAACATTTTACAAAGTTTTTCGAGAAATTTCAGAATTTGTAATTATCCCTTTTTGCTAGTAGATTCATCACTTGAAGTCTTATAACCTTTATTTTAATTTCCTCACTCTTTAATGAATTATCATTAACCAATTTCACTTAAACCTTTAAGAAAAAATATTCAGGAATCACACGCTACAGCATTTTAAATCATAGTATAACATAAACTGGAAGTCTAATAAGATACAAAATCTGTCATGCTAATACAGAAAAATTATAGTACTTCATTCTGCTTTTAGCTTAAACCATTAAATCAACTATAATTATATAATTCAACTTGTAACCAATCCAGTAAAATAATGTGTAAACTAATCATACCTAAAACTATGTATTCCTGCCAACTCTTGTTTCAAAAGATCTTCAGTTGTATGAATCAAATCGAGTGCTCCAACATAGTCGGGACTAGACAATAGTAATTGGATTGTTGGCTGAGTCTGCATTACAGTTGACATAACTTTTAACTAAATCATAGAATATCATGTTTATTAAAATATAATAATGTATTTTTTAAAAACACTTAAAACAACTATATTTGATTATTGCTTTAATTTTTACTCTGATCAACAATAATTATTTTATTTATTTTTTTTGTTGAAGAGTAGTTGGTTAAGAACTGCAGTCATTGCAAATATAAAGTAAAAATAAATTATTTTTATTTTCTTTGTGCCTATGTTTCAGCCTAAGTTTCATGCCATCATCAGGGCTAAGCAAAGACAAGATAACATGTTGGAAATTTCTGAACAAACTATAGCAGCACTCCACATGTTCAGGAAACATACTATTCTTCAAAACATACTTTTTGGAGGGCATTAGTTCCATTGTGTAATTTCAAAAGGTGCATTTCTCAGCTTTCCATATTTCTATTAACGTTATGAAGATTGCTAATTAAACAATATGCTGCAGCCCAATGTATAATAAATATTTCAAAAAACACTGTTAGATGCAGTATACTTATTTAAAATGTTATAATCTGCAACTACAAACACACTAATATAGTAGAATATAGTATACCTTTCTCAAAACCTGATGATAATTAGTTCGCAGTCTTTCATTACGTAGAATCTTTAAAGAACGGTATACTAAATCATTATCTATTCTCTTAATTTTTTCCCTAAAAAACAACAGAAAATTTAGATATTATTTAAACACAAAAATTTATATATTTTAATAAAAAAAATATGTCATAAATGAATAATAATATAGCTATAATCTAAAAGCAAACAGTACTTTCCTACTTTATTAGTGAATGAAAAATATTATTTGTCATTTCAAAAAGTTGTGTGATATTTATAAATCCAAAAAGAAATTAAATTTCTGAAAAATGAATGTCTGGTACCTGAGATTAATTAATTAATTTATATTATTAAAAAAATTTAGATTTTGTGATAAAAATTAATATTATGATGCTGTCTACTTAAATAAGTCATTAACAAATGAATAAATTTATGTTTATTTACATTTATTATTTTTACTTCAAATAGACCAGGAAGAATTGTTTAATACATGAAAAAAGATCAAAATTTATTCTGAGGATACATTAAAAAATAAATTAAACCCCATTTTAACTGGCACTACTAGGTACTGCCTACAACTGCCCACCAATAAATTATAGAAGCAAAATAGGCAGAGATTTTTCTGTTCTATATTATTCTAAATTATGAAAAATATTTGTGATGTAATGTAAATCTTTTACCTAAATGTTTTGACCAATGAAATCGTTTGTCCCAGTTGCTCCATCAGTACATCATGGGATGTCATAGCATGAAAAAACGCATCACTTTTTTGAGCAACTTGGTGAGCTATTTGAACCTCTACCATGTCTAAATAATGTGAGAACTAAAACAGAATTTAGCATAAAAAAAAATTAAATTAATACTGTTACAAATGAAATATATTCATAATTTTTCTTAACAAAAATTTTTGGTTAAATTTATTAAAATGTTAATATTATGAAATATTTAAAACAGTAGCATTTATAGTATTGTGACCATTTAGATACGTGACTGCTCTCTAAGGTAGCAATCATCTAATGAAGGTTAAGTAAAGTAGGGTATCATCCAGCAAGAGATAACAAGAGCTGGCCGCAAATCGAACCCAGTGCAATCAAAGAATGTATACAGCTCACCCTTACGTATTGGTCTAAGAACCACAATTACAGTACGGTATAGCACATTGGAACACTGAAGGTACATGGGGCCTTCATCTAAGCTTATAGATTGATGAGGCAAAATTAATTATTTAAAATAATACAAGAGCGTTTATATCATCCCTAGATGCCTGATTGCTCTTAAAGGTAACAATCATCTCCTTCTCATGGTTTAATAAAGAGAAATATCATCCAGCTAGAGATAATAGATGGTTAAAGGCAAAGATTGATGTGTAAGGTTTAAGATGTGCAATGTTCAATACGCAGCAGACCTAACACCACACAGCGTAAAGCTGATGACCCTCCAACATGTACCTTGATCAAAATTCTATTTTTTGACAACTGTAAGAAATCTCAATCGATTTTCAAAATTACATAGAAGAAATCAAAAATGTATGACACTCAATTTAATTAATTAATTAGATTATTTTTCTATTTTAATTTCTAAAACATATGATAGTGCCATATTTGACCCAGATAAACCTATTTTTAAACTGGAGTGCAATGATTTTTAACAACACATCGCTAAGTGATAAAGAGCATTAACTCTCAGAGGCTGGCTGACATCTGACAGGCACAAAATGTTCTTTGATCTGGGACCATTGACACTAATCACAAACTCCTGCAAGAAAGCAAAAAGTAACGAAGCTCCAAAACCTCTAAGCTCCTCCCTTGAGATGATATATGAAAAATCTTCTTCACGAGTCTCACGGACACGTTAGAAGTACTGAATAGTTTTATTAATTAATGTAATAACATTATATTTTTTTACTTTTAAACTTGTATAATTTAATAAGATTTTCTTTTAACAAATAAAAATATTTTTCATTAATAAATTGCTATTAATAATTTACTAGCTGCAATAGTGTCTCAAAGGTATCTCACGATCCAACTCATTTATTAATTTATAAATATCTACGTACATATAGTATAGGCCCTGATAGATTAACAACTTATGAAAAATAAAACAAAAAATTTTGTAAAAAAAACGGATTGAGCCAATTTTGAAACTAATTGCCTCATCCAAAATGTAGTACAATTCGTGCAATTGATATATAGATAATATAATCTTTTTTTCATTTAACTAGCAGTAAACATTCAAGGTACATAATATTCCATTTAAATAACTTAAATAAATTATTTTCTGTAAGATATAAAACGTGATGAATAGAAAAATTTAAATTTAAAAGCACTATTAAGTAATTTCTGAGATCAGAAATTTAAGAATTAAGAGCATTTTAAAGTATTTCTGTATAAAATATTAGAAAATATAAGCAAGTTTTCATTTTTGTTAACCTTTTCTTGTAGAAGTTTAGCAGAATTACTAGCTTTTTGTTCGAACAGATTTTGCGATATATTGCTGGTTGGTATTGCTTGACTAAAAACAGCATTAAACGTCTCAGAGGAGCTTAAATCAAAATTCTGTTGCAGGAATATTTTTGGAATGATACTAATGTCAAAGTGACTTTTGTCTGAAACAATATAAAAATAAAAAAAATTAAAATCAATAAATCACAGCCTAACTTTTCCCCCTCACAATGATTACTTTATACTTACCTACATTCTTGACTATTCTTAAATTTGGAAATGTCTGAAGCAAATCTGCATGTGAATGTGGCTTTGGGTGAACTAAATTAAGCTTCAAGTGTTGTTTATGTTTCTGAAAATAAAATAAATATTAGTGTGACAAATCGAATACAAGTCACACCTTCAAATGGTTAAAAGATAAATTGGTTAATGCTGATTGATTAATCCAAATGTGATTTGACAACATTGTCAATTTAATGTATTGCAATTGTAAGATTTGAGTAAAATAAGGATATAGTAAATAGTCTAAAATTAAATATAACTAACTATATTTTCAAAAGCTTATATTAAAGAAGCTCGAAAAAATCTTGGACAATAACAGCAAAAAAGAAATTTTTGTGAGTACATTCCATAAAAATTCAGTATAATAGAACTACCGTACCACAAAGCATCATAAATTGCAATACATTTTTAAAACTGAAAAAACCAATTTCAAGTAACATTATTTTTTCATATGCTCAAAGTGAAATATTCAAAGATATAACAATATGAAATTAGAACAGTTTTAGAAAAGGTTTCTTAAGTCTGAAAGATATTAGTATTGGTGCTACAGAAGGTGGGGAGAACTTGAGTGGACACCAAGTACTTACCAGAATGGGAGTGTTCGGATTTATTTCTAGGGATTAGCAACTTTCAATAGGAAAGGAAAGATAATGTCAAATACGAAACAACTTTTTGATGAAAACTTTAGACTGGCCAAAAGAAATTGGATAAACAGACTGAGAAGTGATACTATTATTAACTGCTATGTTATCAACCTTTAAAATTTAAAAACAAAAAATTCTCACACTTGGGCATGATGTTTAAATAAAAGAGGTTAATAATTGGAGACAATACATGAAATGCCAAATTATGAAGCTAACCTCATAACAGAAAGGTAATAAAGTATTTAAATTTTAAGAAAGCCTATTCAGATACATGAATCCAAAGATTAAAATTCAGATTAGGGAACAAAAGAAATTGAGAGAATTAATGCATTCATTCTTTTTTCAGGCATGAAAATAAGTTTATTCTAGTTCCGTTTGAGATAAGAAATCTTAGAAAAAAATCAACATGGAGGTGCAATTTTCAATATAACATCAATTTCTTCACTATCGGAGAACAACCAATTTGTCAAATGAGAACATTTAAAGTAGATAAAAAAAATCATAAATATACATTTCCACATATTGTGGCATGTAAATATTTTAAAACCTGAAAGAAATAAAATATTTATTATTATAAAATAATGATTAAATTTTATCATTTTCTTTAAAAAATACATATTTACAACCAAAAATAAATACAATTATAATTTTTTTACATAAACAAGTTCTAAAACATTATCTAATTTTTCAGAACAAAACCACAGTTCATGAAGTTTTTCGATACCATATAAAAATTATATTGATTACCTTTCCTATTTTTTTCAAATAATGTTCAAAATGTTGAATTGAAATATGAGGAAGATAATGAGGATCAGGAATATCAGTCACTTCAACAAAAGAATCACCCCATGTTTTTGTAAATAAGTCTTTCTGAAAAAATAAAACAAAACAGCACTATAATTTCCTAATAAATATTAATGAAAAAAGTATTAATTGTGTGTGAACAAACTAGCACAAAAACTGAAAGTCGTATGAAACTGAAATAACGCATTTTAGCTAAGTATATGGCTGGGATGTTACAGCAATGTTTTTGCCAAAATCAACAAACCGGAAGTGGTAATTAATATCTTTGATTTTACACATTTTTACAAATTTCTCAAAAACAGCTTTAATAATTTTGATTAAAATCCTGAATCAAAGTGAAATAAAGTATAACTGCTGAATAGTCAAAATTACCTCTGAAGTACATTTAATTATGTTTATTTAAAATAATTAAACATTTCATATTGTATCTAATAATAAAAAATGGTCAAATATAAGTTATGAAATAACTTGATAATTAACTTAGGGAGAAATAAGAGTGTCATATATATAGCATCAGTTACATAATGATGTAGCATATTAAACCTATAGACAAGGAACACAGGGATTCCGATTGTGGCATTGTGTCGGGCTTGGTATTCAGGAATATACTTAATTTCTGTTATCAAGTACTATTATAAGGAAGAAATTCATGTTTTATATATTAGTTCTACATTCCGCTGGTAATGAATAAAAAGTTATTTCATTAGATATTAAATTTCTATTTTATTGTAACTGGGGCAAGAGCGAATGTTGACAGCTGAAGAATATACTATAGAAAATAAATAAGGAAAGAAAAAATTAAAGAAATAACAGCAGCATACCAACCTGTTTCCCTTTATTAGGATCATTTAAAACGGCAGGTAAATTTTGGGCAGGGGTGTATTGCACCCATTCTGGTTCATGGCTATATCTGTCACTGCTATTACTGTTAACTGAACTTTTTCTTGAAGAACTATGAGGAATGGTCATAGTGTGATACTTAAGAACATGTCTTTCATATTCGGCGCTATTGAGACTTTCATCAGACATAAATAAACACACATCATTTTCACCATACCGACAAACTAATAAATCACCATTTCTTGAGCAATGTTTCTCTAATAAATGCCTGTAAGCATAATTATTTATTAATATGAAATTTACATGAGACATTAAATAAGTATAAAAAATGTTTAAAGTGTTTTAACAGGAAATTTAAAATTCCAAATTAAAAGGAAATGTGAAGAACAAAAACAAACGTAAACAGGGTTTGGATTTAATGTGAATTTTCCATCAAAATTAATCAAATCAAGGATTGATAATTTGTAATAATATATATTTATTAAAACATTACTTCAATATCTTGGATCACTGCACTGCATAAAATATATGCAAAACATTCACAAGTATGCAAGGATGACAAATTTTATTGAATCGACTTACTTCATAAAACCCTGAATAGTAGAAAATTTCCTTTTGTCACAATAATCGCATAAGGTCCATGCTGGCCTTTGCTCAGAGAGCTTTGACATACTGCAATCTGTTAATCAAATCATTTATGCTTTCATTTGATCACAATCCCATAGCATAGCTTTTTTAATAGCCTTAATTGAACTATTTTTTGCTACACCATTATGAAAGCTGTCAAGAACTTTGTTTCTGTCTTTACTTCTGTACATGGCGACAATACTCTATTCGAATACATGGATAAAGACATACCGAATTGCCATCATAACCTACATCGGATAAAACCATTACAACTTGACGTTTCAACAAAACAGCTGATAGCCAACAATCACTTGATCGTGATAGTTCGAATCTGTAGCTCAGCATATTTTTGTACTTCAAAAGAAGTAAAAGATTCCAACTACTAATCAAACTTGCTATCTCCTTGGAAGTTTTTCAAAAACCATGTTTTACCTAATGATTCTATGACGGATTTAATTATATCTCGCTTATGTTCATGATTTAGAGTACTTTTTTTAGTTCTATTGACACTACCGTCACCAGGAATAACTTTCTTATAAAAATTGGACAGCTTTAATTTTTATTTTTTTATTTACACCCTTCAGTACTTTAGCAGTGGCGAATCTGTTAAAGTGTAAGAGAAAAAATCCACGTTTATTATGGATTCTTTAGGAAATGCCCACAATATTGGCCAATATGCATTCACAAATGGGTTGAACAACCTCTCAACCTCTAATATCTCCACATATATTATTACACTAAGGCTCCAACTCAGTTTTGATCTAAATATAAGCTCCCGTCATTCTCAAATGTCACGAACTTGGTGCTGTTAGATTCAGAATTTCACGGGGAATCAGCAAATCGTACTCTCCGCTTTTTTCTTTCTTTCTAAAATAAATAAAGTCGATATAAACATTTTGCTAGGATTCACTACTTGGACAGTGATAAGCCAGTAGATCTAGACGGGACAAACTGGGATTTAAAGATTTTGAGTCGGACATCAATATCCGGTCAGTTCCTTCGGAATTGGGCTCTACGTATTCAAGTCCAAAAATGTACCATTTTCGAGAAAGTACAAGGCAAAGGTTTCGAAGCCATGCAATCTCACGTTAATTGTAGTGCTGTCATGAGGTACATGCCTCAGTCATCGACTTGAGGTCCCTATTATCCAGAGAGTTTATATTATTTATCAAAGGTGTTTTTTGGCAGTACGCCATATCTTCGTTAATTCTTCATCAAATCTAAATATTGAACTATCGTATTGAAGATTTTCTTCTCCTTCAGGTGGGAAAAATAATCACATCAGCCCAATAGTCCATTCAGATAAAAAAAGTTATGAAGGAAAAGAAAATTTATTTGCGAATAACTCAAAAATACTATGGCAATGTCCATTAAATGTTGTTTTTTTATAGTGATATATATCCAGGCAGCGGTATACCGTACTTTTGGAAAAAAGTCTTAGGTTACTTTCCTCCTGGCTGGCTATTGATTCCGGTGTATCTCTGGCCACGGGCGGATCTACGGGAGGGGCTTTCGGGCTGAAGCCCTCCCCCCCCAAAATGGTAAAATATAACCATGTTTTATCGGAAAAAATACTAAAAAATTATCTCTTAAAGTATAATTATTCGTGTAATTACATTTAAAAGGGCTTTAGGAATCACTTAAACACCAGTTCGTATAGGTACTTAGTTTCTTTCGTATTTTCCAAAGTAATTATCGTTACTTTTATGAAAAAAAAAAGCTTTCGGGCTGAAGCTCCCCCCAAAATTAAATCCTGGATCCGCTAGGGTCTCTGGCCATCAGTAAATATGAAATATGACTACAGCCAAACCCCCCGGCGTCCTCAGAGCTCCGAATTAGCGAACGGCTGGATCTTGGTTTATATTTAGTTTTAAAAAATTCTGAAATTGGGGTGGTAACGTAGGGCATGCACATTCAATCAAGCCTTTATTGCCTACCAAACCAAACGAAAGAGAAGGACAGCCGGGCCAGTGTAAAAAAAAAAACCCTCTATCACTAAATCTCTTGGAGGGTCTTGGGTTCAGTACTTTGTGAGAAAATACAGTTTCAAGGTCAACGGTTGTGCAGGGTGAAGCAGGAGTGCACAGAAGGGGATTCTATGGCGCAAGTTGCGCCATCAAGATTTTTGAGGGGGCATATTTTAGCTTTATTTATCTCCCTTGGGGGGATGGGCACCCCTGGGAAGAAGAATAGGTCGGCTGGTTGCACCAAATGTCTAAGATCGGTGATGATGTTTAAGACTGGCAATATTTATCTTGGACCTCCAATATTTTTTCTTGCGCCTATGGTTTATCTTCACAGTCCTGTTGGCAATTCGTTGATGGATCATTAAATTTTTCAGTTTCTCCCTAACAAGCTTTAAACCACAGGGATTTTTTCGGTACCTGCCTTCTCCTCCTCCTAATTATCACACTCCAATACATTTTTAAAATGAGAGTATTAGAGTTCTGTTAGTGTTTCTCATAAAAAATAATAATAATTTGTAATGAGACCTCCAGATTTTTTTCAGTTTCTGCCTTCTCCTCTCGAAAATTTTATAACGCCAATACCATCTGTGTGTTATTGCATTTTTAAAATCAGAGTATTACAGTTCCTCTAGTGTTTCTCATAAAAAAATAATAATTTATATATATATTTGCTTTTTTAAAACTTATTTATTCAGAATCATTACAATCTGTCACAATTAAGGACAAATTTATATATTAAAATATTTTTATATCCAATCTCAATCATTTTATATCACAATTAAATTAACTAATTGAACGTAATCCTGTATTTAATTTTTTGCAAAAGATAAAATAATTTTTTCTTAGGAATATGTAGAATCTGTATGAAAATTAACTGATATAGCTGAAACAGCAGATACCGAATAGATAAGAAGATATAGATTTTTCAAATAGGGATGGGTTGATACTAAAATTTTTGTATCTAGATACAACTGATACGGGTACTTTTTTGTATCTGATACTTTTATCTGATACTTTTGTATCTGATACAAATGGGTCAGTAGTTGGTCATGACCTTCCTACTACTTTTTATCTGATACTAGTATCAGATATTTTTATCTGATACTGGCATCAGATACTTTTATCTGATATTTGTATCAGATATTTTTATCTGATATTTGTATCGGATATTTTTATCTGATATTTGTATCAGATATTTTTATCTGATACCCGCATCGGATACTTTTATCAGATATTTTTATCTGATACCTGGACTAGATACCCAGCGGTATGCATGCTGGCGCTTGGTATCTAGTCTAGTCTTGGACTTATTAGTTAATATATAATAGTTCTAATGACTTTATAGTTATGTCAGGTACTATGAAGATATTCACACAGTTTTTAAAACAAAATGTGATTCATATTAGACAAAAGAATGGAATATATTAAATAAAATATAACAAATTCATGCAGAGAAAAAATTTTCCTAATACAACGTTCTTAAGAATTTTGTAACAATTGAAAAAATTCTTAATAGCTACGTTTAACATACTCACACACACATATATATTTTTTATTTTCACTGATCAATCTACATCTTGGGATTTAGATTATATAGGACTTGTATAATGTTTACAATACTATTATTGTATTCTTTGAACATATTAAATTACATATGTAAATCATTTAAAGTAAATATTAATCCACTCTTTTATTATTTTTTTTTTCATTAATACAATGGTATGACAACAAAAGTAATTTGTCGTTTATTTCAAATTTCAGTTAAAATTCCATAGTTTATTGTTTTTAGTAACTATCTTGCTGTATTGGGACCTTATTGCTCATATTATGTCTTTAATATATCAGTATAGTTATGTAAATCCTTCTGTTATTACTTATTTTTTAGTTTTTTTTTATTGTAATATGCATTTTGGCCAGATGTTATGTTAATTTTTATGTACAATATTGTTATTCTCAAGAGACTTTGTCCCAGAATAAAGGTGATTATTCTATTCTATATATATATTTATTTTTTCTGTTTGTATTACAGACCATGTAGATCTTTTGCCACCTTAACAAGTATGCTCAATCTCTGCCTGTCTTGGGCTATTTTTTGCCATTTATCTGCACGCAGCTCTATTGTATCTTTGTTGATTCTATCTATCCATCTGCTTTTTGGCCTTCGACTTGGTCTTTTGCCTACTATAATAAAAATAGCCCAAGACAGGTAGAGATTGAGCATACTTGTTAAGGTGGCAAAAGATCTACATTGTCTGTAATGCAAACAGAAAAAATAAAAATATATATATATAGAATAGAATAGAAGAATCACCTTTATTCTGGGACAAAGTCCCTTGAGAATAACAATATTGTACATAAAAATTAACATAACATCTGGCCAAAATGCATATTACAATAAAAAAAAACTAAATAATAAGTAGTAACAGAAGGATTTACAACTATACTGATATATTAAAGACATAATATGAGCAATGAGGTCCCAATACAGCAAGATAGTTACTAAACAACAATGAACTATGGAATTTTAACTGAAATTTGAAATGAACGACAAATTACTTTTGTTGTCATAATATTGTATTAATGAAAAAAATAATAATAAAAGAGTGGATAAATATTTACATATTACATATTAAATGATTTATATATGTAATTTAATATGTTCAAAGAATACAATAATAGTATTGTAAACATTATACAAGTCCTATATAATCTAAATCCCAAGATGTAGATTGATCGGTGAAAATAAAAGAAATATATGTGTGTGTGAGTATGTTAAACTTAGCTATCGTATAGTGAATATCTTCATAGTACCTGACATAACTATAAAGTCATTAGAACTATTATATTTAAAAATGGTGTAAAATATTTATTACAGGGACAAATTTAATAATAAAGGAATAAAATATATATAGGTACATATTTAATGTATGTTTTATTAGGTATCAAATAGGTATTAAAATATCAAACCCGATCAATAATCAATTACAGTTGGATTAAAATATCTGATACAATTATTGAGATATCAAGCCCAAGTGCCAGTATGCATACCGATGGGTATCTAGTCCAGGTATCAGATAAAAATATCAGATAAAAGTATCCAATGCGAGTATCAGATAAAAATATCCGATACAAATATCAGATAATGGAAAGAAATAGCCCAAGAGAGGTAGAGATTGAGCATACTTGTTAAGGTGGCAAAAGATCTACATGGTCTGTAATACAAACAGAAAAAAAAAAAAAAAAAAAAAAAAATATATATATATATATATATATATATATATATGTTTGTGTGTGTGTATGTTAAACTTAACTATAAAGAATTTTTTTAATTGTTACAAAATTCTTAAGAATGTTGTATTAGGAAAATATTTCCTCTGCATGAATTTGTTATATTTTTATTTAATATATTCCATTCTTTTGTCAAATATGAAGCATATTTTGTTTAAAAAATTGTGTAAATATTTTCTTAGTACCTGACATAACTATACAGTCATTAGAACTATTATATATTAACTAAAAAGCCCAAGCGCCAGTATGTATACCGCTGGGTATCTAGTCCAGATATCAGATAAAAGTATCCGATGCGGGTATCAGATAAAAATATCTGATACAAATATCAGATAAAAATATCCGATACAAATATCAGATAAAAATATCCGATACAAATATCAGATAAAAATATCTGATACAAATATCAGATAAAAGTATCTGATACTAGTATCAGATAAAAATATCCGATAGCAGTATCAGATAAAAATATCTGAAATTAACATTATAAGCGTGAATATATTTATCTACAAATAAATATTTAATTAAATTAAACTAAATGAATAGATAGTTCTAAAAAAATTGTGCACAACTAAAATTATAACTAAACATTTCTCTTATATCAATGTGGCATGTCTGGACAACCATTTTGTATCCATGTGAGCATCAGATACTTTTGTATCAGATACTTTTTGGTTGTATCTACTGGTTGTATCAGATACTTTTTTAGTATCAGATAAAAGTATCTGATACATACAATCCGACCCATCCCTATTGTCAAACTCCTGACCGGCAGTTGTTATCAGTGTTATCTGTAGCCTGATGTGTTTTGACTTGATATGTTTACTGGCTGATTCTGAAATTTTCATCCTTAAAATTTCTGAAATTTCGTTTAATTACTTTTTGAAATTATAAATCAATGATTGATCTCATTGTGATCCTTTGACCTTTTTTTAAATTTTATTAAATTACTTTATGTGCTAAAGAAATCTTAAATATCTTTTTATATTTTAAAATGGCAAACCCAATTCAATCTTACTCTCCTGAGTTAGACCATAAGATAAAGGAATGGTTCAGTTGGAATAAGGTAATTTTACATTTTTGCGTTGATACAGAAATATATGTTGTTTGTTTGCGTTGGTATAGGAAGTTATGTTGTTTCTTTAATGTAGAATGAGGAGTTTCATAAAGAAGCGGAAGCTTTGTTGGGTACTGATGATAAAAATCTTCTCTCGAAAATATTCCTTCAAAGAATAGAATTTGGTACAGCTGGATTACGTGGACGAATGGGTCCAGGATATTCCCAAATGAATGATTTAGTAGTAATCCAAACAGCTCAAGGAATTTTCCGATATTTAGAATCATTAAACATTCATACCAAAGGTATCATGATTGGATATGATGGGAGATACAACAGTAAAAGGTATCAGAATTTTATTTTGTATACACAATAATAATCAGTATTGATGTAAGCAGTTTGTAAGTGTCATATTGAAATCGCCTATATACTCCATTATTTTTTATGTTTGCTGCCACAGTATTTATCATTACTTAATTTTTCCCTAACTAGTTATATTGAAAGATGCTAGATCACAAGTGACACGTCTGGTTGGTCAATACCACAGTCGGGAAACCTGTGGCCTCTGTAAGCCAGTATTAAATCCTGGAAGTAGCCAAGTGTGTCTAAAAGTATGCAAAGGCAAACAAATTCCAGATCTTTTATAGATATAAATTATGATGAATAGGAAAGAACCTATCTCTGCTGACAATGATCCCTCTTGATATGGTTGTGTTAGTGTGTTACTAACAATGTTACTTATGGAATTTCTTCTGCATGATGATTGATGTGACCTTAAACCAGCTGTCAACCACACGTAACACTTTTGAACAGGCATCAATATATCAAGACATCCTTTCATTAAAATATATTCTCAAGATGTTTTTCTAAAAAAGATGTCTAGATTATTATAAAATATTGTAATAGTTATATTTATTGATTTTTTGGTCATATTAAAAGATTAAACAAAGTTAAGACAAAGATAGTACTAACTTTTTATTAAAACATTTACATTAAGATATTAATTTCTAAGTTATATCCTGTTTAAGGCCAGTTGCTGCTCTCAATGAGCAATATTTATGGGAGATGAATAATGTCCTTCATTCTTCTTATCAACCTTTATTCGCTTGATATTTAGAGTTAGTCTCCCAAAAGCATTACTCGATTGTTTTTGGAAAATATTGTTTCTGTTATCTGAATATTTTGGTCTTATTATTTTTACTATCATTATTTTTCATTAATAGTCTTAATTTTACTTTGTTGGATATCAATCCTTTGATTAAATTTTTCAACTTAATTAACTTCACTATAACACCATTTACTTATCATTCCATTTAGAATGAAAATTACTAGTAGATATATCATATATTTTGTATATGTTCTGCACCTGTAAGTTTAATTGCTTTATTAATTACATTTTTTTCTGTTTATTATCTGCTATTTGAAATGGTTTGATTTTAATTTGTTAATTGATGCTTGATGTTATAGGATTGAAATTTAAATTCAATAAAAAGATGTTGTCTTCCTGTATAATTCTGTAATTGTTTCCTTCTGATCAACCGGTTTTGGTCTTTGACCAGACCTTCATCAGACTATATTATGGTAGTCCTCCTCCCCTGCTTGTCAAGTGAGAACTGCTGTTCTCATCACCTGGCCATATCAAATAATGTTCTAAAATGGTTCCAATACCAGACCGAAATGACAAGAAACCGCTCGACGTTTCCGATTACTTCAGCACTTACTAGACAAACGCTCAATTAATTACAAAAGACTCATATACATGACTATAATAAGGTCTATTTGGACTTACGAAGTTGAGCTATGGGGCTCCACTAAACCATCGAATTCCTCTCTTATACAATCCTTCGTAAAATCCTCAATGCTCCCTACTTTGTTACAAATAAAATCATCCATAATGACCTTAATGTTTCTTATGTTTCAGATTTGGCCCAATCCAGATACCTATCCTTCCATAATAAACTTCAGAATAAACCCAACTCTCTAGTTTCTAACCTCGCTTCCTCTTTAATTCCTGGTAAACCTCCAAGGCGTCTGAAAAGAAGATGGTCCCGTGATCTCCTAAGGTAGACATATCAGTAGAGTGCTACCATTGGGTAGTTACTCAACAAGTGTTTTCACGTCATTATATCCATATGTTCAAATTTACCAAATGTATTTCTTTAATACACTTGTAAATATCATTAAGAAATAATAATAAAAAAAAATGGTTCCCCTCCTTCTTATCCCACTGCTCCCAGACAGTTGCCATTCCTAATAAATCTCCATCATCACCCCTTCAATTAACATAAGTTGTTAATTTAAGGTGTTCCTCAGGACTCCTCACTCTCTCCGACCCTTTTCTCTAATTATATTAGTAATATTCCTGACTCCATTAATCACTCCCGTTACCACTTATATGCCGATGATTTCCAAATTTACCAATCTTTTCACCTTTCCAAGATGCCTGAGGCTACCCAAAAGCTACTAGAGGATATTGACAGCATCAACAGATGGGCAGAAAGAATTAAGATAAAGCTGAATGCAGATAAAACTAAGGCTATTCTCATTAGTTTCCTTCCTTATTCTTCTCTACTCTACCTCAATAACTGCCCCATCCATTTTTTCCCAACAGTCAAAAATCTAGGTGCTATCTTTGATCAGAATCTTTCCTGGAATAACAATATTTCCCAGATAACCCAAAAATCCATAACTGTCCTTAAACAATTCCTAAGATTCCGTGATTCTATTCCTCAAAAAACCAGACAGCTTTTTGTAACCTCTCTCGTTTTCCCTCACTTCAACTACGGTTGCTTGGTGTATGGAGGGCTGTCTGAAAGACTGGAGATGAAATTGAAGAGACTTCGGAACTGTTTTATAAGATTCATTTTTGGAATTCCCAGGTGTCCTCATGTTTCACTCTGGTACGCCGAGTTGAGCTTCCAAGGTGTTTGCTGAGGCCAAAATATCACCTGTTTGCCCTTATTATTCGCTAGTTGACCTCCAGAGATATTCTATTTCCACAGCTTACAATAGCTCATACTGCGGTCTCGGTTTCAGGTCCTGCTCGCATATACATTGTCTTTTCTTGGTTTACACTCATTCCCAAAGCTTCTGCCGCTTCAGCCAACCTTAAAAGACTCGAAGGAACGTGCCATCAGATCCAGATCGTCAGCAAATCCCAGTATTTGCGTTGATCTGTTAAAGATAGTGTCGGTAGTCTGGATCCCCGAGTATCACGTATCACCTTTTCCAGGACCAGGTTAAACAACAGGTAGGCAAGCCCATCAGTTTGTGTCATTTCTGAGGTGATCAGTGTGAGCTGGAATGGAAATCTGTAATAGAGGAGCCTATGAAACAAACAAAAAATAGGAAAGAATCGATGGCACATTTCCGCATGACGACAGGACACGATTACATGCAAAGGCATTTACATAAGATTGGAGTGATGGAAAGCCCTGTGTGCCCTCTTTGCCAAGAGGACGAGATGTACTACCTGCACCTCCCAGTTTACCCTGCTCTGTCAGATGTCCGCAGTAATTCTGATGGAATCTTCACAAATTCAAGCAATGGAATCATGGCGGAATTGTATTGGGCTTCCAGGAGCCGAATGGCTTAATAGCCAACGGCAGAGGCGTTAAATAAAAAAAATATTCTTTAGGTTAATATTGTTAAAAATATATTTGATTTAACTTATGATTTTGAAACATTCAGGTTCGCAGAGTTGACAGCTGGAATATTTCTGCATGCAGGAGTTAAAGTATACCTAGTTTCCCAAGTATGTCCTACCCCCTTTGTTCCTTTTGGTGTAACTAAGTTCAATACTGCTGCTGGCATTATGGTTACTGCTTCACATAATCCAAAAGAAGATAATGGTTACAAAGTTTATTGGACCAATGGTGCTCAGGTGCTTATAACTTTAGATAAAAACAATATTTATTTTCATATTAAGTTATCTAGTTTACATATTACTTATTAAATCATTGTATTTTACAGATAACAAGCCCACACGATAAGACAATTACTCAATTTATAAATGATAATTTAGAGCCTTGGGTGAACTCTTGGGATACTTCAATTTTAGAAATGAGTGAGCCCTTATTGATCGATCCGTTAAATGAAATAATGGTAGCCTATTATGCAATAATCAGAGGCAATGTCAATGATTCTGAAATAAATAACAATGCTAATTTTCGTATTACATACACTGCTATGCACGGAGTTGGGTATCCTTATGTAGTTGAAGCATTTAGGAGTGCTAACTTTAAGGTAAGATTTTTTTTTTTTTTCAGATGAAACTGTTTTTTTTTAGTTACATAACATTATGTCACAATAAAGACAATAGTTATAAGGAGAAAAAAATTCATTCTCATCATATTCACAGAAAATTAATTAATTAAATGAAATAAAAGCAAAATGATAATATTGGAAAAGAATTTATAGTTAATAAAAATTAAATTAAATTAAAAATAATCAAAGTAAAAGCAGTCATCCATATCTATGCTATTTACAAGTAGTCAATAGTAATGGAACGAGGGTCCAAAAATGGACCTCATCGCAGGTGAAGGTTTAAAATGTAAATTACGAAAGTGTATGTTATTCTAAGTAAAAGAACATTGTCTGTCATTCCAGAACCACTGCTTTAAAAAAAGGCGGCTGATTTAAAGAATATTAGGCCAGTAACTTGAGGATTGAAACGTTAAGTTTTCACTTTTATATATGGGTTCAAAAGTGTAAAAACCAAAATTGCTAACACCGGCAACCCAGGAAAAGTTTTTTACTGCAAAAAAAGTCATATTTTTTTATCTTATTTTGTTTTTTCACCTATAACTTAAACGGTGCATCAAAGAAAAAAAAATTTAATAACTTAATTACTTAAACTTAATAATTTGATTAAGTAGTGTGGTAGGAAACCACGATCGACGAACACTAATTTTGACTAAATTAGTCAAAAATCTAGACAAATTACTATAAATGGTCCTGCAGCCTGAAAATGAGTTTCCTAAGAGGAAAAACTTGAGCTTTTTGGATGTGAAAAGTTTTCTATTGATCGCATTTACAATTTTGGTTTTTACATGTTTGAACCCATATAAGTTAGGAAAATAAAAACTTTTCCCCACATTTTTCCAATATATTTCCCCTTTTCGATCTTTAAATAAACCAGTCTTATTGGCCAATTATATGCATATACTACTGAATAGAAAATCTCAACTCACATCAGCCACCATTTTTTAAAGCAGCAGCTCTGGAATGGCAGATTAGATTCATTTTACTTAGAATAACCTACACTTTCATAATTTATACTCAAACCTTTGCCTGCAATGAGGTCCCCTTTTGGGCCCTAGCTCCAGGCCTACTACAGAACTCTGAAGCAGTTCCACCTGGAAAGAAAAGCAGGATTCCAGGAGATGCTGGTGCTACTCGCTGTACAGATGTGAGGCCACTGTCTTTTTTTCAACCTTTGAAGAGGATTGTAGGGATGGGTAGGCATGGATCGGGATCATGCCAGAAGATTTGGATGATATGTAAGATTGTGATAAAATTAGCATTGATAGAATGAAATATTGACTACTAGTCAAAGAACTTTAAACTGGAAGAATTGGATGTGTTTGATGTTAAAAAAATTAGCTGTTCTCCATAATTCTAATCCATAGGTACAGGAAAGTTTTAGGATTGTTTTGTAAATCAGTAATTTCTTGTCAACTGAAAGTTGAGATTTTCTATTTAGTAGTATATATATACATATATATATATATGTGTGTGTGTGTATATATATATATATATATAGTATATATAAATATATATATATAATAGTATATATATATAAACACATACTAAATACATGATAGTTAGCCGAAACATCCACCCTAATAACATGACCTGTGTGGATTTTAAGTCATTCCCAAAAGTAGACGGATTCAAATACCTCGGCTCCACAATAACCTCAATAAATGATCAACTAACAGAGATAGACCAGCGAATAACAAGTACGAACAGATCTTTCTTCTCTCTTTCAAAGGTACTGAAATCCAGAAAAATCTCCAGAAATCTCAAAATAAGGGTGTACAGCGCCGTGATTAAGCCAGCTCTGCTGTTCGGTTGTGAAACCTGGGCTCTAACCGGCACATTAGAAGCCAGAATTGAGAGATTTGAAAGAAAAGTTCTACGTAGGATAACAGGACCTATATGGGTCCAGAACCTTGACACATGGAGGAGAAGGAACAATAAAGAACTGTGGAAAGAAACTGGTCAGCCAATATCTCATGACATGAAGGCAAGGAGGTTAAGATAGGTAGGGCATGTAGCTCGTAGTAATCCATCAGGACGTGACTTCTCTACACGACAATGAATGCCAGAGTAGTAGGCAAGAGACCACGTGGGAGGCCAAAAACCAGATGGATAGATAGGATAAACAAAGATACGGCTAAGCTTCATGCCGCAAACTGGAAAGCAGTAGCCCAAGATAGGCAGAGGTGGAGAAGGATGGTTCAGGCGGCCAAAGATCTACAAGGTCTGCAGAGCCAACCTAAAAAAAAAAAAAAAAAAAAAAATAGTTGGCCATATCATCAGTTGAACTCTCGTCTTTTAGGTCAATTATGTGGGTTCGACATTTGTCTTCTAAGAGAATGCCAAAATACTAGTCTATTTTTTTTTTATTTTTTTTTTTGTAATAGTATGTAATTGTATATTATGAGGACGTGATTGCCGAGCATGTTAGGGCGTGGTTCTCAGAGTGCCCAATTCGTAACATTGTGGGTTCGATTCCCTCCTCCTTGGTCAGCCAATTGTAATTTCTTGGCAACCTCTACATATCTACCTGGGGTTGAAAAACAGGATGAGACTGTATCACTGTATGCAATTAGATATCATGGAATGATGTGATCTGAGTTTGATTGTTTTTTTTTTCTGTCCTGATGAAGCCTGAATTGGCAAAATGTTGACAGGTTATTTTCTTCTTTACCTGCAGACACAAAGGTATGGTTGGATTTTTCCAATTATAACCTAACATTTATTTTTCTATTTTCCTAAAATGATATAATGAAATAAATTCATGAAAAAAAATGTAACAAATGTATCTAAAAGATTTTGATTTGATTGAAACTTTCATTATAATGTTGGAAAACTTTGTTCTAGTTTTTATTGAGATATACTAGAGTACCTTATTGCACAGAATCCTGTATAAAAAACTTGATGTAACTCCAATGAAGACCTACGTTATTGAATCAAATATCAGACAAAGTAAAGAAAACAATAATATGATTTTTTGTTTTATTAACACTTGAAAAAAAAATTCTCTGTATTTGTTCAACCACTATTCAACATTTTTAATCTAATGGTAGGGACTCTCCAATATTTTGATATGACAACTCCATTCTTTTAGGGCACCATCTCAAAACCATTTTTCTCATACTCCAAACAATCCCTCGAATGTTTCATCTTCATTTATCTCATCCATCATCTCCACATCTTATTCTTCAATCTCCTGATAAGAAATTCAGAGAAAATGAGGTAAATGGATTATTTTCTTTAATGAGTTAATACTGCAGAATTTTTGCTAGAAACAAAATATTTTGTAATGAAAAAATATATTATAAAAAAACTATATACAATAATTAGTTGATCATATATGTTTTGGTTTTTTAATCAATAATCACAAGTTATGATTATCAGAAACTATAATATTCTTGAACTACTGAATGATCCTTAACATCTGTTTTATTATTAGTACTTAGGAACTTAAGTCTTGAATTTTGATAATAATTCTTATATTTTTTCCTCTAAAGGAACTTATACCTGTTAAAGAACAAATTGACCCTGATCCTGAATTTCCAACAGTCAAGTTTCCCAATCCTGAGGAAGGAAAGAGTGCTCTTGATCTTTCTTTTAAAACAGCAGATCTTAATGGCTCACCAATTATCCTTGCAAATGACCCTGATGCAGATAGACTTGGAGTTGCTGAAAAATATGTGTATGTTTCAGTTTAATATTTGAATTGACCAATTTAATATTTGTAATTTTCATTATTTTATTTTTTTTTGTGACTTGGAGATATATTTCTTCATTTAATTTTTTTTTCATTATAAGCTTCTAAAAATATCAATTTGTATATATTATTATTATCTCAAACATTTTTATTTGAGTTCTTAACTAAAATCTTTTCACTGATTCAGATTCAATAAAGAAAAATATTTAAATCAATTTAAAATATGGCACCACTCATGATGATGTTAATTTTGCATCAACAAAATGTTTTCACATAAAAAGTTTTTTTATTTAATATGTATCTAAGTAAGTAAATGTATAGTTTTATTTTAATAACAATAAGTGTTAATTTAGCAGAAGATGGTCTGTTTTCAATTGTTTCCAATTTTATGTTCTCTAGAGATGGTAATTGGAAGGTCTTTAATGGAAATGAACTAGGAGCATTACTAGCCTGGTGGCTGATCCATTTATATAAAGAGAAACATCCTGATAATAATTTTAAAGATGTTTTTCTCCTTTCAAGTACTGTTTCCAGTAAGATTGTAAAGACTATAGCAACTGCCGAAGGATTTAGTTTTGAAGTAAGTTTTTTTTCTTCTTATAATCACCTTGGTAAAACTATACAAGTGTCACTCCATTTTGATGGGTGGACCAAGATCCATTATCACACTATAGATAGATTCCGAGAATAGCCGAAGATTGATCTGTTCACAATATAACCTCCCTTTATTAAGATCGTGATGTAAGACTTCGGTAAACTCCCAAGTGGTCCTTTTCATTTGAAATCAGAGCGTTAATTAGCTTTAACTACATCACTACTTTTGACTCCTCCTTGCTATGCTCGCTCTAAAGTGGTAAACAAACACGGGTCCTTCGGTCCGTTCGGAAACCTTTGACCATTCATAAGATTCCATTTGTGGTGTGATCATGAGATCTTGTGCCATCCATCCTATCAAAGTGGAGTGACACTTGTACAATAGTCCCTTTACCTTGTTTTGATGTTGTTTTTAATTAACTGTTTTTCATGTGTTTAATACAAATATGCATCGATATAAAACATTTTTATCTCTGTTTGATTCCAGGAAACATTAACAGGGTTCAAATGGATGGGTAACAGATCTTACGATTTAATCAATACAGAAAATAAAGAAGTTTTATTTGCTTTTGAAGAAGCTATTGGGTTTATGTGTGGTACAGCAGTACTTGATAAGGATGGGGTCTCAGCTGCTGTTACCATAGCTGAATTAGCTTCATACCTTTACAAGAATTCGGAAACACTGACTGATAAACTGAATTGGATATATAAAAAGTAATATTGGATATAATAAATTGTTTCTTACCAGCATTACTATATTAATCTAATATATAATATATACTTATTTTAGGTATGGCTACCATTTATCTGATAATTCATATTTCATTTGTCGGGAACCATTGGTTATAAAAAGTATGTTTGATAACCTTCGAAATTTCAACAATTCCAATACTGTAAGTTAATAATATTTATTTATGATAACCGCTTTCTTTTACCATCATAGTGATTTTTTTTTTTTTTAGTACCCACAGTCTCTTCTTGAAGGAAAATATAAGATTGTTAATATCCGTGATTTAACTACTGGCTACGATTCTGAACAAACAGACAAGAAAGCTACACTTCCTTGTTCAAAATCCAGCCAAATGATAACCTTTTCTTTTGACAATGGTTTTGTAGTTACCCTAAGGACAAGTGGAACCGAGCCCAAGATAAAATATTATACTGAATTATGCGCTTCGCCAGATATACAGTGGGTATCTTAAATCAATGAATTTATGTAAATTAATTTTAATTCATCCATTTTCATGGTATCCCATAACTAGAAGGAAATATTCAAAGGAATGATAGCAAACCTTAAGAGCTACAAAATAGTTTATTTAAACAATGGTCCTATATTCCACAAAAAGAAGGAAATTTAAGTTTGGAGGGAGTGTGATCGAGTGGACTAACGTGTGTTAAAAAAAATGCATTGCCCGGCAACCTGATAAACCGAAGTTTAGATGATAATCAGGCATTAAAATCTCCCGCCCCTCACTTGGTCTAGGAAAAATACCATACAGCCCAAAAGGCAAGGAAGGGTTTGCCTGTAACTTTTCTTTACTGTCAGCTATTAGTATAATTTCATCAGCAAATACAAACGATGAACATTTGACTGGTTGCAATTTCCAATATCCAAGTGGTCTCTCCTTTGTTTTCCTCTTACATTCCTTAATAACATCATCCATAAGGGTGATAAAATATAGAGGGGTCCCTATGTCTCTCTGCCTGACTCCCATTGTAGTGACCAATTCGGCATATGTTTGATGGGACGTTTTAACATAGTTTCTGCAGGTCTTATAGAATTATTTAATTCTCTGTATAAGAACCTCGGACACTTTTTTATTTAGGAGTGAAGCCCATAACTCATTCCATGGTATCCTTTTATTCTTACCTTCTCTAAGTCTATAAAGCATAGGTAAACCTCTTTTTCCTACTCGATGAATTTATCACCTCCTCCAGTTGGTGTTCTACCTTGTTCCTCAATCTTCTTTCTAAAATACGTGATTATATTTTACCTGGGAGACTATACAATGAAATGCCTCTATGATTGGCACGTTCTCAAGTATCACCTTTCTTAAAGATTGCAATAATGATTGAGATTTCCCAGTCCTATTGGGTCATCTTCTCCTTGCTGCGGTTCCGCACTATCCTTATTTATCTTCTGGCAATTTTCCATTTCTTCGCTCCTATCATTCCCGTCCTGTAATTCTAAAGTATTCCTCCATCTTTCCAGTATTCGCTTCGGCTCACTTATTATCTACCAGTCCATAGCCTTTATAAAATTTATAGGATATTCCTTTTTATTCCTCATGTTTTTCCTTCTTCCACCATTTTAGCAAATTCCTGCTGGACATCTTTATTTCTCAGTTGGAATACCTTAATTTTCTTCTAGATATTCTTCTTTCTTCTGTGACTTTTACTTTGCTTCTGTTGTTTGAGCACACTCATGTTTACTACAAGAAGGTAGTGGTCACTTCCGATTTCTGGTCCTCTTTTCACTCTCGCATCTCTCACTCTGGGGAGCAATTTTCTTTTCACTATTATATAGTCAATAATGGACTTTCCATATCCACACGTCCTGTGTTGAGCAAAATAAGGTCATTTGCGACACAGAATTGTAACAGCCTCCTTCCATTGTTGTTCATAACCTCTTCTCCATATGGGCTTAGCACTCTTTCGAAAACCAATTTGACATCTACCCACTCTTCCACTGGTTAGTGTCAGTACTCTGATCCCAGATCACTCTGGTTATCGTGTGGAGGATTTTTCTCTCAAATCTTTCAATACTTTTTTCTAGGGCGCTGCTTAGTGTCAAGGTCTCACAGTCATATATTAGAACTAGCTTTATCATAGCATAGTACATCCTTAATTTGAGATTTCTTGGAATTTCAATACCTCTGAATAGGAGAAGAAAGCTCTGTTTACGCTTGTTATAAGCCGGTCTATTTTCAATTGTTGGTCATTCATTGGGGTTATTGTGGAGCCGAGGTATTTGAATTTTTCTACTCTCGGGAACAATTTCTCTTCTATGCAGATCCTATTATTGGGATGGAATTTTCAGCTTATAATATATTTTATTTTGTCTTCATTTACTTCTTAGCAGATTTGCTCTGCTTATGTTATCAGAGTCATAGTGAGTTTCTCAATGAACTCTTGATTACTTCCAAGTACAACTGTATTATCTGCATATCCAAGGATTTTATGATTCATTGCGACATGAACCCCTCCATTTTTGTGATCTTATCACCTTCTCCACCGCTGTTGAACAACATCGGTGATAATCCATGTTTTGCATATTATAAATAAATTCATTACAAGTAATTTTAATTAATTTATCAATGGATAGTTTCAGATTTTTTTAAACTTTGGTGCCAATATTTTACTTGCTACCGTAAAAGTGTGTAATAACTGACTTTTTCATTTTTATGTTACAGGGATATTGACCAATTGAAGATCACTTTAAAAGATCTGGTAGATGGTCTAATTAATGAATTCATTCAACCTACTAAGTATGGATTTGAATTCAGAAGCTTGTAAATAAGATAGAAATACATTCCTCAAATGATCATTGCTTCCTGTTAAATTTACTTGTAATATTTATGTTCCTCAGTAAAGCATCACTTAACTCATAGTATTTGTATCATATAACCTGTTGTTAATGTTATAGTAGCATGAATAAAACAAGTTAAAAATAAAACAAATTTACTCATCTCTTTTTTCAGACATCCAAGCTTAATTTCCTCCATTGAATATGTCTCACTCTATCACACCAACTTAAACTTCGAACACAATTGTAGAAACAGGAAAGGTTGACTAAATTTCTTTGGTACTACTTCACTAGCAGGCAGGGTCTAAACCTCACTTGTTATCTATTGTAATGTCAACATTACATGGCATTTAAATAGTGGCGCGAAAGTGCGGGGAGAAAGCGCGTGCGGATGGTGGGGGAAGTTCATGTAACTCAGAATGTGACGGGCCGCCGAGAGGTAAGGTGATAGCGGCCAAGAAAAAATGTGACAAGCTGTCAAGAGAGAAGGTACTAGCCAGCAAGCTGAGAAAATAGAAAAAGGAGTCCTAGCCGGTTCGAGTGTTGATAGAGGCCACTAGTGAAGATTATTGTATGTTGGAAGAAAACAACAGCAGAAAATAATTAAGTGGTACAGAAAACGGGACATTCCTAAGTAAGAAGAGATTATTTCGCTGGCAGGCGTAAACATTTGGGTGAGTGCTAACAATGCCATTTATGTTGACAGAGGGATAGAACCAAAAGTTTAGACCGGGACAAATTATTTTATAAAATATTTTAAATTATAAATAAGTGTAGTTAGTAATTAGTAAATTAGTGTACATTGTAGCTATTAAATGTTGAATGAGTGTTCAGTTGTCAGAACCCAACCTGAGAATTTATGTTATGTGTTAAAATAAATAATATATTGAAAAAGGAAACTCGTTGTTTGATTTATGTTGACAAAGGGAATGTTACACTATGTTATCTAACGTCACATCACATAACATCCTTCTTCTTATCCCGCCAAACCTTTCAGTTATTACATTGTTTATTTTTCAGTTATTCCATTATTACGTTCACTTATTAAATTCTTTATTTTTGGGCTGTTTGTGTTTATTTTTCCTTTTTTTTTTAGTTTATTTTCGTCAAATTATGAATCTTGTTACATTCTGGGATTTACCGTCTTCAGAAGAACAGGCTATTGAATATTTTCAAAACGTTGGGATACTTGCAGACGTGAAATTGTGTGAACGAGGTCATCAAATGAAGTTAACCAGGAACGTCAAATGGAGATGCTGTTGTAGCACTTGTGACATAAAACTTTCAATAAGGAAAGGAACATGGTTAAGGGCTCGAGGATTTCGTTTTTAACGGCTTTAAAATTGGTTTATGGGTGGTCCCATAACTTAACAACGATGAAGTGGGGCAAAGAGCAGCTGAAACTATCCCAACGGAGCTATGGTAACGTGGAACAAATGTGTAAGAGAGGTTTGTGCCCATGACATGTTATAAAGTCAAGAAAAAAAATTGGAGGGCCTAGCAAAGTGGTTGAAGTAGACGAGTCTTTTTCCAAACGAAAAAATCTTGTGGGGAGAGTTTTACCTCAGCAATGAATATTTGGTGGAGTTTGCCGAGAAACAGTTATTTCATTTTCATCTTCTATATCTACATATGTTCTTTAAGTGTTTTTTTATTATTTCATTTTGATCTTTTATATGTACATATCTTCTTTAAGTGTTTTTTTATTATTTCATTAATATATGTGTCGTAAAATAAAAGTTTTTTTTTTTTATTACATTTATTTTTGTTTCTGTTTACTTTCAATAATACAATAATACGAAGATAGGAATTACGAGAAGGCTTATCACTGCCATCTCGGAATTATCAGTGTTCAGGTTACAAATATAGGCAGATAGCAGTCAGTCCCGGCCTGCTAGTGAAGAAGTACCATTTCTTCTTTTTAGAGGATATGGTCATAATATTAAAAAGTTAAATGAGCTGTATAAAAGAAAAAGGAGAGGGTTTTAAACCTTAAATTATTTTAATAATTAAAGTAAAAATAAATATGACTGCAATAAATTTTATGAGAAAATAATAATTATTGATGATTAATCTCCATATTTAATTTTTATAGAATCTTTTGAAAGGTTGTTAAATTACCTGCAAAATAATTTAAAAAAATTCATTGGAATCGAACCAATATTAGCAATGATACAGCGTATTCTATTTTATACATGTTTTATTGCATTTTATTACTTTCCTATCGCTTACAGGTAAGAAAAGTATTACAATTGGGTCAAATTTCCGATGTGGAATCAACAAATCTTTACATTTCAGAGCCCCTCCCAAGTCCAATAAACACATTTTCGGTCCAATTTTTAAAAGATTATTAAACTTCCAACCAAAAAAAAATTTTAATTGGACCCATTTTAGCAAAGTGCAGTGTATTGTTGATTTTAATGTTGGTTCACGTGCTTGTTTGCATTACTTTTGTTAATCAAAGAAATCGTACTCATATCATTTCTCTGACCGGTTTTCAGGAAGATTACTCGTAATTAATTTTTGTTTATTAAATGGACATATTTAATTTTTTTTTCTAACTGACTTTATCTTATACTTCAGTTGGGATAGCACCCATAATCATCATTGAAACGAAATCTGTGGTTTTGTGAGTGAGACTAACACCTGTTCCTCTGGCAAATGTTGGCACACAAAAAAAATTTCATTTTTTTTTTTTTCTGAGGCTATACTTGAATGGTAAAAAGTAAATTAAAATTTAGTTTGCAGGTTCTTGAAAATGGCTCCTGAAGCCGAAACGTTGAATAAACATACATGTAATATATAAAAAAACTGCATTTTTTTGGTGACCTATGGCCTATAATAGACATATGTTAAAAAAAAAATTTCTTATTTTTATGTTTGTTTTCGTTGTACCTCTTCCCAACCAACTTCATCTGCAATTAGTTCAACAGTCATAAATAAAATAATTCAGGATGGTCGTGAGGCCAGAGAGTTTGGTGGAGCTCTCTGGGATAACAGATGACTACGTTTAAATATCTCTAAATCAACTCTTGAGTCCATAAAGAGGAAAAGGGCAGGAGTAGGGGTATTCTGGAGTTATATAATTTTTTTTTTCAGAAATAAAAAGCAATAATTAAAAACACTCACTGAACTTCTATATTTCTTTGGTTTAACATAGTAACAGTTAAATAGGCACTTTTGATGCAAATATATATAAAAAAAATTAAAGCAGATCATATCCATTCAAAAGATTTTCCTAAGAACTAAAGTATATATACAAAAATAATTATTTTAAGTGATATGATGATGTAACCTTAGCAAAAAACTACATAGTTAAAACAATGTACAATGTTGTTATATATATAAAATCTCACAGAATTTCAACGATAGTCTAAAAAATAAATAAGAAACCACATGACATATATATTAACAAATAGAAGAAAGAGAAAACAAACAACAACATTTACAACTGATACATGCATTAAAAACTATCAGTGCTAATATGATCTAGAATAACAACCTCTTTGGTTTACTAAATTATAAATACTCAACCATTAAAATATAACGTTATTAATAAATTTATAATATATAAATAATTAATAAAAATATCACTCTTAATAATGGCATCATTTCATTTTGAGCATTCTATGGTTTTATTAAGATTATAATCACAAAAGACACTATTTTATGGACTTTTGTTATTTATATTTGAATTAAGGCCTCTTTTTTTTTTTTTTCTTTTCAAAGATTTTTGTTTTTTACCGGCTAAGTCAACTAAGAAAATTTATTACCATTCAACAACAAAGCAAATTAAAAAATAAATAAATGGCTACAGCCATTTAAAGTATATCACTGAAATTCAAATGATACTACAGGAAAAAAAAAATCCTTTTAACGATTCAATTAATAAGATTTACAAGGACACTTAAAATTAAAAATTTAGAACCAACCAATATTATAATATTCTGCATAGTGATATCTCCAATATCATTTTTATTATTTACATGAAATATATGTACAATTGATAATGATTGTTAAGAAAAATAAATAAATAAAAAATTAGTTAAAAGTTTAACATATTGATCCCATAATAATCACTTTTAAGAACTTCAATCTACTTAAATATATAACATATTAACATATAAATTTCAGAAATTACAAGATATTTTCAATCGTAATTTTTTTAAACTATATTATACGAATTTCAAACAGAAAACATTTGAATCAAAAATAAAATAGAATTTAAAAAAAAATGTGAAATTAGTGCCAATGTTGGTTGGAAGGTAATAAACAAACAAATCATTACTATATCATTTTCATTACATAAAAGTTAGCCTCAATTACCTCATTCTTAATATGTGCATACATTTCTTATATAACCTGCACAAGCGCTGCAGAATAAACTTTAACATTCTATGTTCCGGTAACCAGTTATATTTCGTTTGAAATATATAAGACTATGACAAAATTTTCTAAATATCTGTTTCAGGCATATGTTACTTAATATGAGGGAGGAACTTGATCCATTTACTTATGGGATTTGGTCTTTTTTTTTAACCCTATTTTAATAGCATTCTCAGATAACAGTATACTTAAAATGATCAACTAGCATATTAAGTCTATTACAATGGTAGTCAAAATGAGTTATGCAATGCAGATTCTGAAAGAGAATGGAATTTGTGTTCTAGCGATACTACAGTAGCTACTAAATGTGCATTTTCAGCATACAGATCCTTAACCAGCGTATCTGCCATAGCAAGGCGGTCCAACTAAAATAAAATAATAATTTTGTATAAAAATTAAATGAACTTCAGTTTTATTATACAATCAATATGTTTTCTCTTTTATTAAAATAATATAGCTATAATAAAAATTAAAAAAACTAATAAAGTGACTCCATGCAATAACCGCAAGTCAATGAAATCACACACTAACATTATAACGTGGGCAGAAAAATATGGTTCGTTTGAGGAGAATCATAAAGTTCCTAATAAGAATATTTAAAATGTAGTGGACCAAAAATATGAAATTTAAATGGCAGTGGGGCGTGCGCATGAGAGGCAGTGTGCAGACAGAGAGAGAGACAGATATTTTTTTTAAGATTGGATGAGACAGATGGGTATTGAAAGGAGAAGAGATCTGCATACGTCTCTCTCTGTATCTGGAAGAAACTGACTTTTCTTGGTGATCTGTTTGGTATTGTTGGACTATTACATTTGTTTATATTAGTTAGTAAGTTTTTTATGTTAGCTTTAGGTTAATTGCCAAGTTATTATGGTTAGATTATAAATAGTTTAAGTTAGGTCACTCTTTAGTTAAACTTTTATTAGGTATCTTTAATTTAAGGTAATAGTTTCATTGGCTTTTATGTAATTTTTTAGTTTAAATTGTCCGCATAAATAATAAATGTTTTTAATTTTGATTATCTGTTTATAAAATATATGTTAAATTGATTAAGTGGATATGTGAGCTTTTCATATTGTTCTATATTTAAACTCTCTAATATCTTCAATAGGACAAAAATATTACAGAAAAACAGGTTATCTTAATAACCTGTCTAAACAAAAATATATTACAACAGAATTATGTAGCCACAAACCAGAAATGTGTTACCTGATCAGTTTTGTTAAAAAAACATAAATTTGTTAAATATAACATCTAAAAACACCTCACACACTTAAAATGAAAGACTAGTTTCAAGATATTGAACATTGACACTTTAAAATTTTTTTTTAAATAAATCGAAATTAAAAATTATAAATCTTAAGATATATTTTAACAACTACTACATAACAGCTAATTCATTGTTTATATCTTAAATGTTCCCCAGTAGTTATCTAAGAAACTATGTTTGTTACAGTACCATCATTCTAGCACGTCCTTCCATAACTTAATTTGAATCTAATTGATCAGTTGTCACGGGTAGTGTAACATGGATCTATCTGGTTCCTTATGTTTTGTAGATTAATTATAGACTACAACTTCCATTTCAACCAGCAGATTTCAACTTGAATTGGTAGTATCAGTAATGTTTACCTGTTGTTTTGTGTTCTTTTTTTGTTGTTGCAGCTTCTCTTGGGTGACCCTCAAAGAGTTTTGAATAGTTGTGAGGTCTATCTTATGTCTTTCCCAAGCTTCTGAAATCCCAATGCAAAAAGTATTAAAAATAAAATATTATAAATCAAAAACATTTAAAGCTGATAATATTATGATTATTACAAACAACTGAATTTTATCAGAGCTCAATTCTTTAATAGTTCATACAACATAACTTAAAATGGGTAATAAGCAGATAATGGCTAACTTTGTAAAATTGTTTCCGTTTCTTTTTGTTGACTCCTCAATGCGGATTGAAGCTCACGGCACCTCAGCTCTTGTTGCCTCAATCTATTTGATAATGATTGAAACACACCAAGATTTCCACCAACTCCGCCAATGCGAGCTCCCAACTGTAAAATTAAATGTCTGTTATAATTCATCATTAAAATTAAAACTTTTTTTTTTACCAGATGCATTCTTTTTATAAGATTTTGCTTCCTCAATTTCAATGCAGGTATATATTAGTTGAGGCAATGGTAGCCGATCATGTTGGCAACCAGGGTACCTGACTTAGGATAGTGTAGATTTGATTCCTACCTGAGTCGGTTAATGTTCATTCCATGAATGTATCAAGAAATGAATCTTGACACTTTTAACTTTTTTTTTTGTTTCCCCCTTCCTTGCCTTTTAGGCTAAACAGGATTTTTCCCAGGCCAAGGAATTATGCAGAGTTAAAAGTCCCACCGGGCACTGGGATTTGAACTCGTAATTAGTTTTCCATCACTAACTTCAGTTATCAAGTTGCTGATGCTGTGCACACATGTTAACCCACACGGCCACTCCGTCCCTAACACTTCCGATCTGGCTAGCAAGGAGTGACAACCACGTTTAGTAAGCAGACTTCAGGCCTTGAGAGGTTGGTAAAACACTCACTTGCTAGAATAATTCTGTGACTAATAAGGTATTATTTTTTAAATTTTTAAGCATTTATATTCATGTAAATTTCTGATTTATATGAAGTCTTGCATAAATATTATTGTAAAACATCTTTCCTGTTCTTGACGTTTATTTAAATCTAAATTTTAAAAAAAATTCGATGGAGTATATCTTTAGGTTTATAAAATATATCTTGAAGTTTCAAAGTTGAAATAAAATACATTTTATATTTGTATTATAGTAAGTTTTATATTGATTCGATTTCAGTTATTCATTTAATTATCTTTTCTTATTCAAATACTTAACAACTAACAAGCAATAAAAACCAATTTATGATTTTAACAAGAGATTTTTTTATTTAGTTCAATGTTGTCCATAAATAAAATATATTCTGATAAACAGTTCACTACCATATATAAAAAGATTTGTTCACTATAAAAAAAAATTATGTGGATTTAAAATAAAAATATTTAAGAAAAATTAAACCTGGTGAGGCTGTGCTTGGAGAGAGGTGATTTGTGCCATCAAGAGTTGCTTCCTGTGAGTAAGAGCATCAACTTCTGCTTTTAATTTATCTCTTATTTTTGATTTAGCTCCACAACTACAACTTTCCGGCTTTTTATGAAAATCCTAAATTAAAAATATAATTTTTAATCTCCTAAATTAATTTTACTAATATATTTAATAATAATAATATTAAATAATATGCTGTAGTGATTTTAGTTATGTTTACTGAAATTTATTGCAGCAAATGTGGTTCGAGTCAGAAACCTCAGCTCATGTATTGGGTAAATGTCCAAATAACATGCTTCTTGTCACTCGCTGACACAATAATATAAAATATCAAATATTCAAATTCCTGGAGACGAAAAATTATTTATGCTTCCTCGAAGTTTATTGTCTGGATAAGAAAGGCTCAGCAAGATTCACCGACATCTTGTCCTTTAGTGCAAAAAGAAAGGAGACTATTCTACAATTGATCCTACAATTAGATGTGAAACGAAGATAAGCAGCAAGATCTCGGATCTCAGAAAGATCCTCCGTACCTAAAAGAGAAATATAGAGACGAAATTTTTTTATACAAGAACTTTGATTTGGAAGCAGAGGGGCAATTCCTCTTTCAACTGCTAGTTTTTCGAAAAGCTACATGTTGCCAGGAATGAGATACAGAGTATGGCCAATCCCATTATTTTGGACTCACTGGAAATCCTGTACCATCACCTCTATTAATTCTGGTCATTGCTTTATGATTCCGGGTAACAGAATTGGAAAGAAAAAAAAGAAAACCACAAATGACATTTTTATATACAAAGCATGTCAAGCTGAATTGTTTTACTATATATTGTCAGTCAAATGGATTAGTATGCTGTGTCGGTTAGCAACACAGTAGAACAGCATTACGATTTTATTGTAGTTATATCTGTAACATTTGTTTTAAGGAACAATAACAATTTACTAAATTTAAAGAATTGTAATTTTTATAACATTAAATGTAATAATAGCATAATAAAAACTAAAAATCATAGAGCATAAGATTCCTGACTGTTGTAGAGATAATAGAAGAAAGAAGATTGAATTGGTATGGACAAGTTAAAAAGATGGCTAGCGAATGACTTTTCAAAACGACATTTGAGTGGGAGGCTTAAAATATTACAAGTTGGCCCGTGCGAATAATTCGCAGAAAATTTTATTTAGTGAAAAAATAGCAAAACAATTTGGAAATAAGTAGTTCGCATGTATTATGTAAGGAAGGATTTAATATTTTTTCATTGGTCGATTATAATATTCCATTAAACATAATAGACCAAAATATTTGTAAAAATTGCTTTGCTAGGACCGATTTTTAAACAGTGACTGGAAAGATAATAAAAGTAATAAAGGCAAAATAATGTCCCGATCATGGGATTTTCTAAATTATTAAAAAAAATAAAATCTAAGAACTGTAGAATTGAAACCTTAGAATCTAAGAAATCTTTGACTGTAGAATGGCTATTGGTCGAACAATTAAAGTGCCATTCATTGACATTAACGTATATTCCTGTACTTTGACCTGGAGAGGAATATGGTGTAGAGATTCCATGCGAGACCTTTCAGGATTGGGACTGACAAAGAAAACGATGAATCACTTAACATCAAGTGTTCTGAAGGGATCCAACATGAATTATTACGGTTGGCATAAATTGTTACCCCGTTGAAGGTGTATGTGTGAGTGGGCATGTGCGTGTGACTCTGGGTATGTGTGTGTGTCCATTTATTTATATATATTTTTATTTTATTATTTATTTTTTTTGTTAGTCAAGTAAATTAAACTAATTGATTGTTAATTTTATTTTTATTGAATTTTGCATGTATTGGGCCTTTATATATATATTTAAAATATTTATGACGCAGCAAGTTATTGTATAAATATCTGCATAGTTTTTGATGAAAATCTTAATGCTTGTGAGACCTGGGGACACTAACCCAGGATTTATCTTTATATTTTATTTTGTTTTGCTTTTATTTTTATTGTTTAGTCTTAGTTTTTGTTTCTTTTATGGTGAAGGTAGCACCATGTTAAGGTAAATTGAATTGTGAATAAGAAAATTCTGTAAGTAAAAGAAAGGAAAAAAAAAAGCATGTATTTTCTGCCAAATAAAGAAATAATAAATGCAATATCTTTAAACAGGAAGACATTAAGTATATCAAAATTAATGGACTGTATCTTTGTTAATAATTGTCCGATTTTAATTGTTTTGTAGGTAATTTAGTAATCTTTCTAATCATCATGGATACAACTAAGAAAAAACGCTGCAAATGATTTCACAATGGTTTATTATCTCCAAACAATTATAAATCTAAAGTAACATTACCTTCCGAGTTACAAAGAAAAAAAAAACAAAAAGTGATTCCAATTATTGGACTAAACTATTTTTCTTTAATCATTAGTAATATGCTAAAAAAAAAATAGCATTATTTCAGTAACACATTTAAAATTTAAAAACCAAACCAAGGATATAACATTTGGAGTAGAACACATAAAAATAAACCAGAGACCATATCTTTCCTCCTAATTGTCCGATTTTAACAATTTTTGTTTTTTAGGAAATTTCATAAACTTTTAAGAAACCATATACAATAACCACAAAAAGTAAAAACTTTTCAAGTTATTTGGAATTTAATTTTAACATCCCTCATAACTTTTTTCCCAGCTTCTTTTCGTTGAAGTATGTTATATAGATAAATTTAAAGGGCATCGAGAAAATGACTTTAGCGAAGTTTCATTGAAATCTGTACATTCGTTTAGGACCTACAGTCTATAGCAACGCAGGTTTTTCGGCCGCCATTTTGAAAGTTAAAGGCGGAGAGTAATGTCGATGAAGGAGGATCATCCTCGGGTGACCTCTGATTTTAAATCAAAATTTGAAAAAAAATCGGTCCAGTAGTTTCGGAGAAAATGCGCGGACTGCAGACGGACAAAAAAATTTTTATTCGTTTTTCGAATTCTACGCATCTTGAAACGTGAAACCTCAAATTTTAAGAGGGGGTTATGTTTTTGAATTTTTTGGTCAATCACAATGTTTCATTATTGAAAATAATAAACCAAAATGTATACTTTTTGAGTTATTCGTAAATAAAGTTTCTTTTCCTCCATAACTTTTTTTCCAGAAATTTCGGGGGGATGGGACTATTTTTCGCATGTGAAGGAGAAGAATATCTTCAAAATGAGTGGTCAATCATTGGATTTGATGAAGAATTGACGAAGTTATGGCGTACCGACAAAAAAACACCTTTTAGAAATAATATATAGGATATTATTGCATATTATTATGCAATATTGTTGCTTTCTCTATTTGCTTTCATGACGCTAAAAAAGATCCTCAAAAAGGATTTGTGCCCTTCAAGTTAGGAAAGTTAGATAAATACATAAACTGATCTACCTTTTCTAATTTTTAATTTTCATTCAAATTTCCTTTTCTCTTAATTTTCCTTTGAGATAAATAAATGACTCCTCAGACAACAAAAGCTGTATTTAGTTCAAGAAACACCTCACCAATCAGCTTAATTGACTACAAGGAGAACATAGATATACTGTTCTCTAGAACTAATCAGAGACCCAAATGAGTCTCTGAAGAATGTTCGTTTTTTAAAGAATGATGACCACCGGAGAAAAATAACTGCACGAGTTATTTGGGGAAGCAAACATTTCATAAAATTAATTTAGATCATCGCCTTAACTATAATTTAAATTGCAACTGAAGTCAACTATTCCATACATAATATGAATAACATATGAATATTATCAAAATAAATCTCATCACTCAAGTGTAAAGTAAAAATATACTTACTGATGTTTTGTATGAAGTAGATGGCACTCTGGGTTTTACAGCACATTTTGGACTTTCAGTTTGACATTGCTCATCTTTTTTCTCTAGAATTAAAAAATAAATAAATAAATAAAAATAAAATTTAAACTGACATTAAAAATAAAACTTAAATTAAAAGAAGAAAATTATTATTTTGGGATGAATAAGGACTTTATTTATATTAGCTTAAGCCTATCCTTGACTACAGAGCTAGTTTGGAAATACGCATACGAATTAAATGAGCTTCCATGTTTCAATCAAATTTAAAGAATAGAATATAGAATTAAAAAAGAAAAATCTTTACTTTTACCACACTTAAAAAATCTGGATATATAAATTTTAGTTTCTTAAAAAAATAATAGGAACTGGATGAGAAGAAGAAAAATTCAGTTCAAAAAAGTAAACTGGAGAAAAATATTCTTTTAATAATAAAAGAGGTTAGGTAATGAAATCATAACATAAAAGTTTTGAGTTGAGTTTAAAATTTTTTTTTTATTTATTTATTTAGAAATATAATAATCTGTCACGTGGACAATAATTGTAGTGATATATGAACACATTCACACCATATATACAGAAAATATAAAATTAACAAAAGTAAAATAATAATCAAAAATTATGTACAATAAAAAATAAAATAACCTGAAGATAGGTAAATTAAAAACATAAAAACACAGTCATACCTACATACAATATATACATTCAGGCAGGGAACCTCAAGCTACGCTTCTCCCTCCAACTATAGAAGGAAAAGCAGGACTCCAAGAGAACCCTGCGCTACTCTCTCAATTGTGTCACTGGTGCTAAAGCCAGTGGAGTTTGAGCGAGAGCGCTAAGTTTAAAATTTAAATTAATTGACCAGCCACAATTCAGGAACTGAAAATCGTTATCAAAAGTTGATGTATTGCTCAGATGAAGGTTAGAAAAATAAAAAACATTGCTATTTGACCGTTTCATCAACACATAGACTGAACCCTTGAACAACAAACTCCCCATTTGCTAATCATGATAAAATATCATTCTATATTAAAATTTATAAGTTCATACCTATATGTTCTGACTCAAAAAGTTTTAGTTTTTCTTTGAGTTCAGTTATTTCATTTTCTTTGAGAGATAATTCTTCTTCTGTCGCTAGTCTATAAGCATCATATTCTTCTTCTAAGTCTGTAAACTAGTAATCAAGGGTGAATAGTTTAGTAATAAATATTAAGAAAAAAGTAAAGGAATAAATATTTACTTCTTTAACAATAGAAACATACTTGTTTTTCTAAGAAATCCCTTTCTTCAATAGGAGGGAGAACTAGTTTCTTTGCTTGATCGCTCGCTATCAGCTCATCATATTCCAAAATCTTTGCTTCTAATTCAGCAAACTTTTCATCGTTTTGCTCTTTGTCCTATAGAAACAGATGAAGTTGAAGGGTTATAGACTATGTATGTTTACTAATTTAAACAAACAATTAAAAATAATACCCAAGATCTATGCAAGGTATCTATCTCAGTTAGTTTTATTTCAGAATGGTTTAATATAAAATTAATACTAGTCTAAAATAGGTAGAGTTGATTAGAAGTCCGTTTGCAAATAAGTGATTCAAGAATTGATTTTCCTAATAGAGACAAGGTATATATAAATATATAATTATATTTAAACAATTATATATGTATAAATTATAATACAGTATACTTATAATTATGATAAATATATAATACATAAATACATAGGTAAGGTATATAGGTAGATATTTTACTAAATAGGGACAGAGAGAATGTGCCTATACAATGGAGTACGGGCACCCCCAGCCCGAAGGCCTCAACCGACCCCCAACCTAGCCTCACCTTCTGCACAGGAAAAAAGATGTAAGTATACAACCGGCACTCACAGAACAGTCAATCCTACTATACAGAGCTTTCCACCACTCATCAGCACACTGAAGCCAGATGGCTGGCCGGAACATTGTCAGGACCAGCTGAATACTGGTATCGTATAGCGAGTCGTCGCAAATACATGACCACTACGACTGCCACGGCTAAGCAGTGCAAGCACTCCTGCCGTCTGCACAAGCCAGGGCTCCGGCGACGTCCCATAGTACCAATGTGATTCGTGTGTGATATATATATATATATATATATATATATATATATATATATATATATTCTATTCTTGGAGGTATATATAATTTAGAGAAATATATAAGAACATTATGCATAAATATATATATGAAGTATATTGATAAAATGAATAAACAATTAAAAGAAAATGTGTAATCTTGAACTAATACATTAAAACAACCAAAATTAATTGAATGATACTTATTCCCGGATTTCAGTTAATTCCTACACAGACATGGGCATTATAAATTGTAAATAAATAAATTAATATGAAAACTTAATAAAACAATGAATTATTAATACATAAAATAGAACTTACTAATTCAAATAGCCTTCTTTCTTCGTCCAACTTATTTTCCCAATAATCTTCAGTTTTTTCGTATTCTATCCTAAGCAGTTCGAGGCTATTCTCGAGCTCAGAGGAACGGTTGAGTAGAGAAATATTTTCTTCTTTTAAAGCGTCTATTTCTGCTCGGCTGGATAGTGAAGAAGCCTTACACCTCAAACAATCCATGTTTGGGCGCGTTATTCCATTCATTAACGATTCAAGGCGCAATTTTAAAGCACAAACCTCTTCCGAACAAGCTTTCTTCTCGGATAATATTTCTACAATCTTTGATCTAACTAATTCTAATTCTCCTTCTACTTGATGGCAATGTACTCCTAGTGTTTGAACTCCTACTTCTAAGTAACTATTACTCTCCGACTTATCAGTAAATTGTCCAGAGATTGTTTGTATAGAAGTACTAGAAGCATTGCTTGTCTCAGCAGTTGTCTGGAACAAAACATAAATATTATTACAATTAGTTTATAAATCATTCATATAGAAATAATCAATTATTTTTAGTGTATGAAGGTTAAAACTAATGACAATTTTATAGAGGTTAATTCTATTTCTAATTCATAAGATGTTCATATTTCAGATGGATTAATAATTAGCAATTCACTTTGTTATTTTATCATTTAGCTTGAAAAAATCAGATTTATTTGTTTTTTCCTTAACTACTAACATATACTTGGTACTAAGACAGAAAGTGCTCAAGCAGTGAGGGATTTGAAGTTTGTTCATTTGAGTTTTAGGATGAAGAAAGGATGAATTTGAAGATGGTCAAATATATGAATTCCAGACTGTGCTGTCCCTTTATCTCAACAACAATGTTAAACTGGCAAGAAGAACCGATAGCTATTAGTTTTAACGATATATAAATTCTAACTCTGTCAAACTGAATTCTCTCAACTTTATAGTAAGTTAAAAAATAAACTGCCCAACTTCATTGCTAATGACCTCCTTCTTATATGTGACAGCATATTTCAACTTTCAAAACATCTTGGAAACATAAATATGACATGCATGGTTAATATTCAATCGGGCATTTTAACGATTTGCAAATTAAAATATTTTTTAAAAAACTTGTTTTAATTGTACACTGATTATTATTTTAAATGGCCATCTTAAAAGTCATCATCATAATATACTTGCCATAAAGAATGGTAATTTTAATTTATAATAATCAATTATAAAACATATATAAAGAGATAGTACATAAAAAGTAAATTTAAAAAGAATTATTGGGAGAAGGGGGAGAAAAAAAGAGTTACAAATAAAGTTTTAATATTTAATGCATAAGACCTTAAACTTAAGAATTTAAACCAGGGTTTAAAACATTTCTAAAAAGTTTCATTTTAACAGTTTTTGTGAAACAGTTCTAAGGAACTTTTTAGGAAAAAAAGCTCTAAGGAACATTTTAGGAAAAAAGTTCTGAGGAACGTTTTAGGAAAACAGTTTTAAGGAACTTTTTGCAATAAAGTTCCAGGTTTATGGTAAAAGTTTAACTTATATTTATTGAAGTTCTTAAAAAACATTTATTAAATAAAAAATAACTGTAATTGGGCTTAGATTAACACTATAATTTGTCTGAAATGAATTACACAAGATTCTAATATGTCATTTGTTTGAGTTGCTAAGAATAATGTACTGAAAGTTCTGTTCTAGTTTCAAAAGAATTGTAAAACTATCAACAATAAAAATTCCAGTGATAAAAAAACCTTTTAAAAATAAAAGACTTTTTTTGGTTTCGAGCCCTGATTTAAACTTCAAATAGTCCAACTTATTAATTATCATGTCTCGGAGAATGTAAAATGCCCTGGATTTAAGATATATATATATTTTTTTTTTTTTTGCTATATTAGAGAATTGAATGTATAAAATAATGAGAAAATTGAAAAATAGGCAATTGTCTTATATTAAGTTTCATTGTTTATAATTTAAAATATTCAAAATACAAAAATAAATTAATGCTTTAACAATAATAAATTAAAAAGCTATTTTTTAAAAATTGATTTCACAAATTTATATTAAGCACTTATATATACATTATTTTTCCTTCTTGATGAAAATATATTTCATAACTGATCAAATTTGATTTTTTGAGTGGACATTTATTTATAATTATTTCTAAAATTCTTCAGCCAAATTGAATAAATAGAATTTCATACTTTAAATTTTAAAAATTAAATTTAAATGAGAAACAAAAGAAGTTTGCCTTAAATTTGAGACATTACTGTAATAAGTAAATCATAGCTGCTAATTTTGTCTTCTAGTTAAAAAAAAAATGGATTAACTGTCATCTTTAGATTACAAAATTATTATTTTTTTGGAATCAATGTTGGTCCATGGGTTCAGTTCAAGAAAAAGTAAATTTTCTTCTATTGTTCGCAAGATTCCAACTTCCTGGTATAGTGCATCTAAGATAAGTTTGCCTGTAGGGGAAGGGAGCTCACACATCCTCTTTCCTCTCAAGCTTCACCTGCTCTTTTCACCCTAGCAATCACCTCATACAGGAAATGTGTTTTTCCATGTTCGATTTTCTTCTAAATTCTAATTTTGTAAAAGAAAAGAGAAAAAAAAAATGGTGAAAGAAATTTCAACTTGTAAGAAAATTGTAGAAGTAAGTATGAATGAATGAAGACAAAAGAGTGAGGGATCGGCAGGAAACCTTTTTGCCACTGCTCGTCTCTCTCCTCTACTCACCAGCAAACTTATCTTAGATGGACTCTACTGCCCAAAGAAAATTAAGAATCTGCTACAAGTGAATAGGCCCTACAAATGAATTCCATAACCAACCGGATTTTTTTAATACAGGATCATATAATTTTCTAGAGTACAAAAATAAAAAAAGATACAAACAAATATTACAAATTTAATGGATATTCATTACTAATTCTATTCTTTTAACATCACCCAGACAGACTCTTAAGTAATCAACCAGCTTCATCTGAACAATTCAATGGTTACAAGTTCCATTTATAAAATGAGCCTATGCAAAGAGGGGCAACTATAACTACTAGATTCCTGGAAATAAGCTGAGTCAGCTAAACCTCAGCAGTTATGCATGATGTAATTATTATTGTGCTCACATAAACATTAACAGTCAGTGCTATTCATTTTTAACTTTATTATATTGCATTTATTTAGCAGTTACAAGAGAAGAAACATGGCTTATGGTTATATAACCTCATTACATACAAGGTAAATAAAACATTCTTCATAAAATATAATAACTTACCAATGAAGGCTCTGTTAAATCAGTCTCATTGATCTTTTCTTCTGCCTTGTAGTTAGGCATCAATAGCCAGTCCTGCCAAAATACAAAATTTGTAATAATCAATTTTTTTTAATGGGAATTATTTAGCAAAATTAAAATAAATCAAATCTCAATAACAAACCTTCACATTACATCCTTTATTCTAATATTTTGGTTTATTTAAATTTTATTTTATTTTATTTTTTATTTGAAGAGACAATGGTTTGAACAAACATAACCTCAACATATAATAATTCATTGGGTTTGGGCAGCTATCCAAAAAGGACTAAATTTAGAATTATTTGGTTCATTATAGATAAATTCTGACTGGATTCAAACATATATACATTAAAAATAAAAGGGAAATTGAAAAACAACAATAAAAAAAATAATACAATTTATTATAAATAAAATACAAAAAGAAAAACTTCCTATCGAGGCGTGCAAATACAAACAAAAGAGAAACAAAACAAAACATTAAATCATTACCCTTTAAAAAAAGAAAACATGCATACCAAACACATTTGACAGAGATAAGATGCATGCAACTTTAATTAATATACTACAAATAATCTGAACAAGAAACATAAAAGAAAAAAGTAAAAGCATAACAAAACAAAAATCACACAAATAATACAAAAAATAGGCTATGCCATTTTAAGACAAATTATTCACAAGAAGTAATCAATAATATATACAATCTGAATCCTTAAAGCTTATGAAAATAAAATAAGAATAGTTAAAAAGAAACGACAAAACTAGCAAAGCTACATAAATGCAATATATAATTAATATAAATGACATTCAAGCATTTCAATTTTTTTTTTTATTTCATGGTATTTAATCATTAGTTCTAAAAACACAAACAGTTGAACCTCTAAATACCAAACTTTAAAATTCATTGAAAATAATTGGATGTATAAAAATTTTAGAACAAAGGAATTTTACAACTTTCATCATGGCTTACAAATGGAAGCCGTACCTAATAAAAAAATAATACAATTACTATAATTTTTAGCGAAAAAGAAACCTCTAAGGAGAAAAAAAGAGATCAAATTATTATTTTAAAAATTGTATCAACTATCTACTTCTTATCAGATTTTTAGGACCAAATGTGAACAACATATCTAATATATAACTTCTACTTTACATAAAATCAAATAGATCAAAGACAAAGAGAATTTCAGACAATGTAACTTTTAATATCTTTTTTTTAAGAATATACGATGATTGCAGAATTTGTAATACTGTAGAGTTCAATTGTATTTACAAAATTAAAAATATCTTTATTAATTTGAGAAATAGATGACAAGCATTGTCATATTAGTATTTTTTTTATATAACAAATGGTTAATCACTCTTTTATAAAAAATATTTTGGTTTCTATCCAGATGTTTTCAATACATGGAAGTTTGATACATATTGGTTCAACTGTAATCTTCATTACAAACAGATTCAGTAGAGTAAAGAAATAAAAGAAAATTCTAAAATTAGACTGAATCTAGTTTTTCACACAGAATTCTCGGTGTCATATGCAGTTTTCCTTTTCTGTAGTCATCCAACTGAAATAATTAATATTTAATCATCATTAAAATTGAATATTAGTAATTCATAAGCAATGCCACATACCTCTAATTGGTAATGTTCTAGCTTCCCTTCCAGTTCTGCAATATAGGACTTCATTCCTTCAATTTTTTCGTAACTGTTCGAAGTTAGTTCCCAATCTGTTTCCTAAATATAACAATACATAAATGTAGGTCGCTTATTTGTTAAATTTACAATTTTGATTCATAAACAGATGCTTAAACGATAAAATATCAGTTCAATCAAATGTGCAAAATCAATCAAAAGCAAGGATCTCAATATTTTGCTTTATTAACATGAAAGATTTTTGAAAAACCAAACAATGTACTTCCTTTACAAAAATAAGACATCTGGAAAAACTTAAATTATTTCTGGCATGCGTACGTGCCCTTGTCGACATAGTACTAAAAAAATGTTTTTTTTTTGTTGCAAGGGAGATTTGAAATAGATATAGCAAATTATAAAAAGTGATTATAAAAGCTTAATCATATTTTATGACTTATTTTTATTCTAAAGATATAACCAGCCTATTATAACTAGAGTGAGAAGGTCGAGATGCATTCAATGCGAATTAATTAAATAAATTTCAGGCACAAGTAAATAAAGACTCAACGTTGTGAATGTTATGACACTTTAACAGTATTGATTGGCAAACTCTCAGCATCAATTGTGAATTTAAAAAATATATATAGTTGACACATAAAACCTTTAAATTTTTTTAAATACATTTCTATTTAAAAACAACCATTTACAACGTGTAAACAATTTATATAACTTACATTGTCTAATGAAGTAGCTGGCATAGTAGATAGATCATCTTCCAAACCGTTTTCACTTGGTTCTGTCTTTTGTAAACTGAGATCTATAATAATATAAGCAATACAAATTATATAAAAACATGAAAATAATAATGAAACACAATATATAAAACTAAGATGTGTGCTTTAGACCACACAATAGAAGTGAAAACATCAAAAAGGCGAGATTAATAATATGAAATATAAATTATAAATAATAGCTCATTGTGAAGATGATGAAAGCTGAACATTTCCGTGACTTACAGTATACAGGTCTGATTTTTAGTTTCTGAGATATTTTAATCCATATTTTCCATAAAAATCATTATCATTTGGTTTTTGACACGTCGCTTTAAGATATTTTGAATAACAGCCCGTTACAGAGAGGATGAAATGCTGAACAATTTCCTCGCTTACAGTACCCACATCCGATTTTTATTTTCTGAGATATTTTAATACACATGTAAAAATATTTCAATTAGTCAACTACAGCCAACTTTACGCAAGCATTACACAGCAGAGATCAGACGGCTCAATCTAATTCACTCCCCCTCCCCCCCCCAAAAAAAAAACACCTAAAGAAGTTTTAACTTCAATAAAAATATTCTTCATAAAATATAATTAAAGAAAAGAACTTGTATTTATTTTTTAATTAAAACATTGCTTAATTCAATAATATCCGAGATGGAAAACTGCATTTTTATTTCGTTTGTATTAAATAAATTAACTATGTCTGCTATATTTATATTAAATTAACAAGTTCAAAATTAAATTTTGACAAACATAGGTTTTTAACAAATAAGTAAAATTTTAAGTATTACACAGAAGTTTAACATAAATGAACTACATTGTGCCATGCCCTAATAAATTTAATACAAATGTTCAGGGAAATATAAAAAATAAAAAAAAGAGATATAAAACTTTCTACATTTTTCATTATAATTTGGTTTTAATAACAATTTAAAAAAAAATACTTATATAAGCAAAAAATTAAACACTAAATAGAACTTACGTCCAGGAGAATGCAATGTTAGGTCAGTTTCTGTGCAACATCTTCGCACCTTTCCAAGTCTGTTATCGGAAAACCTGACAGGAGATTTACCACGCCTTTTTGTACCACCTCCGTACTCAAAAGAACTCCAACTGCCTTCTCTGAACATAAAAATAATAATTTGATAATATATTTAAAATACCTTACCAATATATATTATTAAAATAATATAATTAATTACAATGGTGGATTCACACACATACAGACCAGGCCTTGTCTGAGGCAGCAATTTTGGATAGTAGTAGAATTTAAATTAAATTATATTTTTAGATTCAAACAAATTTGTAAATATGATAAACACTTTAATTGATAAAAGTACAAGAACCAAAGCTTGTCAAGTAAAAACAATGTTAAAGATAAATGGGCAGAGGAGGAGCATTTTATCTGCCATGCCTGTGGCTGGCAAGCCGTGGTAATTGATTAAATACATTTTATTTAATAACAGGTCAGTATTTTTAGCTCAAATTGTTTTAAAACACTCAGAAGATCTCAGAGAATAATTTGAGTCTTCAAACTTAAAAATCTATCCAGCCATTCATTCAAAAAAGGGTTACATAGATTTTGATAGACTATCAAAAAATATAACCTTTTTTGTTGTTATTTTAGAGCTTAGAGGCATAAAACTCCGAAGTCATCAATGCCTATAATATATATAATCCTCGTGTCACTTTGCTTAGTCAGATAAAAATTAAATGGAGAAGGGAGGGAAATGTTAGTAGAAGAACACATTATTGAGAATTAGTACCAAAATTGATAGAATACATTCAAGGAGCTATGAGAAAACTTAAATGAGCTCCAGGTTAAGCATTTTTTAAAACTGAAATGGTCAAAAGAGCATAGCAATATGAAGTAACGCAATTTAAGAATATATTGGTTTGCCCTGTTATGGGTAAATTATAGATTTTTCCTTAAAATGATGAAACTTTCATATCATACCATCTAAAGAAATTAAGATTCCTGTTTTGATTAATTTCAAAAGTTTGACAAAAATTATAAAATATAACATATCAAAGATGATTAAAAAATGCTAAGCAATCCTGAAGGAAATAAATATTTAAAAATATATAAATAATTACAAACCTCCTTTTGGAGTTCCTACAGATTAGAAGCTCTATTTGTGATGTTAACTCATCATTCTTATCTCTAAGCTCTGTATTTTCTGTCTGCAGAAGATTAATTTTATCTTGAAGTTTTTCAGCCTTTTCATTTCCACACTCCAACTCCAGCACCTAAAATGAGAGATTATGGTATTAATTAAAACAATTATGTGTTAAGATGAAACACCTTTTCAATTTATAATTTATGAATTTTGTTAGCTATCCATTTTCATTTAAATTCTTTCTCCCAATAATGTTTTAGAATCGCAATTTTATTACTTTATAAATAAAATTTATAGAAGCAAACAAAAGTTGTAAGATAAAAACAAAAATTTAAATTATTAGTATTAATTTTTAATTTACCCTTTGATGTAAAGCTTCCATACACTCCAACTGTTCTTGATATTCCCGCCTGATTGCATCGTTGGCATTTAACTTCTTAGTCAGAGCTTGATTTTCCTTTTCCAGATTCTCGTATTCCTAAAAAATTATTACAGCATCCAATAGTATCCATTTCAAGAAATATTATTTGTTCATTTCACATTTATTAACACTTTCTCTGCAGAGCTTGGTTTTGTACAAAATTGTCCTTAAACAAGTAGGCGATAAAAGCTGTGAAATTTTTATCACTATTGCAAAATATATGAACTATAAACTGTTGTGCACATCATCACTGAATGATAATGAAGAACATCGTGGTCCCACACACACAACTCAAGATAGCATGATACTCTTCAAAACTAGGCTTTTTGATGCATATTTATTTGTAATTATGTTCACTTTATTTTATTTTTTTAAATGATAACATAAAAATGTGAATTGAATACTATAATTTAAATAACCTTTTGTAAAGAAGTAAGATCTTGCCAAACTTTACTAAGCTGTTCAACATGGTTGGCAAGTGATTCCTCCAATCTTTGACTATTCGCAACAAGCTGTTCTCTCTCAAAAGCCATTTGTTTCTTTAGTAGTTTTATTTCCTCCGCATGCTTTTGTTCGAGAGTCCTAAAATTAAATTATAAATCTCAATTAAACGAAAATAATGGATTAGCTACAGAAAGAAGAAAATGGCCTATTGTCATGAAAAGTAAAAATAATTTCATTGCCAATCAAATATGAAAGAATCCATTTCAAGATATCAAAGTTAAGAAATAATTCATTACATTAACACGTTAACTACCGACTACAAGATAACTGTTAATTTGTGTTACTGCCTAGGATACCAATTATTAGTTAATTTGAAGTTTGTTGACTTGCCATATTTGTGCGGTTAGAATGGAATTTATAGTTTATCAGTATAAATACAAAAATATGGCCACATGGAAGAAAATAAAAACCAAAATTGTCTTACATGACAGAAAATCCATTAATTATTTTAAATGTATCTAAGTACAAATTAACCTGTAGTTAGCTTTTACAAAAAGCTTCCCATTACATAAATCAACTCTTTAAAAAAAATATATCCTGTATGCTGTTTAATGCTTACTACATAAAATAATTAGATTTAATAAATAAAAATGATTAAATTAAACTAACTTTTTACATGAGAATCCTGAAAAGTGCCACGGAAATCAATGTAGTATATAATTTAAATAAGAGCAGGTTAAAATTATTCTGATCAGATCTAGTTTGTTGGTTAATTACAGGATTTGAAAAATAAAAATTATTAAATACATTTTTTCTTAGTTGTTACAAAAAAACATAACATACTCTACAGTCAAAGCAGCTGTTTTTTCTATTCTAGCGTGTCTTTCGTCAATTTCTTGAGCAAGTAATGTTGACCTTCTATCAGCATCAGCTAAGTCAGATTTCAATTTATCTCTCTCTTCTGTTACTGCTTCTAATTCACACCTACAAAATAAGGATTTCTTATATGTAATATTAAAATGAAAATAATGGATAAAAAATCTATACATGTGAGGTTTAATTTTGTGACAAACGAATCACTAATCTAAGGGAATTATATCGATAATGAGGATTAATTCTTTATTTACAGAATGGTATAATACAGGGTTCTCCAAACTTTTTAGCCCTTGGGGCGGATTGAGACCTTTACTCACTATGTCCCGTGGCCCATGGCTTGTGACAAAAAAAATCTTGTTCTATAAATGACTCTTCAGTTGTGAAATGAGCTTTCTAAGAGAACAAAAACATGCAATAAATTTGATAGTAACCTCTAGTGTTAGTAATTTGTAAAATTTCATATTTTTTTTTTTAATTTTACCATGTAATCAAAGAAACTTTTGCAGGCCGGATTGGAGGTGCTTGCGGGCCTGATTCGGTCCGTAGGCCATAGTTTGGAGACCTCTGGTATAATGGAACAGGGAGGAGTTACATGCACCAGAGATAAATAAATCAACTTCAAAAATACTCACTTAAGTGTTTGTAATTCATGGAGGAGACGCCTGTTCCCAGCATGAGGAAAATCACAAAGATCCATTATGTTCGGCGATTTGCTGTACCTACAAATTAAAAAAGTATTTAGAATAATACCATTAATTTTTAATAGCAGTAATACTAATATATCAAATCATTAACAATAAAAAAGAACATGAGAGCATTTAATGTAAATAGTAAGATATATTTTTTTTAAAGGAGGGAGATGGTCCGGGGTGGCGGTCATAAATAGGCTAAATAATGGCAAAACTATTTTATTAAAAGCCTATGACCCCGGACCATCTCCCTCCTTTATAATGCAACGGTCAACTATTAAATACTCGATAAATATTTTTATTTAATTAAGTAAATTTTTATGTCAGTCTTCTAAATTTGAATATGGCTTCTTGAATTTGGTTTCCAAAAAAAATGAAACTCATAATAGTCCACAGTTCAGAGCCCTTTTATATCAAATTATTAACAACAGTCTAAAACTTCATGAACGGTTTTCTCTTGTCGTAACTTACAAATTTTTCTACGAAAATTCTCAGAAATGGGTGGTTAAATTGATTAGGTATTAAAATGTCATAAATACCAATTTGCTTTCAACTTGAATAGTAAGATAATTTGATCACAAGATCGATAAAAAAGATGACCTACAAAAATATTGGGCTGTTTGGTCTATATAACCTCATTATTTTTACATGGGATGGATGTCACACCAAACGGTCCTATATTTTTGTAGGTCACCTTTCATTCTCGATTTTTTAACCACAGTATCTTACAATTCTAGTGAAAAGCAGATGGATGTTCAAGTATTTTTAATACCTATTTAAATAAACAAAATTTTTAAATCTTCAGATAGAAATATTCCAATTCCGAGAATTTTCGTAAATGAAAAAGTTGGAAGTTATGATGAGATGACGTTATTCACAAATTTTTAGGTGGATGTTAATAATTTCATAGAGAGGGGTCTGTACCACGGACTATAAACAAATCAGATGGAATTGTGACAATGAGATTTATAAAATTAATCAATAGCCAATAAATTTGATAATCAATTCAAGAGACAAGATAATCTGTGAAAATATATATTTTTAATAATTAAATATGATATTAAAAATTTTAATTAATTTAATAAACTTACTGAACAAAATGAGGTGTTTGCGTTGGTTCTTCAATTTTCGATTTAAAAAACTCCAAAAAATCTTCGAAACTAATACGACCTTCTTCATCAGTTTTTAAAGATGAGAAAACTTGGGAAACAACCTAAAGTTGGTAAATCATTATTTATTAAATCCAGTAAAATAAAAAATGTATTCATTATAATAGGTTATTTAATAACATCTAATTGTTTTTTTTTGGGGAGCGGGGTAGCTCAGTGGTAGGGCACTGAGCTTCCAATGCAAAGGTCCCGAGTTCGAACCCCGGCTCATGGCAGAAAATTTATTTATCTGTTTCATTGGCCGTGGGACGATCCTGGGTCAGAAGTCCCTCCTGAGGCACACCCAGCCTCTATAAAGTGGGTACCCTTAATTAAATAATTAATTAAGGGGGAAAACCTGGCGGTTGAGCGTGATCTCGGTCAAATCACCTCCTTGCACAACCGTTGACCTAGAAACAGTGCTTTCCCTAAATAGTACTGAACCCCAGACCATTCATGGGTTGTAGTGGTACAGATTTTTAATTGTTTTTTAATTGTAAAATGAGCAAATATAAAAATTTTATCACTCAGTATATTAAAAAATAAAATTCTATTAAATATTTAAGTCCGAAATAACAGTTCAAAATGCCTAAAGATGTAGATTTATTATTAAAGTATATTAACTTAGCGCTAAGTATAATGTTTAGTTTGAAACAAAAAATCTAAAAAGCAAGTTTTCTCTGCAAAGGGTATATTTATAGATTGTTTTCCCTTCATTAAATTGTAATAATATTTTTATTTATGTCCACACACTATTCATTGAATTAAATTATAGATGCATTTGAACAACAAAAATCACTTATCACCATTTGCATACATAGTTTAAGACTTTCCAGATAATGATTTCTTTAGGGTGTACAAATAAAAATGAAATAAATAAGTATATGTATATAAATATATATTAAATTATTTGACTTAAGTTATTTATAGAGTAATAAGATACTTGGTTGGAACTAGATAACTAAGTTCAGATCCACGATAAAGTGATTCCACATCTCACTATTGTTGATTTCATCATGTCAGCAACAATATACGGGTTGTTATGACTATCATAAACATAAATTTTATGATTTAAATTTTATATGCTCTAATTTTCTCAATCATTCATTAAAGGAGAATGCTAGGATTCATTTGTGAAAATGTTTAGTGCCAGTAAAGAAAAAACAGTGAATTGTTTTGACTATACAAGGAACTAAACATCTCATCTTATATAAGAAAACCGAGACTAAAATGACATAGCCATGTGATAAGGATGAACTGCAAAAAAGGAGCCAGTAAATGAATGTCCCGGATGGTGTATGTGGTTGCTTGAAAGGCCAATGGAGGTCTGGAATGGGACAGGACAACTGACCAGTGCAAGTGGATCTTTATACATCTATTGTACCAATAAAAGAAAATAACGCTTTATGCTATCTACAGTGCATCAGACAGTCATCCCGTGTGGTATAATATGATAATTAAATGAATTATCTTTAAAGAGGATCAATTTCCTTTGAGAAACCTGACAGTAAGTTTGATATAAATTAGTCAAAGTTGATCCGTACTACTAACTTCATACTGAAAATTATTAAGTTGGGAAATCACAGGTTTGAGATTGAATAATTATTTACAGAAAAGAACAATATGACAAATAATAAAAACCTAAAATATTAATGTTTAAAGGTAAAATAAAATGTACAAAAGAAAATGAGAACACTTAAAATATTATTTACCTGTACCAATCAAACTCTGAAGTGTTATTAATTACTGGTTTTAACAATGTAATAATTCAGTTATAAGTGGTTTTGATGAAGAGTAAACTAAACATTATTCAACTCACTATCCAGTTTGAAACTACTTAAGTGTTCTTTTTAACTTTCTCTTAATAAGGATTGAAAAAAAAAAAAAAAAGGTTTTTAGTGTCTCAATTTTCTCACTGAGAAATAGGCACAGTAATATAAAATTTTGATGAACAATCCTTACAGAGTCAAGTTTATATTTTCCAATGGTTTTGTCATTATTTAAATACAATAAAATAAAACAAACAGTGATGACAGTTGAGGAAAAATGTCTTATTTTAAATATATACAATTCATATTTTGTGAATCAATACCAAATAAGAAAACAAAAACAATGACAAAATTACATAAAAAACATTATTAAAACAAATTAAATCTGAACAAGTTATTAAATAAACACTATACACAATTAGTAGTGCATATTTTTAGAATTTATATCTGATAGATAATAACATCTTCAAAGGTCATCTGTTAATAGTTTGGAATAAAAACAAAATGTAATTTTGTGCAAAATTAAGATTACCTGATCAGCCAATGTATCCATTCCAACAGCTGAACAAACCATGGCTAATTCATTCTTATGCATATATCCACCTGTACCAACACCAAGTCTTTCCCAAGCACTACGCAGCTCAGCTTCGCAAAGTACTGCCACAAAAACCAATGTAATTAAGTTATAATAGTTACTATAATTAAGGCAAATCATATTAATACAACTTACCTTCAGAATCCTTATCTATAATAATTAAACCTGAAGGCTCCACATCAATATGTTTCGATATATCATTGCTAATTGATTCTTCATCATTAGTTTCATCTGACTTTGTAGTAAGTAAAGAACTGGTAGAAAGCTGTAATCAAAGAAATCTTTAATAATTATATAATTAATTAATAAATGTTATTTAGATAATAATCAACACAAACAACATTGTAAGTTTATCTCAATTAATTTACAATTTGAAGACAAATGTAACTGCTTTTAGCGAAAATTATAACAATTTCACTTTCATAAACTGTGAAAGCTCTAGTAACGGATACTTCTTTTTGGTTGGAAGTATGGGAATTTCGGATCCTATTGCAATGGATACGCCTTGAAAGGAATTTATAAAGTGTAGAAAATGTAATGGTTTAATGTTTTGATTTAAATCTGTATGCGTAGTTAAACATAAAATATCATGGTGTTATTGTTTTTAATTAAGAAAAACCAAAGCTACATCATCCTCATCAAATCAAATCATAATTTTTTTTGTTTAGTATTTCTGGTCAAATAAGAAATATATTCTGAATAGTAAAATATGAACACAACCAGGGTGCCCATCAAAGCAGCAGAGATTCTCTTTATTGGCACAAACATTTTTTTTTAATAAATAGTTTCAAGAATATAATATAAGTAAAAAAAATAATTGCTCAAAAAATTTAAAAAAATTATAGTTTGGCACAAAAAAATTACTGAACACACTCTAGTACGTGTGATATGTCGTCAATATACTTGTGTACATATCTATCATTACTATATAAAGTTATTGTGCGAAATAATGATTCTAAATCAAAACAACAAAGTCACGCTAGCATACCAGTCAGCAAAATATCTGACTATTCCATGTTTTCCAGATCTGGTAGACTCTAAGGTCTTTTAAAACGATTATATAATATTCCTTATAGTATTTATATTTAAATTTGTTCATCAACAGTTTTCAATGAAATTTCCTCTCCTCTGCAAATTATCTTTCAACTTAAATTATTACGTATAAATTGTGTCTGGTTTTGAACTTATAATTTAAAGAATGGCAGCTCATAAATTTCTTACCATAAGAAAGAAAGAGATAGTTATGTTCAATTAAAAAAAAAAGCAAAAAAGTCTTCTGTGCAGAGTTCAACTAAAAAATTTACAACTGTATAAATTAACTTCATTTCAATCAATAAACTTGTTTTGATACAGGCTTGAAGTTATTCATTTTTTAATAAACATTTCAATACATTTCCATGCGCCCCTCTGCAACAAACAAATACGTTGGACACCATGACTGTTTGTTGTGGAGAAGTTTCACTGAACACTTAGAAAATAAATTACTCTTATGTAAAATTGATTAAAATGTCATCGAACATAGAAAATTCTCCATGAAACATTTCATTAAAAATCAAAGACCAAATTGTAGTATTTTAGGGTCATTACATTTTTTCACAGCTTAGTTCTATTTTTTACTAAATATGAAAATTAAATGTAAATGAAGAATTACCTAAAATCATATTATTTTCAAATGGTATAAAACACAAAATTTGACGAATATCTACACCAAAATCACACTATTTACAGCAAATATGAGAACTTCAGGGTACGAAGGACATGCCACAAAAACTGTACGGATTTGAAACAATATCAATACCAATCTTACAGGTAAAACCATAATAGAGATGTAATATTCTTACTGATAATACAAAGAGAGAAAAATTAAATTCAGATCAATGACTATTAAAAGATCTGCTAGACCTCAAAATGTTCATCAAGCCTTATATAGAACTATACTAGACCAAAAGTCTTATATAATTGATAGATATTTCTCTAAGAAAATAGATAAACTATACTTCAAGAAACATAAATAGCCCAAGCGTAATGTGAACACAATTCCTTGACAAAACTAGGCAAGTAATATATACTAAATAAGTAAAATTTAATAAATCAACTATAATTTAATTTAATGTTACCATTTTATTCACTGAATTATTCTGAAGTAGATTGATGTCTCCATTGAATAAGCTTTCTGACGACCCCGAATCTTCTCCAGTGTTTTCTGGACGAGAACGCCTGCCATATTTTTTTTGACCATACACATACTTAGGGGACACTTCTCTCACTAAAAGAAATAAATAAATAACTAAATATTTTAAAACCAATAGAATGGTATTACATTTTCAAAATTTCTACCTGGAGAGGGCTCTCTTTTATCTGGATCACCTCCAATCCCATCTAACAACTTCAGAAGGGCATCTCGAAATTTAGCAAAAGAAACAGAAGGCACAGATGAACTGGGCCCATTGGGTAAAAGACATGCCATTAATTCATCTTTTCCATCTTCTAAATGCAATAATTCACACAACTTGGACAGACCTTCATTGTCCAACAGTCCTTTTCCATCATAATCACAACTCTTAAAAACTTCTAATAACTGTCTTTCATAAGGATCTCTGGGCAAAGATTCCATAGCATTTCAAATTTTCATAACTAGGAATAGAAACATAACTTTGCCTTATAATTGAAATATTAGACTAGCAGATATATAAAATAATTTAACTGGAACTTAAAACTATTAAACGTAAAGAAAAGTTTATTTTAAATCTTATTCTTTGATTATTAGGCAACTAAGTATTCATTCAAGGCGAAAGTTATTACTAAATGGACGGAAGACGAACACACATTTATAATTGTTAATTGATTCATGAAACGTATTGCTATATGAATTCAAAGTGTTTTTATTTTATTTGGAGAATTTCTGAATATTTCAGAACGAATCACTTCATACAAAAAATGAAAACACTGTAACACTTAAATGTCAACCAGTTTTTATCACCGCCATTGTTACAACTTTAATAGAAGCATATTAGGTAGACTTTGCTGTTGCAACAGCAACATTTAAACCATGTCCAACAGCTCCTGAACTCTACCGGCCAGTCCGTTAAACTCAGAAATATCTTGAATTTACGATAATAAGGATTTTGAATTGATGATATATTCCAAAATACTATCATAACACAATGAAAATAAACCTAGCTTATAGGTCAACCTAAAAATAACAAGATAAATCTAATATTGCAAACTACTGGTTGAGTGAATTTAATGAAATACTATCCACTCAATGACCATCAATCAGCAGATCGCAATGTTAAATGCATCTTCTTTCTAAAGAAAAATCATTAGATGTGTTAGCAAAGTAAGTATTCTACTTTATAAAACTCGCATTCGCATAGTCTCTACAAGCATTTATACCAGAAGCCAAGATTATCAAGCTGATGAAACAAATGAATTTGTTTGTTCATCCAATTTTGAAGGAAAGGGACAAGATGCTTGGCGGAAATTACTGATAAATTTTCCTCTTACCGGACATATTAAAAATTGTCAATCTCTCTCTTCAGAATACTTCAACACTTTATAGAAAAGTATTACTATTCTGAGTTGAAAACCACCTGTTTATATGTAGATTCCTAAGGCATAAACCGTTAATTTTCTGTATTCGTGCTGCTACAGTTTCTGCCTCAAGGAGAGATTTTTCATCAGCAGTCATTTAGTATAACAATGGAGCTTCGGACATCCAACTCTCCTGGTAACACAAATTTATTCAAATAGGATCATGAAATGTAATCGTCTAGATACACTCTTCAATATTACCAGTCCACCGAAGTCGATTGATGTCCATCCGAATGCATTCATTTTCCATGATTGCATCCCTTTCGTAGCTCATAAATCCACTTCAATCGGAGTAAAATCTGAAGAAGAATTCTTCTTGAGCTCTATGTCGTAGTCCAACATTCTTATTCGAATGTTACTATTATATGTATATGTTACTGGCCGGATGATTGTTTTATACACTCCTTGTTTTCGAGACACTGAATCCTGGATACAGTGATCCTAAATATTTTTGCTGACTTTAGTATATCAAACTTGGATGGTAGGACAGAGAAACTTGATCCCACTGGTTTGAAGAGGAATGCGAAGCTGCTACGAACCAGAAGAACCAAATATACAAGAGCATGGTTAATAAAGCCACAAGGAGAAACGTTGATGAATATCAATTGAGGAGACGCGAGGAGAAACGTTTGCATCATAGAAGGAAAAGAAAGTGAGAGCAAGAGAAACGGGAGAAGACGGAAACTTTTTTCGGAGGTAAGGAATTCCGAAATTTTTATGGGAAAATAAACAGGAACTGAAAACCCTACTCCAATGTCTCTTAAATCTGCAACGACCATGAGGGGAATCTGCTTTCCGACAAGCAGAGAGCCCTGTCCCAGTGGAACCATCACTCCAATGAGCGACCCTTGGAACATGATGAGGAATTGAGGAGAGAAGATGAGGACCACAGGGAGAAAGAAACAGATGAAGAGCCACCTTTTGAAGATGAGATCCTCGATGCCATCAACCGATTAAAATGTAACAAGGCTTCGGGTGCTGATGGACTCTCCGCAGAACTCATCAAGTGCGGTGGAAACGAACTGGTGAAGGATATGCAAGATCACTTCATTACAGTTTGGAAAGATGAAGTTTTACCGGACCCATGCACCAAGTCACTCATCTGTCCTATATTTAAGAAGGACAATCGACTAAAGTACAGAGGAATCTACGTCCTGTCTGCCGGATATAAAGTTCTTTCAAACATCCTCTTCAAGCGTTTGCTACCCCATGCGGAGAGGGTTCTCGGCCGATACCATTGCGGATTCAGAAAAGGCAGGTCCACGATCGATCAGATATTCTGCCTCAGGATGATTCTTGAGCGAGGAAGGAAATTCAAAATTAAAACTTACCACCTCTTCATCGATTTTAGGGCAGCTTATGATAGTGTGAATAGGGAAAAATTGTATGAGGCACTAAAGCATTTTAAGATCCCTAGCAAGCTCAATGAAGATCCCTCGTGAGGCTTACAATGAACAACGTAAGCTGCATGGTTCAGATCGGTGGAGAGAAATCCGAGGAATTTCCTTCAATAAAGGGATTACGCCAGGAAGATGCCTTAGAGTGCCTTATATTTGATCTTGTGCTCGAGAAAGCAGTGAGAGATGCTAAGATACAGACCAATGCCAACATCTTTAATAGATCTGTACAGCGCGTACGCGGATGATATAGATATCATATGACGTTGCTTCCAGGCTGTATCGAACGCTTTCCTTGCTCTGGTGGTTCCTTGGCTTGAGGTGACTTTCGGGGAGTACCAATTCGAAAAGACTGATATTTTTGTATATCTTGGATCATTGGTAACTCAAGACAACGCACCTGAACAAGAGATTCGGCGTAGGATCATAGCAGAAAATCGTCGCAAATCTATGGCAAGGCAGTTCCGGAGTAGAGCATTTCCAGAGGATCGAAGCTTCGTCTTTATAAGATGATAGTGCGTCCAGTCTTGCTGCATTGTTGTGAGACTTAGACTACTTCCCGGGCTTGTGAACAGGAACTGCTAGTCTTTGAAAGAAGAATTCTCAGACGCATATATGGTGGTGCTCTCATCGGAGGAGAATGGAAAACCACGAGCTGTTGAACCACCTTGTTTAAGGAGTCCGATATAGTTCGAGTGATGAAAATTGCAAGACTGAGATGGGCAGGACACGTAGTTAGGATGGGTAGCGAAGATCCACCAAGACAATTACTGTTGGAGCCACTTCATGGTACCAGGCGAAGAGGAAGACCAAAGCTACGATGGGCTGATAGTGTTACTGCTGATGAAACAAATATGCTGGGGCTTCGGAATTGAATGGCGGCTGCAAGGGACCGAGATAATTGACGAAAGCTGCTGGAGGATTCCAGGATTCGACACCGAATTGTAGAGCCACGCTAATAATAATAATAATAATAATAGATTCTGTACGTACAACCTTCTACTGCCTCTAAGGTTCATTTACTTAGAAAAGCGCCTGTGCCAGAACTGTCGTCAAATTCCTTATCCCAACTATTGCTCCTGGCGTCTTTTGTTAAGGGACCCTTCCATAGTCAATATCGAATATATTGACCGTTTGAGGTATTTATTATGATAATTTTAATATGTAAAGAATATTGCTTCCATATCATTAATTCAACAATATTGAATGGGTAAGGTGAGCTTTACATATTATCAATTTTCAAGATAGAAATCAACAGGTTACAATAGACACATCATTGAAAAAATTTTGATTTAATAATTATTTTAATTGTTATTTATTCATTTAAATTGTATATTGCTACAAAAATATTTTTTATTATTCATTTTACGTTGTCTAAACCATAGAAATTATATATTTTATATGTACTTAAACTTTACTTGGGACACACTGTTCCAGCAATACACGAAATTAGTATAGTCAATGCTGTTATTTGTTACCACTTGTTAGGTTTGAGGTCAACTGTTCCTCTTTTATTAAACCTTCAAAATACTTTCCCTTTTGTATTATGAACTGGCTTATGAGTGACCAACTATTCTTAACTGTTTACACCTGTGATAAAATTGTTTTAGGTATAGTTTTCTTAATATATAGATTCATATAAGCATAAGTTTATTATAATTTATTGATGTAGTTTTAGAAAAAATAAATAATTTAAAAAAATAAATCTGTTAATTGATGTGATCCATACAGAAATGCGACTGAGTTGACAACAATGTTTTTAAAAATTGAGAGACGCTATACTTGTTTTCTTTTAGGCATCATTGTTGCTTCTTTTACATGGGCTGTAAGTATTTATTTATATTGGAGTTTAAACAAAGAAAAAAGTATCTCACATACTTTGAACTCTTCTATTGGGTATAAAAGACAAATGCAGAATGATATTGTGATTCCATATGAAGATGATGAAAAGAAACGTTGGAGAGCAAAATCCAAGTATTATGATCCAAACAATTTAATTAAGAAAGATGATATCATTAGACAAAAATTGAATCCGATCCCTGTTAAAGCTGTCAATGATAATGAAATGAGTGATATTGGTATTGTGCGAAATTTGGATGATTTAAAAGTTAGAAATGAAGGCTACAAATTGCATGGATTTAATGCCTTGGTAAGTAAAAATTTAGATTATCATAGGAGTATTCCTGATACAAGGAATGATTTGTGTAAATCATCAAAATATTCTGATGGTCTACCACATGCCAGTATTATTATTTGCTTTTATAATGAACAATTTGATACATTAGCCAGAACTATTCATAGTATACTAGATCGTACACCTGCTAATCTCTTACATGAAATAATATTGGTTAATGACTTCAGTGATACTAGTGGATTATATGAAACAGTAAAGTTGTATATTAATGCTAATCTTAGCAGCAAAGTAAAACTTTATTCTACAACCCAAAGAGAAGGTTTGATTCGTGCAAGATTATTTGGTTCTGATAAAGCTTCAGGTGATGTATTGGTTTTTCTAGATTCTCATGTAGAAGTCAATGTTCACTGGCTTGAACCTTTATTACAGAGGATTTATGAAAATAAATCAGCCGTAGTTACTCCTATAATAGATATCATAAATGCTGACACTTTTGAATATTCTGCATCGCCTATTGTGAGAGGAGGCTTTAATTGGGGCCTTCATTTCAAATGGGAAAACTTGAGAACTGGATTTCTTAATAAAGCTGAAGATTTTATTAAACCCATACCATCACCTACAATGGCAGGTGGTTTGTTTGCTATTGATCGTCATTATTTTAACAACTTAGGAAAATATGACAGCGGAATGAATATTTGGGGAGGAGAAAATTTAGAAATATCTTTTAGGATATGGATGTGTGGGGGCAGTCTTGAAATTATTCCTTGTTCCAGAGTTGGACATGTTTTTAGAAAACGTAGACCATATGGATCTCCTGATGGAGAAGACACTATGATCAGAAATTCATTACGTGTTGCTCATGTTTGGATGGATGAATATAAAGAATATTATTTCAGGCAGAGACCTGAAGCTGTAAATGTTCATTTTGGTGATGTTAGTTCTAGGATAGCCCTTAGAAAATCTTTAAACTGTCACTCATTTTCTTGGTATCTTAAAAATGTTTATCCTGAATTAACATTACCAACTGATACTGATGACATACAACAAAGAAAATCTAAATTGCTTGTTTCTGATCTGAAGAAAAGAAATCAAGTTTATATTGGCCACTATCAACTTCGATTAAGTAAAACAGGATTATGCCTTGCTTCAGAAAAAGACGTCAAAACCAAAGGTTCTCGACTTGTACTCAGGAATTGTTTGCGTGTAAAAAATCAGTTATGGTCACAAACAGACAAGGGAGAACTTCGCTTAGCCCAATATCTATGCCTTGATGGTGAAGAGGTACATCCTCGTCTTTCTAAATGCCATGAGATGGGAGGTACTCAAAAATGGAAACACAAGTACTCAACAAATGTGCCAGTTTATAATGTTGCAGCAGGTATGTGCCTGGCTGCTGAAAAATCTCAAGTAAATTCTTATGTAATCATGGATATTTGTTCATCCAATGACAAAACTCAGTGGGATTTTATACCAGTTAGTTTGTAATACCTTTATTTTTATTTGCCCCCTGTTTTAAATCTTATAGACAGCGAAGAACTGTTGTTAATGTTGCCTTATATAGTTTATTATAATGGTTTTATTGTTAAATATTTATAAATTGGTCAAAATGTAGGCACACTACTAATACAGCCCAATCATTAGTGTGTTTAAACTACATTGACAGAACCCTTGACCAACTTCTCCTTAAATTTAATATTTATAGTTTATGTAATAGATTATTAATTGTTTTTATTGATATAAAATTGACTGGTTTTATGGTAGCTTTTGAATCTCTTTATGATCTTATATAAGGCTAGTGCTGTGTATATTTTTATGTTGAATTGTTTATATATGTATTTCTAAAATATTGTTTAAATTATTGTTACTATTTTATATATTTTTAAATATTTAATGTATAAAAATGGTCTAAAATTCATGACTTATTTTCTTAATGAGTAAAATAAAACATTACTGTTGATACTCTTTTAATTCAGAAATTTATTAATGGCTACCTTACTTCTGATTAAAAGCTCAGTAGGTATTTTATATTGTATATTTTGTTATCGATTTCTTAAAATTTTAATGGAATAATTTTGAAATAATTCATTGCCTAATTGTATATAAAATAATTTCATTTGATGGTAGATAAAAAATGATTACCTACTAAAATCTGTATAATAGTATATGTGTTTATGTTATTTTCATAAATGTCCTCTTGTTAAATTATATTAACAAGAGTCATTCTTTGCATGTATGATCTGTGTTCTTAACAAGCTTGTCGGTTATGGAACTGGCATTTAGCATCTATTTTTTTCATTTTGCACTGTTCTGAGTGCATTCCGTTGTAAACTTTTTATTCTGCTCATTGCTGAACATAGTTATACAATTTTATTTACCAACTCTTATTGGTAAAAATATATCTGTTATAATATCTATTAATAAGTTATTGAAGGTAGCTTGTCGACTGTTCTCCATATCATGGGTGATAAATATTCGGGACGCAGTCATTATAAAAACCAGTACTTGAAAATCTTCAGTGTTCGATCTAAGCCCTGATCGACCCACATGTTGAAATGTCAGCACTAATAAAAAGATTTTATAATGACTGCGTCCTGAATATTTATCACCCATCTATTAATAAGGTTTGATTACTTATGATTTTTATAACATTAAATTTTTTTTTCACCTGCTCTAAACGCTAAAAACTGTGATATCAACAATCAATGCTTTGTTACCAACTTAGGTATAGTTTGAGAAATTATCCAATTTTGATATGTTCTTCGATAATTTTATATGCTCTTGATAAAGAGCAATAGCATGAACCCTCTCTCTATAGCACCCTGCTATTGTCCAAGTTTTTCATATGTAATTGGATAAAAACTGCTAATGATTTTGTTTAGTTTGTTATTAACTGTTTAATTCATACCTCTCTATCAGAATCTTACTACTTTCTTTAGATAAAACGTGTAATTCTTAAAAAAATTATATACTAGCTTTATGTTAATCACATGTATATATTTACACACAGGTATGTATATTTTATTTTTATTTGTTTACATATTCTTCTGCTCAAAAGTTTAGGACCACCAGTATTTTATTCAATTATATTATTTAATCACCCAAAACCTAAAGTAATATTACGGTAAATGTGCTATAACTACAAAATACTGTAACTGACTTGTATTTAAAATTAATTGTAATAATGGGATATAATCAAATAATATATTTCTAGTTAATAAGAAGATTGTAATATTTCACTGACAATATTTGAATACCACAATGTTGAAATAGTAATTCATAAAAATAATCAATGTGTTAATTTGTTTTAGGTTTTATTTACATTGAGGCACATTTCATTGGTGGGATTTTAATAAGTTATCGCTCTTAGTGTATTTTGTTGTTTTCAGATTCAATGTTCTCTCAAATCTTAAAAGAGTTGCAATTTATACAGACTTTTTTTTTCATTTTCCTCAAAAATAAGTAAAAAAAAAGGAATTTTCCATTTAACTGTGTTGTGCTTTTTACATATTACACATGAACAATTAATCTGAGCTCCAAATTGCCACACAACTAAACATATAAAATGGGGTACTTAAAATCATTATTCGCCACGAAGAGAGGTATTCTCAGCATGATAAAGCTCGAACAGGTACACCCAGAATGATATCTACCTAAGAAGGTAAGTTTAATAATGTAAAAAGCAGAAGCAGAAGACTGACTGCCCCTCATGTTCGAGCTGAGATCATTAATGTCAAAAAAATTGGTTTCTATTGCATCAAGGAGACCAATTTACTGGGAAATGTAGGTACTCTAAAATTTTAAGACATGCTAATAAGAAAAAAGGTAGGTATCTATGTGCATTTGCTCATAAAAATTTAACAGTGGAAGACAGAAGAAAAAGTACTTTGGACACATCAATCGAAGATTCAGGTGTTTGGATCGTATCCCCGGATTTTGCTTCATCGGTCATCATCAGATAAATGTATTCCCAAATGCTTGCCCAACTGTAAAGCATAGAAGAGGTTCATTTCTCAGAGAGGATGTTTCAAAGGCTTCTTGCAATCTTAAACGAATTATGGCAATTCTTAAACAAACGGAGTTATAAAAACATTTTAAAGGACCTTAAATTACTTCTGGTCTTTGTTTGGTTCTGGTGTCATGCACTGCAGGATAATGACCCAAAACATTCTTCAACAGTGGGTATTTAAATAAATAAGATGATAACTTTAAAAGTATCATTTGGCCACCGCAATCTGATCGAGCTTCACAAGCTATAATGTTTGGAAATAAATAAAGGTACATAATCATTCTCTGATTTTTCACAGAGAAACCTTTGAAGGCTTTTGAAAAGTGCATAGGATGAGATACAATTTGAAACTTTAAATAAACCCATTGCAAGATTGTTAAATGCAGTCTTGAAAATTCAGAGTGGATTTTTTGATGGAAAAAAAATAGTATAATTTTATTTTATGACATGATTCTCAAAAGTTTGATTATTTTGTATATTTTTGTTGTATTAAAGATTCATTTGAGACACAATTTTATTTTTATTTAATTTATTCCAAAATTTATCAAATTTTCTCGAAACATTGTGCTGGTCCCAAACTTATGAGCAGCAGTGTATATAGAAATCAAAAGATCATGCTTTTGACTGATTTCTTAGTCAGCTGATAGTCTTGAACTGTGACTTAATTAATAAAGTTACAAGCTCACCCCAGGTCAGCAATGAAGACCTTAAAGTAACTTCAAATCCATAAAGAAAATATGAATGAATACATCTGAGAATCAATCAAAGAAAACTATAGGAAATCCTATTGGATGACATCTGATAAATTTAAAAATAACCAAATTTTTTTTTGCTGTTTAGGCTTGCCGAAATTTGAGTATAATGAATATGGAATAATTTGATGTGGTTTACCTCTAATACTCATAGTACAGGAAGTTTTCTATAGCCTACCGACTGAAAACTTTGTTTACGATTATTGTTAAAACTTTTTCAACTTGTTCCATGTTATCTACATTTTATTGTTTCCAAAAAGTAAAATAATCTTATTCAAAACTATTGAAAGTGAGATCTCATTGATTATGGATGATTTCCTGAGAAACACTGGAATAATCATTACAAAATCCCTTAGATTCAATACTTGAACTAGAGCCCTGAAGAAGAACATCCAGGAATTGTTATAAAGCAGCAGTTTGGAATTACTGGTAGCCTGATGTGGAGGCTGTTGGTGAGTTTATGGATCCTATGCTCTAATATAGTCTAAAGCTCCAAGGTTGACATTGCTATGAATTTGATGGGGCCTTTAACTTCTGCTGATTATCTGTTGGTGCATAACTATTAGTCATACATCCAGGTTCATGACTCATGAAGAGAATTATTTCTAATAACTCAATTGAACAATCAGAAGTAAATGCTTAGCAAGTTTGTTTTTCCTGAGTACATCTCTACATAAAATGGAAAGTAGCTTACTTCATATAGATTAGGAACTAGTTTCGTTTAATGGAAAAACCTACAATTAAACATTTTAAATTCTACATAATTCCATAGCATCTCGACTTTTCTGTTATAATTTTACGATGATTGACTTCTTTGTTAAGAGCTTTCTTTACACCTAATTTTCGCTTCTGTAATCTCATTCTTTTTATCAAATACGAGAGGGTGGAACTTAGGTCAAATGTTTACATGTGTTTAAGTTTTCCTCTTTAGCATTTTCTCTGTATTAATAAAATAATTAAACTGTAAAGCTTTATCTTTAAAAATAATAGCAAATTAAATTATAAAACTAATCTTTTTTTTTGTACTTAAACTAATATCTTTAATGTTTTCATTAAATATTAACATTTTCGGAGTCTGGACCTCCGTTTGCACAAGATACCTGCTGTGGATAGCTCAAGTGACAGATATATTTATGAATTCACCAAAGACTGGCTCCAGCTTCAGCTACGGACGGATCCAACAAGCTTAGGTCAAGTCCAAACGGGTTTAGATCGGAGCCATTAAAATTCAGATTGTCCACAATGTTCTCGAACTAACGGCGCTCCAACTATTCTAGAATATTTTAAGATGCTCCTATCGTTCTTTTTGTCTGGCTGTCTTTTTTTTCCGAATTTAAAGGGGAGCGGAGCAAGTTTGCAGGCAGCATTCACCCAACGTTAGACACGTGTGTAACATTATACAATGGACGGACGAGAAATATCTTATGCTTATCAAATTATACCAAAAGTATCCAATATTGTTGAATCCCAGAAATTCAAATTATTAAAAAAATCTAATAAAACTATCACAATCTTAAGTAGAACAGTTAGCCATTTTAGCCCTTTCTCCATAAAGTTTTTCACGCCAAAAAAGAGGTCTTCCATAATCTTCTACTAAATAATGGATGACAGTGTAGGCTGCACTTCCTACTAAAAGTTAAAGTTAAATTTTTATCATAAACATATAACCTCTATTCTAAGAATTTTTTTTCCTAAAAAAAGGTGTTTTACAGAACCCCTTAAAATGGAACTGTTTAAGCATCCCTGAACGAGATCCGAAAGATGAGTTCTGGTAATCGTACTAGTAAGTCGATTTTTTGGAACTATTTTCAAAAATGTTTGCTCATCATAAACAAGAAGGATATAAACTACTAAATCGTGGAAGATAATGTAGGCTTGGACATGTTCCTTCAACTATCATATGAACACTGCGAAGCACTCGTAGAGCGACCGTATTCGCAAACGCCATCCCTATAAAGAGAGTTGCAGGAGCATGGAAATAGTAAGCCGATTATAACATGCTCAACTTGAACGAACGAAAATAGCAGGTTTCCAATTTCGTTTAAGTAATAGGAAACACCACTTCTTATTTTTTTTAAATAACACTACAATCCATAAAGAGTTCTGGCTTCCTCTAACAGCAAACGTCATGCGTCTCTATATTCTGTACCACTGCCATCCTGTTTCGCACGTTTAAGTAATTTCTTGCGTCAAGGGACACACAATCTGCCCGCCTCACTTTCGATCTTGTTTAGCTCTGCGACGACTCAGGGGATCAGAATCCTCATGGGAGGTAGGTCATCATTCATTCCGGTAAGATGTCCTGCCTATCTGAGCGAGCGAACTCCACACCGAAATGATAAACCAAAGAGAAACTGTAGGATAGATAAGTCTGCTATAGTTTTTTTTATGAGACAACGGATCTATCTTAATAAATATGAAAATGGCTTCCTATTTCTGAATGCTATTTGGAAAAATGTTCAGACGTCCTTTATATTTAATTTACCCGTTTCTCGTATTATTTTCATATAGCGATGTATCTTATGTTATTATTTTGTGTTATTTTTGTAGTCTACTGTTTTGTATCCTCATATTCAATGCTAAGATTGATCCCATAGCTTGAAATAAAAAAATATTCTTTTAATAAAACAGAAATCCGTCCACTTAAAAATACACAACAATATTATGATACAATGTTATAAATTAATATAATATTATTAATAAATCTTATTTATCTTATAAAATTTTATTATTGGTTTTCAATCAATTAAATGTCATGGACCATAGACTACTACAGACGCCACAAACCATATAGTATCTATACTTTCAACTTGCGCATAGAATCAACTTGGAAAACGTAGCTCGTTGTTATTTGTGATCTATATTGCTCCCGTTATTGTTGTCCATTTTCAGCAGTTGTTAATTGTGTTATTAATTTGACAGAATGGGGAAACATAAGAAAGAACATAAAAAGGAATCCAAGAAACGTAAGCATCGTAGTAAATCCCGTTCACCATCTGAAAAAGAGAAAAGAAAACATCACAAAAAACATCATAAGGAAAAGAAAAGAGAAAAATGTTTGAAAAAAGTTAAAAGTGATGTCTCTTCTATTTCTGACGGTTAGTATTTATTGTTTCATTCGATAACAGTATTTATATTACAATTACTTTTTGTGAAATTTGTATTTGGGCTTCTATAGCCAAATGGCTTTTAAAGCCACTGTTGAAGTGAACATTCTTGTTATTTCATATCTAGAGATGGTTCTCTATTAATTTTTATTTATGATTTAACAATTAAAATTCTATATAGGTTTTATTTTTGTATTTCTATATTGTGAAATGGTTATCCTTCACTAATCAATTAAAGGTAAGGCTCTTGGAATTAATGGCAATCACTACTTAAAAGTCTGATTATTAATACTATCTGCAGTTTTGTCCATTTTCAGACCAAACAAGACATTGGAGATTGTGGCTAATCGATGATGGTGCTTGAGGTAGGTTTCCCTTCTGCCAAGATCTATGAAACTATTTCTAGAATTGAATCTGTTAAATTTAAGGTTTGATCTTTTAAATGGTATCCTACGTATTTTATGAAGTATGACATTAACATGAATAAATTCTGATTTATACTTCCAATATGAGTTTGTTTAATTTTGAAGACATTCTTTGTTTAACAATAGTTGATTTGGTTTCCTTAACTTATAATGTCATAATTCATGCATATTTAGTGTACTCTGCTCGGTAGTTTTTTGATGTTTTAAGAATTGGTTTTATGGACTGAAGAATAATATATTCAAACGGGAACCATATTATTTGTTCAAAACACTTTAAATTTTTGTCTTATAGTTTCAATGTATATTTTAAACAATCTGTCAATTTTTAACTAACATAGACCGAGGTCTTGCTGAAATAAGCGCCATTATTTAATCAATACTGTCCATGAGAACTCTGCATGGATTAGGCTTAGATCACAATCACTTCAGTCACACTTTTTCATGAAATGCTGAAAGTAACTAGTTCATCTGTAAGAATATGGAGATGACCGATCTCTTGAATTAGTTAGAAATAACCTTTTATACTCTATCTATCTACTCTTTACCATGTTCAATCATACAGTGTGAGCTGATTTATATTTGATGCCTAGATTATATCACATAACGTTAATTGAATTTATATATTATTCAGCTAAGGAAAAAAATATTAATAGATAAAATAAATTAATTAATTACAGCTACTAAATGTAAGTATGTATCAATAAAAATTGTTATCCCCAAAGGCATTTTTTTTATTTTAACAGGCCTTCAACTACTGTTCAAAGATCATCTTATTTCTATTCCTTCCAGCGTTAGTATCATTATAAAAAAAAAAAAAAAAAATGAAATCCTGAATCCACTACTGGACCAACTTAATAATGTAATAATAAAAATAAAATGTATCTATAATAATAAACAAAATTCCAATTAACAATTAATAAATTATTAATATGGTGGTTCTATGGTAGATATACACAGGTTTTTAAAAATGCATGAAAGAGAAATGGGTGGTTGAGATAAGAGACAAGTTGGCATCGTAACATTTGACTGTTTCCGGCACTCTGTGAACAAGTGTGACTGAAATGATTGTGAACGACATCTAATTTGCGTGGAACTCTTGTGAACCAGTGTTATTTAATCTTAGACAGGATTAGATTCTGAAATATCACAGTGGTTGTTGATTATATATCATCATTGTAATTATAATTGAATTGAGCAAATAGGTAATCCTAAAGCCTGAGATTTATTTATTAAGGTAGTTGTAAATCTGACAACAAATTAATATTTTGTTTCCCGAAAACCAGTCATGATAGTATTTTGCTATACATATATTATAATTCTTTATTGTAGAAGCTGTATGATGAATCACAATTTTTAATGTAATCAACAGTCCATTTTATTCAGAATTTCCTGCTGAATCTGAAGAGAGTACTACTTTTAATGTAATTTAAATGTATTTAACAATTAAGATCAATTACAACAAATGTTTCATATTGAGAAACCTCATGCTGCTTCCCCAGTGATAAAGTGTTGATAGATTTAAATAATTCAACTATAAACTTAAATAGTCTGTTATTTTTTTTTGTAAAGTTTTATCATATTACATGTTAATAAGTCATATAATATAAATCTTAAACATAAAGATTAATCAGGATATTAATCTAGAAGACGCTTATTAAGGATACAGGAAAAATGGGTGGGAAATGTGCAAGATCATGAGTTGTGTAGAATATTCCCCTAATCTGGGGGCAAGAGATATTCTATCTTGGTTTTTCATATTTTTTTTTACTAACTCTGGTTCATATTTATTAGTGTCACCTGTTACTATGTTTTTATTACTTTCACTTACTTTTGTATATGTATATAATTATTATATTATATATAGGAAATAATTATTATATATATGAAATATGTAGTAAGTGAAAGTATTTTCTATAGCTTGTTATCTAATATAATCTTGAAATGTGTTGAATTCTTAGTTCAGATTTGATGTTATTTTTCGTTAAGATTTTTTTTATTAATTTATGTTATACTTATTTCTAATCTATATATTGATGGTTCTTTATTCTTTGCCAAGTAAAAAAATACTTTATCTCAGTGTTATATTTAGGCAGTAGTAATTGAATAAATTTTATCAATATGGATTTACTACTTATTTGTTAAGCACTATAGTGCAGTGCTTGGCAGCCGTTATGTTATGGCACACTGGTGTGCCACAAGGTGAACTTGGCTGTGGCATGATAGTAGCCGAAAATAATTAAACTTTTCAGTTTTCTGTAGCTAAGCAATAAGCAATAAATAATTTATCAATTGATAATTCCTCAAATTAAAAATTATAAGCAACTTGAAAAAACAAATTAAAAAAAAATATTAGCGACCGGACGAGCGGACCTAAATGTGTCTAAACTTTAAATCCGACCCAGACTGCTTGATTCAGGTTTAATCACTTTATTTATTCAATATTTTAATTCTGTCTCGATACTAGAATGTAGGCATGCTATGTAATAGTAAAGGATAATCACCCATGGAAAATTATTTGCGTGATATACTATACATCATGTATATTATTTAATTTTTTTTTTACACTGATTTTAGTGTTTCTAATGAGATAAAAATGGTGGATGTATTGAGCAGTAGATTAAAAAATAATAATAAATGAAAAATACCTTAGAACTTTTTAACCTTATGGAGAAACCCTGAAATCTTTTCTGCCCTAAATAAAACCATATTAAAAATATCCTAAATCTTGTGGGAAAACCCCCCAACCTGGCAACACTGATAGCTATTCAGAGGCAGTGTCTTGGTCAGGTTGTTATAAAATATGATTAAACTACAACAATTTTTGAAGTGTGGGGAGGATGGCCGAATGGGCTAAAGCGTGTGCGCAGCACCGCGAGTTGCCTGGCAACCGGATAACAGATTTGAGAAGATTATAAAAAGTATGAGTTTTCGTCCCGGTGCCGTAGGGGATTTTAAATTCCGAGGAAGGGAAGAACAGAAAAAAAAACAACATTTTTTGAAGTGATCAAAAGATAATCAAACTTGTGTATATGGCTAATATCTTTGAGAATCTGAAATGAACTTAATAGAAAAATGAATAATAAAAGTGAAAATTATCAGAAAAATTAATGGAATATAAGTCGAAGCTTGAACTATGGTAGGAAGGATGTAAAGAAATGTTCCAAAGGACTTGTATTTGTGTTGTGCTTTAGACTTCTCAAAAATTGTTGATTTGCCTTGGAATAAAAAAGGTTAGGGAGCATTTCTCTTGAGGTTAGATCTCTTGGATATAAACAAAATTTTGGAGACATCAAGATACAACATGTATATCTTGGCTGTATATTAAAGGCCGTCAATCACAACACCATTCTTTCAGTTTATTCATGCTTTTCCACTCTTCCTCAGGTTGACAGTAACTGGTCAAGGTATTATAATTATTATTTAAGGTGCCAAAAATATTACTATTAATTGATAAATAGATACTGATCAATCTAGATCATGGGTCTCCTAACCTTTTGTCCTGTGGGCCACATGATGCCTCCACTAAGTCCTGCAGGCCGTATTGAGGCCTCCGCTAAGTCCAGCTGACTATGGCTTGTGATAAATAAATGACTATTCAGCTGTGAAGTGAGCTTTCTAAGAGAAACAATTCATGCAATAAAAACCTGTACCACTACAACCCATGAAGGGTCTGGGGTTCAGTACTATTTAGGGAAAGCACTGTTTCTAGGTCAACGGTTGTACAAGGAGGTGACTTGACCGAGATCACGCTCAACCGCCAGGTTTTCCCCCTTAATTAGTTATTTAATTAAGGGTACCCACTTTATAGAGACTGGGTGTGCCTCAGGAGGGTCCCCCAACCCAGGGTTGCACCACGGCCAATGAAACAGATAAATAAATTTTCTACCATGAGCCGGGGTTCGAACCTGGGACCTTTGCATTGGAAGCTATGTGCCCTACCACTGAGCTACCCCACTCCCAATTCATGCAATAAATGTTATTAAAATCTCCTGAGTTATTTACTTAGTTTCATATTTTTCAAAGAGTTTTAAAATTTGCCATGTAATCAAAAAAATTTGCGGGCAGGACTGAAGGTGCTTGTGGCCATAGTTTGAAGACCCCTGGTCTAGATTATACTAACCAAATAATTACAGTTGATTGTAGATATTCTTAAGAGCCTTGCATATTTACATTATTAAAAAAAAATTATATAACAGTGCCAAACGAAATCTGTTCGATTACCATAGTAAATTGATGCGAAAATGAAGACTTGCCTAACCACCAGACCCTTTAGTAAGTAAAGTTATATAGATAAATATCAAACTAGACCAAATGCAACTGAAAAATAATTATTGAAGAAGAAGAATCTTTAAAGGGCATATCTATGGTATTTTCTTCAGTGATCCAAAAGGAAACGGAAGAAATGTGAAATTTGTGAAGTTGGAAGAATTCTGCCCATGTTCTCTCTTTTTTTTTTTTTTTTTTTTTCTTTTTCAGTTTTCTGTGGTATCATGATTTCAAAAACTTGGACGGGTAAAGGAGTTTTAAAATAAAGAGGCTGTTGGTTCTATGAAAAATGTCTGTTCTTTTCCATGAAAATAAGCTAGTATTATTTATATTTAATATTAAAGTTATATTGTTTTAATATTTAAGTTATTCATCCTTTCCTTATAAATAATAAAAAGTTATCTTTCCATTCATTGTTATTAAAGTTAGATTATTAATATACCTTTTCAAAGGTCATATTGAAGATATGAATGTTATTAGTTTTAGTATTATTTCTTTTAGATAATGTTCATTTGTAGTATTTGTTCTTGTTTTGATATTAATAATCAAGAAATTATGATTAGTGAAAGAATATTGTGAAATAATTATTTTAAATAATTGGATATTATTATGCTTAATATTTGTTGTTATTGTTTTAAGAAAAATATTTATTGTTGCAGATGATGTTATTTATGTCTCACCTACGCATAAGCCAAAAGAAGAAACTCCTCCGCCACCTCCACCTCCTCCCAAAATATCAACTTCTCCTCCTCCTCCTGAAACTGCTCCTACAACTCAATCAGCCGGCGGTGATAATAGCTTATCAATTGAAGAGACCAACATCTTGAGGGCTAAGTTAGGTTTGAAACCTTTAGCTGTAAAGAAGGAGGTAAGCGAAAATGGCGAAGTTACCATTGGTGAGAAGAAAGAATTTGTACATAAACCAGCAGGTATTATATTTATATTGTTTCATTGCGTTTAAAAGATTTTTTTCTATTTTAAATTTTTTTTTAAATCTAATTTTTACTGTTTTACATAGAGGACATTACTGCTAAGAAGCTTGCTGAAAAAATTAGATCTAAAATAGTTGAAAGAAGAGAAAAACGAGAAATAGAAAAAAAATTGAAAACAATTAAAAGTATAGCTGAAGAAAGTGACGAAGAAGATGTTTCAACTTGGGTTAAAAAAAGCCGACAGCTTCAGGAAGAAAGAGTTAAAGCTGAGCAGAAGGTGATTGTAGTTTATTAGGCCTCCTTGATTCATTAGCAATTTTTATCATGATTTAAATTGTTAAGTTCAACTTAATTACTAACCTTTTGATTAAATCTTATTTTAGGCAAAAGAACTAGATGAAATGGATGAAGTTTTTGGTATAGAAGAATTAGTTAACGAAGAAATCAAGTTAGAAAAAAAAGCAGCTTATACAGCTGCCAATCTGAGAGGTCTTAAGGTTGAACATGATATAGTAAGTATTAGTCGTTTTCTTTATTATTTTTTATTTCAACCTTATTTTTAATTTTACTGATTTGAATAAAAGTTTTATATTATAAAATATTACAAAGAAAAAAATTACTTCTCAGGAAACTTTCGTTGAAGGAAAAGATGTTGTACTTACTCTAAAAGATAAAGATGTGTTAGACGAGGAAAACACAGATGTTCTTGTCAATGTCAACTTGATCGATGATGAAAGGTACAAAAAGGTAAGTTGAAAAAAATCACTACCAATTTGTTGGGTGGGTCTATTGATATTATCATAATAATTAACTATTATTGATGTATTGGTCATTTATTCATTTTTAGAATTATTATTTTGTTTTCAAAGACGTTAGGGGTCGGGAAGGGGGATAATACTATTGAGTAAACTAACCATTGATGTATGCTTCTCTAATGATAATAACATCTTTAACATCTTAATTTTCACCCGATTAATGATCTAAATAGGATTAGGCTAACCTGATCAAAATGGGTTCCGTGAGCCACTGTGTGTTTTATTTTTTATATGTATTTTGTCTTTGGATTCATGAGAAAGTATATTAAAAATTTTTACATGAATTAATCATAAGAAATTTAATCTATAATAATGCTCTATTATTTCCTGTATACCATCACATAGGTGTGGTGTATGAGGCTCTTAGGAAAATTTGGTTTTGAATAAAATTAGAAGTATAAAGTGAATTCCAATACTTTTGTAATGATTTTTTTCAAATGCGATAAAACCAATTTTCAATTCATACATTAAATTGAATATATATTTTTACAGCAAAAAACTGAAATGTCAATAACCTTTCATTTTGACAGGCAGCCTATTAGAATACTTTCGAGAAGGTCCAGCATTACCATTTTACTTATTTAATTCCAGAAACCCTTCGCTTCTATTTTCTATCCAATTTGGTCAGTAAAGGATGCAGTGCACTTTTCTAGATCCATAATTAACGCTTAACAAATCAATATCTAACAATTATCAGGTAGTTGGAGTTATAATTTTTAACACTATTTTAACTTCATTGAATATGAACAATATCATTGTGTATCATTTATCTCAGTCAATATATGCTCCTGACTTCTCCATGGTTTATTAGAGGATTTTAAAGAATTTATAACCCTAAACAAATTCCCTCAAAACTAAAATTAATCTCATTGAAACTAATGGTGAATGTATGTATCACTGATATTTTGAAAACTCGTAATTATTAAATTCAATTTTCATCTGTTTTTAAGATTATTTAGAAAGTATTATTAAACAGCACCGAGTGCTGTTATTAAAATACTCTTCATAAATGTCTTGGTAGTGGTAAATTTATATGTTATATCCTGTTATACATGTGTTGTATTTATTTATTTATTGTATTTTAGAATGTCGAAAATAAGAAGCAGAAACCTTACAACTACAATGCCGTCGATTCCGGGGAAATGGATATTGATGAGCCCAAAGGAGTGCTGTCGAAATATGATGAGGAAATTGATGGCGCAAAGAAAACATCATTTGTTATAGGTATCCTTGAAATAAATCTATTTAATCATTTAATTGAATACATACTAAACTCTTACGAACTTAATCTTTAAGTTTTCAAAAAGAATATTTATTTCCAAATCTTCTAAAGATCAGTCCATGTTTAAAAAATTATATCTTGTCCCATAATTTAATTTAATTTACCTTCTTTTTCTCTCTCCTTCCTCTCCTCTTCGGCTCTATGAGATTTTTCATGGGTCAGGGGAGAAGGCAGAGGATTAATGCCAGAGTTAAAAGCCCCTCTCTCCTCTCTCCCAAGTACCAGTATTTGAACTCATAATCTTCAGTTTATCAGGTTGCTAGGAAGTGAGTTTTTAAAAATTAAGGTACTTGCGAGCGACGCGCCCTCTATGGACTGCTATCTGCAGTTATCTTGTTATTTAAAGTTTAGTTGTTATTTATATTTCTTATTATTAATTTACTATATTATTATTATATTTATATTTCTTATTAATATATATATATATATATATATATATATATATATACATTTATATATTTTTTATAAATATGTGTATATGTATTAATTTCTTATTATACGAGAGTGTAATTTCATATGAAGATTTCATAATCAGTGCCTTATAACAATTATCAGTGTTCAGGTTATAAACATTTAATAATAAGAAATATAAATAACAACAACACTTTAAATAAAAAGATAACTGTAGATAGCAGTTCATAGAAGCTACGTCGCTCACAAGTACCAAAATTAATTTTAATTGATTTAAAATTAAAATTTAATTTAATTTAGGCTTAAATGTATGTGAAATTTGTGATTTGGGAAATAAATATTTGGCGATTAATCTATAAAGCGATATATTTTTAATATTTCCGTATTCCAAAATGTTAAGTGTTTTTTTTCTAACTCATGGAAAGTAATTATTTTCAAAGCAATGATTTCATTAGTTATTTTAATGTTTTTAAGATATTTTAGTTATAATTTATGTTTTTATGCATTAGTTATTTTTAAATAATCTTTACATTATTGATTTTTAGGGATGGATAATGCAGCAACTATGAAAGAATCAATAAAAGCTAAATTGAAACAAAAAGCAAAAATGACCTTAGATACATTACAATTGCCTGAACCAAAGATTGCTTCTGAGTATTATTCGCAAGATGAAATGGTTAAATTCAACAAGCCCAAGAAAAAGGTAATTTTCCTAAACTCAGTTTATTTAGACCTGATAACTTTCCTTATGAATCTATGATATAATTTTTAAGTAAAAAACTATTGGTTAAACAAGGATTCACTAAAATAAATTTAGTTTAATCAGGTCAAACAATAACCAAATAGCTTGAGACAGTTTTATTTTATATTAGGCTTGAGAAAATAATGTAAGTTATAGATAAACATTTATGATTTGCAATGTGTTGGTAACACTGCATAATGATGTAATATAGTTCCATCTTCAATCTGGTTAAAATAAATTGATTGTTCTGTGAGGCTAGGCGCAACTTACAAAATGCTGGAAATTATTTCACAATGGTTTATTATTTCCCAACAATTATACATCTACAGTAACACCTTTCTAGTGACAAATTAAAAGAAATAAAAAGTTAATTCCAGTTATTTTCCTAAACATTTTTTTTTCATCATTAATAATTTGCTAAAAAATAAATAGCATTACTTCAGTAACACATTCAAAAATCAAAATCCAAAACAAACGATTTGCAGTAGAACATAAAAAACATCTAGAGACAATATCTTTGCTCCTAATTGTCCGATTTTAACAGTTTTTTTTTTAGTTTTTAATAATGTTATAAACTTTTAATTGACAAAAAAGTGTATACTTTTTGAGTTATTCGGAATCTAATTTTACCATCCCTCATAACTTCTTTTCGTTGAAATATGTTATATAGATAAATTTAAAGGGCATCAAGAAGAAGAAGAATTTAGCCAAGTTTCATTGAAATCTGTACATTCGTTTAGGCACTACAGTCTATAGCAATGCAGGTTTTTCGGCTCCCATTTTGAAAGTAAAAGGCAGATAGTAATGTCGATGAAGGAGGATCCTCCTCGGGTGATCTCTGATTTTAAACCCAAATTTGAAAAAAATTGGTCCAGTAGTTTCAGAGAAAATGCGCGTACGGACAAAAAAATTTTGTATTCGTTTTTCGAATTCTATGTATCCTGAAACTTAAAATCTCAAATTTTGAGAGGGGGCTCAAGTTTTTGAATTTTTTGTTTGATTACAATGGTTCACTATTGAAAATAATATACCAAAAATTAAATGTTGAACACCAAATAAAAACAGCGCATATAAACCTTTTAGGAATTCTTTCTTTATTAACCCCAACAATTTTATACACCCACTTTGTTAGAGCATTTATAAGTTAAGTTCTTCTCAGCAAGAGAGGTAAAAAGAGGAAGAATAAAAAAAGATTTCTCAGATTTGGTTAACTTATCTTATATTTTATCATAATATTTTAGCAATATGATTATTTAAAATTTTAATGCTGATTTTTTATGTATATATAAGTTCTTTCTGTTCATTTGAAGTTGGCAGATATTCTACAATAATCATATATTTCTTGGGATTTTCATTTCATGAATCGCACAATAAAGCTCATTTCTGATCACTGTTTCCTAGACTCTCTTAAAACCCACTTAATGTACCCTATCATGTATATTCGTGAAAATAAAGAGACGATACTTCAGTAGTAGTTGAAGAAATAGACATTTGATCAATAAATCTAAATCTATACATTTTTCATTATTTTATTTCTATTCGAGTTATATAAAAATGGATATTACTTCCTGTATGACCATGTATTTTTTGTAGTGCTATGATAAACTTATCAGTTGCGGTTTCAGACTGTCAAAGAGGACATAATGTTTGGCATTAAAATATTTTATTAAATCTTTCAGTAATTATCTTCAATAAAATAAAAAAATTTTCCCTTCCTCTTTATCTGTCCATGGCTTTTCTTGGATGGAGACTACTGTGCTGATTATTTTAGATTTGGATAAAAGTCATTTTTCTCCTCAGGATGATTCTCTGGATTTGACTTCATCATCCATTTTGTTTCAAAATGGTGGTCGATTGGAGGCTTACCTGTCGGCACAGCTCATATAAACCTTTTAGGAATTCTTTCTTTATTAAGCCCAACAATTTTATACTCCCATTTAGTTCGTGCATTTTTAAGTAAATTGACAAAATTTCTCTCAGTAAGAGATGAAAAAAAGAGAATGAATAAAATAAGATTTCTCAGTTAATTTACCTTATAGTTCATAAAAATATTTTTAGCAATATCACTATTTAAAATTTTAATATTGATTTTGATGTATATATATATAAAGCGGAAGATGAAGTCCCGTACATTAAAAGCAGATGATCTTCTGGCATTGGTGAATGGAAATACTGTTGAAAGTGATGAGAAGGTAAAACAGGAAAAAGATGATGTAAAAGTCAAACATGAAGTTAAAGCGGAGCCGATGGATGTTGATGAAGAAGGTATCAAATCATTATATGTTTACTCTTTAGTATAATTAAATTGTTTGTCCTAAAAGCAACATTTTTTTACTTTTATACTTCTTTTTTTTTCAACAGTTCCTGTGGTTTTTGAAAATGTCCGGATTGAAGAAGATGATGATACCGAATTAGAATATGCTTTAAAAAAAGCAAGGCGTCTAAAGCAAACGCCAATTGAAAAGTTAACTGCAAGGTTACCGGTAAGTTCTTTTTTAATCTATGTTTTAACTAAATGGGGTTAGTAATATTTATCTATTTGGTAGTGGACTAGCTCATTGGTAGAGTGTTGAGCTTCTAGTGCTCAAGGTTCCAGGTTTGAACTCTGGCTTATGGCTGATAAATTATTTATTCTATTTCATCGGCCAAGGATTGATTCTGTGGTCGGGATATCCTCCTGGGGCACACCCAGCCTTTATAAAGTGAGTATCCTTAATTAATTAATTGATTAAGGAGGAAAGCATAGTGGTTGAACTTGATCTCAGTCAGATCAGCTCCCTGCACAAACTGTTGACCAAGAAACAATACCTTCCCTTATAACAGTAATCTTTCCTTCGATCAAGTTGATTCTACTGCAGCAATCCCACAACTTCAGAAGATATGGACAGAATCTGTGATTGGCCAAACCGCAATAGGCTCGCTCTAAACCCTGAGAAGACGAAAGATATCATCATCGGATCTCCTGCACTCGTAAAATCCAATCCTGTACCTTCCAATCTTCTCCTAAACAACTCACCTATTTCCTTCCAAACTTCCGTTGGAAACCTTGGTGTTATCTTTAATCAAACCCTCTTCTGGAAACCACACATCTCCCAAATTTCCCTGTTGTACTATTTCTACTCTAAAACAGTTCAAACGTCATCACTGTCTATTTTCATACAAAACCCGTCAACTTCTTATTTTCCCCCATTTTGACTATCGTTTTATGGTATACGGTGGATTCTCAGGAGAACTCGAAGCCAAATTTAAACGCCTAATGAATTGCTTGATAGGCTTTATCTTTGAGATCTCAAGAGATAAGCATATTACCGAGTATTATACAGAGTTGAAGTGGCTCTATCCATCTTACCGCCGTCAGTACTTCCTTGCTATCTTTCTATACCATTAGAAGTTGGCGACCCTCTTATATTCCTCAAAGCCTACAATTCAAATCCTCCATTCAATCCCATCCCACCAGATCCTGTACTTCTGACCTCTATCTTAATCCTCACCGAACTGCTGAGTTTGACAAATCCTTTGCAATTCAAGCCGTCTCCTTTTGGAATGCTATCCCTTCTGATATCCAACATGCACAATCAGTTTCCTCATTTAAATCTCTCATTTTTAAGCACCTACTCCTTTCCCAATCCGACTGATCACAAAATGTACATAAGAGAACTTCTTAACATCCCCCAGAAACCATGTTGTTTACTTATGTTATTTTACTTTGTTTAGTCTATATATATGCTTTTGTTTTGTTCTTTTTTCTTCCTATATTTTTATTTTTAATTAGATATTATTTTGTAAATATTTGATTTAATGTATGGCCATACAGGCATTTTCTCAGTATTTATACTTTGTTCTAAAGGGACAACAGTCCCAGGATAATAAAAATATTTTCATTTCATTTCCCTACATAGTACTGAACCAAGACCCTTCATGGTTGTAGTGGTACAGGTTATGTTTTAACTAAATGATCGCTAGCATAGGTTTAGTAGTTGACAATTATTTGGCACAAAAATTATTATTTAATTATCCAGAAATTTAAGCATCATACAAGCAGCTTTGGTAATTTTGTTGGGCTCCGTAGTTCTTATCCTTTTTATCTCTGGGCTGAAATTATTTATTGTCTGGTTATTATGAGGAGGTCTATTTGCCAATATTTGACTTGGTCAACATTTTTAAAGAGATAGGATATAAATAGACGTTTAGTGGTAATGTTTACTGTTTTAGCTAAATAGAAATTTTGTAGATCTTTAATTTATCCACTGATGCTTAAGTCTTCTTGTAAAATGCTTCTGCTAATATTTGATGACTAATTAATGCCTTTTGACAAAATGAGGTAGAGCATGAAGGTGGTTATGATGGAGTGAAGTCTAAATTATTGCTGAAAAGATTTTTAAAGAAGAAAAGCAGTCCTCAGATTTAAGTAAAAGGAATGGGGATTTCAAGTAATAAAAATTGATTTTAAGATTACAGAAAAAAAGTTATTAACAAAAATAGACAGAATATATTGGTAATGTTTCAAGAAAAATAAGATGTGTCTTATTATTGAGTTGATTTAGTGATAAATTTAGTACATCTTAATAAAGGAGTTATAATGAAAAAGGTCATAAAGATGCACAAATAATCCGAAATATCAACCTAAGAGTAAGCTAGCAAAGTTATAGGGTTTTTATACTTCTTAAAAATAAAAAATTAATATAATATTGCAATGAACTTTAGAAAATTTACCCTCAGAAAATTAAAATTGTTGTTTTAAGCTCTTTAAATCATTAGTTTATTTGTTTGTAATATTATATCTCATTAAGAATTTGAAGTAGTACAGTAGTACTTATGGTGTTTAAATGAAACATGATGTCGAATGTTTTGCTTTGATCTATTGCTGCTTTCTTTTCTACCACCAGAAATTTTGAAATAAGTAATTCGCATTTAACGGGGCCATTAATCCTAAATCCTTTTTTTTTAGCATCAATAAGAGCATCATTATCTATTGTTGCTGGGTTTATAAGTCTTTAATTGTAGAAAATGCATTAATTACATATTACTTTCACTTGGAAGATAATTGTCAACAATTATTTTGGATTTTAAACCTTTGCTAGTTCGATCATTATATATATATATATATATATATATATATATATATATATATATATATATATATTGGTATATTATATATATTATTTTTATTTATCTGCTATAACTCTTAAAATCAAAGCATGTGTTATTCACTCATGAGAATATTTTAATGTGTGTTACTATTCAATTTTCAGAAAGTTGAAGAGGTACTGATGGAAATTAAGGATGAACCACAAGATGACGGACTTGGTGGCTCTATTGTATTAAACTCGACGGCTGAGTTTTGTCGTACCCTTGGTGACATACCTACTTATGGATTAGCTGGTAATAGGGAAGACGGACCATCTGTTATATTGGTATTTTAGTTTTTATTATACTATTTATTAAAATAATATTAATAATTATCAATTTATATATTTATTTAAAAATCTTTGTTCGAGGTGTTTTTTGCTGTTGTTTTTTTCGGCTCAAGACTTCCACTGAAGTTCTATACTGCCTGGCTAAGTTGTTTTCATTAGTTGTTAAACTTCAAATGATCCTTTATTTTAACTTCATTATTTTCACTCAGCCATTAACATTTTGGGTTTTTGATGAAAAATCCTTTCTGTATTTAGCTAATTTGTAAAAATATAATGGCCATAAAATGGTTTATGTAGTGAACATATGGAAAGGGAGGTTATTTCTATACTATAATTATATGCGGTTATACAATTTTAGACTGTATTCAAACATTTAATTTAATCTGTATTTTGTTGTTGAATCCATTGACGGACTAACATCTAATGCGGTTAATTCAATTTAATGATTTTTTTTTTTCAAATTCTGAGTGTTAATATCTAGATGAATGGTCCTCAGTCCTGTGCCCACGTTTGCTTTACCATTTTATTTATCTGTATAATAATAGTGATCAACATCACAGCTGATTATTGCATTTTGCAATGTTGCTGATCTTCAACTAGTTTTCGATAAAATATTTAATAAGTGATTGATTTAAAATGTGATTGCATTTCTTTGAAAATAGTCATTTATTCATATCATTACAGTTTATCTATATTTTTCTTTTTTTTTTTTTTTTTTTTTTTTTAAGAAGAAAAACTAAATTACAAAGTTGGTAAATTTGTATTAATGAATCTGATAACTAATCATGTGCTCATATTCCTGTCTCTTATTTGATTGTTTTATTTTGTCAGATTATTGTAATATAATCATTTTCTACAAATCCTGAACCAATCAAATGCATTGCAAATATTGTATCTTTAGCATCTATATTTCTTATATAGAAATATTGTTTAGGCAACTTTTCTAATTATGGCAAAATAACTCTCATGAGTTTCAATCAGGCAACATTCTAAATTTTGGGTAACATTCTAATTTTAAGCAGTAGACTGTATCTTAAGGGATCGGTAGGTTAATGATTGTGCGAAAAAATAGTTTACCGTCAGCTTACATCTTTGTTACCTGGAGGGCCCTCTGCCATGACTTCTAGTGCTGGTGGTGGTGGTGGTGCTTGCTCGGTGACTGCCGACGAAAAGGGCTCCAGCCAACCAGTCGCTCTCAAGGCTTAAGTGTTATCTTTTAGATTTGCCCCCATCACTCGACGTAACGCGGGAAATTTTAAACCATTCCTTGGCACAACCAATTATATTTTGTATACTTTTTTAATTTTCTCTTAAATACTTATTTATTTTATATAAGAATATTAGCAATACTTTTTACATGTTAAAATTATTTTTTTTAATAAATATTGTTATCACTATCAAACAATGAAAAAATCTAAAAAAAAACAAAAACAAACAATCAAATTGATTGACTATAAACCTTTCAACAAGATTATATTTACAAAACAACCCTAGCCTTGTTTCAATCTCAAGAACACTAGTTGAATCCATTAGTAGCTGGAATAATGAATTATACAAAAACAATAACACTCAAATATAAAAATAGGAGAACAAAACATATTCTGCTCTACAATAGTCTATATTTTATTTTAAATGGTATTGTAGGTGATAGTCAGTCATTTTAAGATTTTTATTGTTGCCGATGTTTCAGCCTAAGCATGTGAGTCATCATCAGGGCATGTTACCAGTACTGAAGGTATTAAAGTCTTGAACACTTTCAATATCGGTAACATCATGACCCACATGCTGGGTTTAAAATATTGGCAATAATAAAAATCTTAAAATGACTGCATCCTAACTATTGATCACCTATGATAAGTAGAACAGTCGATTAACTTCCTTCAGTAAATGGTATTGTATTATTATTTTCTCATAGGGTTTATTTTTTTACAAATAAATACAATATATTTTATTTATGAAATATAGTATTTATATTAAATTGTATTGTACAAGGGCACAGGACCACAGCAATTATAAATTATAAAAATATGAAAAAATAAATCATGTATAAATTAAAATCTTTCAATGTACCGTCAAATAAAGTTAGAGACTCCTGGTCTGGATTATTCATTATTAATTTTATCAAATTCCTTTGGCTTATATATTTTCATGTTTTCTTTCAGGATTTTGAAAAGGATAACATTGAGAAAAAGAAGAAGGAAGAAACTGATGGCCGCAGTGGAGGCTGGAATGACGTTGAAATGGGTAAATTGATAAAACTGTTAAAATAAATTATGTTTTGAGCTAATTTTTCTGACAAAATCAATTATTTTATGCTCAATTTCTGAATTTCCTCTCACTATCACAGAAGTTAATCATAAAAAATTATTCCCTTTGTGAGATTAAACATTTTATTTTAATTCAAATTATCCGATTTTAAATTAATTTTAAATTATCTTTCTTTTAAGTTGTATCTATTTATCTAAAACCTCAATTTATAACTTACTATCATATTGAATTTATAGCCCTATCATTATATATATATATATATATATATATATATATATATATATATATATATATATATATTTTTTTTTTTTTTTTTTTTTTTTTTCTGTTGGCTTTACAAACCTTCTAGTTATTTTGCTGCCTTAACCACGTCTGGCTACCTGTCTATCGATTATCCTGTGGAGGATTTATCTCTCAAATCTTTCAATACTTCTTTCTAGGGTGCTGATTAGGGTAGTGTCCAAGTCTAACAGGTGTATATCAGAACTGGGTTTATCATAGCATATTATACTTTTAATTTGAAATATCTAGAGATCTTTCTGGATTTGAAAGAGAGAAGAAAGCTCTGTTTGTGCTTTTTAAACTCTGGTATATTTCCATCCATTGATCATTCCTTTAAGTTATTGTGGAGCTTAGATATTTGAATTTGTCTACTCTTAGAAATAATTATCCTTCTTTGCATATCTTATTGATATCATTTGTGCCAATAGGATTTCTTTAATTTTGAAATGAAGGATTTCTGCATAGAATAGAAAAATAACTTTATTCTGGGATGAAGTACCTCAAGAATGACACAGTGATACAGAAACAAAAAAAGAATTACTTCTGGCCAGAACTATTACATTTGTATACAGAACTATTCATAATTTTTTTTTTTAATGTTGAAATCGATTTCTGTTTTAGATGAAAAAGTAGCTGAAATCAAGCAGCCAGAGGCACCCATCCTGGACGCTGAGCCAGATCTTGGATCAGGAGTAGCGGGTGCCCTCAGGCTTGCCGTGTCGAAGGGCTATTTGGAAAAGGAGACTGTCAGTCGACCGTCTGCATCACGGTTTTCCCATCTTGCAGCTCAGAATTATTCCATCGACGATAAGGCACATCAAGGGTAATTGTTTGAATAATTGTTTATTTACCTATTTAATAATGTTTTAGCTATCTTTTATACTCTCTTAATTCATGCATATTGTCAGTGTTATGTAAAAAGAGTGAATCCAACAACTGATTACTTTTCAAAAGGACATTTTGAAAATTATAGATTTCCTATTGTTACAAATTATTTACTATTGGTGTCTTGAATCTAAAAGCCGAGAACCTGAAAATATCCAATCTGTTCAATTTATCCCTTTTACAGAACACAAACAGTATAAGTGCGATGTGGGGAATTGTTATTAATTTAAGTTTATAATTCAAATTTATCTCTATTTTCAGAGATGATGATAAATTAGGAAGAAGGGAGAGATATATGGGACCTACTTCAGAGTTCAAAGAAAAGGATGGCTACAAACCCAATATCAAGTTGGAATACATTGATGACGACGGCCACTTGTTATCTGCTAAGGAAGCCTTTAGGTCATTTTTTAATTTTTATTTATCACTTAATAAATTGTTTATGTTATATTATCAAAATTATTTTTTCAGTTCATAAATTATTCAGTTAATAAATGCCTGTGAAAATTTTTCAATTTTGAGATCTTTATCTATGAACTGGCTTTAATATTAAAAACTGTCTAATGATAAAAACTGATTTATTGAAAACATTTTTTCTAGTATGGTAGTCATCTCTTAGATAATTGATTTTATATACATATATAAATTACTTAAAAAAAAATAATTTATAACAATCAAATATTAAGATATATGTTTTATTTATAGGTATTTGTCACATAAATTTCATGGAAAAGGTCCAGGAAAGAACAAGGTAGAAAAACGAATGAAAAAGAATGAGCAAGAAGGCGTAAGTTTTTCTTTTTTAACATATTTATAATGTTATGAGACTTTATTGATGAATTAATTCACTAATTAATTAATAAAAAACCTTACCCTTATACATTTTTTGAAACAATTTACCCGCAAGTTGTTCCCATCTCTTTGCCTATTGTTGACCAGTATTTATTGAGATATTAAGTTTTGCTGGAAGTGCTACTTACTTTATTTATCCATCACATCTTAATTAACCATATAAAATTTCCTGCTTGTATTAGCAGAACTGAATGAAATGAGTTAAGGGTATGAATAGAGACACCTGTGCAAACTTCTCTTTTCCCAAGTATTTACTCTTAGTCCTTAATGAGGAAAAATTATTATAAGTTCCTAAAAAATTTGTTTTAAACTTATTTTAAAATTTGTAGAGAAGGAATGTAGTCTAACTATTGACATCTTTCAATATTAAACCTTATTCAAGACTAAATTAAATGAAAAGTAGTCTTTATTATGCGACAGACAAGCCCCTAAACATCACTGTAATTCTTTCTTAAGCCTGGCTAATATTATAGATCCTTCATTCGATATATCGACCTCTGTATTTGTTATTAGCCTTTGGTATTGATATTGTTTTATTAGATTCAATATCCTATGGGAACAGGATGAAGCAGGTACTATCATTAAACCGGAATTAATGTGAATAGTTGCATGTAAACGGTTTATCAAAGTATAAAATAATGTCAGAACTATATAAATAACTTATGTTTTTCTTTTTTTTCTTGCAGCTTATGAAACAAATGAGCTCGACAGACACGCCTCTAGGAACACTTCAAATGCTTCAACAAAAGCAAAAAGAAACCCAATCAGCCTTTGTTGTACTTAGTGGCAGTAAACAGACAAATATTCCGTAAGTTTTAGCATTTTAATTTCTAAATTTCTTTTCTTAGTTTTCCATCAACTTTTTCGCTTTCATTTCAAATTTAGTTTTAATAACATTAATATGAGACAGTGTAATGTTATGACCCTCTGACTTATATTTATTTTGAATTGTTCAGATTTTAATTTATTATTTTCAATAATGAACGACCAAGATTTTTTTTTTTTCAACTCTCCTTCCAAATTTGAGATTTTATATTTCAAAATTAGTGGAATTCAATAACCAACACAGATTACCCCAAGACGATCTTCGGAATCCTGCATTACTATTTACTATTCAGTTGTTTGTATCTTTGTCATTTATGAAGACATGGTATTCAAATTTCATCATTTCTCTCAGATAAGTCAAATTAAAAAACCTTATAATTTATTTTTTCTGTTGGCTTTACAGACCTTGTAGATCTTTAGGAGCCTTAACAAGCCTACTCCATCTCTGCCTATCGTGGGCTATTTCATTCCATTTATTTGCACGCAGCCCTATTGCATCTTCATTGATTCTATCTATTCATCTGCTTTTTGGCCTTCCACATCGTCTTTTGCCTTCTATCGGGGTATTCATTGTTTGTAGAGGCTTACAGATGGATTTCTCCGAGCTGCATGCCATGCTCTTCTTAACCTTATAATAATTCATGGAATTATTATTGATTAAGCCCAAATAAATGAGATTTGATTTAGGAGGATGTAAACCATGAAATGTTAAAATGTGATTATTTTTTTATTTATTAAATAAGAGGAAAACAAATATTAAAATAAATAAAAATATGATATTTATATAAATACATGCCTTATAGCTGAATATAATTTATTTTGCAGACATATAAAATGCTATTTAATTTTTTTTTTTCTGTTTCAGAGCTTCGATATCGAAGACGAAAATGTTAAAGTGAAGTCAGCTAATAAATATCCTTAGATTTATGTTATGGGAGAAAAAAAAATGTAATTATAGTTAATATTGAAGTCATTTTTTTTTACAGTGCATTTGATAAGAAAAATTAGGTTTTCATGTATATTTTTGTACAATATTGCTAAATTAGTACAATATTCTGAAAGCTGAAATTAAATATACAAACATCATGTAAAAGTAAATATTCAAATTAAACCACTAAACTGTCATTTTACCAATCTTTATTATATATGTTGACAAAACTTTATTCTTGTACAAATCCTACTAGGTTGTATTATAGTAGCTATTGTTTCCCTCTTTTGTATCTATATGTTTAAATAAAAATTTATTTGATTTTGTATAGAGTTTTAATTTAATATAACATTTTTTTAGTAAGACATTAAAATACTTTAGCACATTTCGATCAAGATATTGTAGTTAGTAATTTGATTGTGAGGTATGTAGGTAATGACTCCCTGTTTCACACAATAACATTATTTCCTTTAAGCCCTCTTCAAATTGACTAGCTATTTCTTTTCATCGAATATGATGTTTCAGTTTGGTTTTGTTCTACATAATCTTTTTTTTTATACTTATCAAATCAAGACAAGCTATCAAGAAGTCAGTCAATAAGACTAATTTTTTAAACTATTGATAGGAATGTACTATTCAACATAGTTGGCCGATACAGATTTTTCAAATTAGGTCTACTTCTTGTGCTTAGGCATGAATTTTTACTTGAAATAACTATGCTTCGAAAATTGGCTCCTCTAATCCCTAATAAGTAACAATATCCATTAATAGTCATCCTGAAGCCTTCTCTTCCATAGAAATTTTTCCATTGCTGAAGTTACTGTTACATTTTTTTCTTCAAAAATTTCTTGATATTACAAGTAATTTGTAAGAAATTGTTATCTCTCTTGTTCAACAATGACTGATGAACCAAGGTTTAATTTTAAATTGAATTAAAAAACAGAGGATTAATGTTTAAAAAGAAACATATTTAATCCTTCACACACAAAAGTTTGTTATTGGCTACATTGAATGGATTTAAAGTACATATTTACATTCCATGATAAAAAAATTGATAAGTTGTCATTTTTGTTTACTCATTATCAAAGGTAGAGAAGCTTTGTATTCGTACTGAAGATTAAAATATTGTCTGTTCTCAAAATCTAAAGTTTTCAGCCATATTTTAGACAGCTAGTACCAATAATGGTTCTGTATCTGCAGTCAAATTGGTGAGAACAAAGCATCAATTACAGCTAGATGATCCCATATAAATTTCATCACATTCCATTCACTTATGCACTTGTAATTATATTTTCTTAGACAGAACATTTCAAAAATGTTTTGTTTTATTAAGGTCCAAATTGGAGCGTAGTTGGAGAATTATGAAAAAAATTCTCTTTATCAAATTCTATCGAACATATTTTTTAAGATACATCTGATACTAAAAAGTCGGTTTGTTCAATTTGACCCGTTGGAAAAAAAGTTGATAAGTATACAAATGTTCTAGAATCAATTTTATCAAATTCCATTTAACAATCCATTAAATTAAACAAGTGTTTTTCCTTGAAAATACCACACTTATTTTATTGACTTTATTCTAAAGCAGGACTTTTTACTTTCCTACCTATACTAGGTAAGGAAAGTATTGCGATCGGATCAAATTTGTGATATGTGCTTTTCGACAGATCTATACGTTTCAGAGCCCCCCGAGTCCGAAAAAACACCGTTTAGACTGATTTTTTATTGAAAGGTAGTGAAATTCCCTACTATATAAAAATCATTCATTTCAGACACTATTAACGAAGTTACAGACAGCTATTCAATTTCCATTGTAAGATTACAGGTACATATCCTGGTGTCAGAAAGGGATGAATGAGAGAAAAAATATAATTTAGTGGAAGTAAGAAAATCTGTTGCCTACATCACACAAGCTTCACTATTATTCACAAGCTCTACTTAGAAATTATTGTTTGACAAAATTAGGCTATGGGAAAAAGTTTTTGATCAATAATATTAGAGGGTATTGAAATTTTTATACCGATCTACCCTAAGCCGGTTTACATTGCTTTAGTTTATCAAATAAATCGTACTCAAATCTTCTTTTGATCAATTTTGAGGAAGATAAATCTAATTAATTTTTTTTTTTGTTTCTTGATGGACATATGAAAAGATGTAAAAACTTTTCTGAAATAGGTAGGAAAGTCGTATGAGTGGACACACCAGATTTTTTATATTTCTTTTGTTTATGTCAATATCCATACATAATTGATTTATATTTACCTCTGTAAAAATAATAAATTTCTATCGAAGGTTATAAAAAAAATGGTATAGTTCTATTTGAGGAATGCATGCACATAAAAATTATTGGGTATTGGGGTTAAATAAATAATATAAAACTATTTTTTAAACAATTTTATATCCATTATAAATAATATAATTTTATAAATTAATTTATATTAATAACTAATATATAAACTATTATAAATATAGGCACTTTTATAAATGCTTAAAGCTAATTTTCAATATATTCAACATTATTATAAAATTTCTTAACTCAAACCACATCACAGGAAAACATTTTTTTTTTTCATTTAATGGCACGGTTCATAAAATGACTGTGGTATGATTTAAACAATATATATACGAGCTTAGAGGATAATATATTACTCTATATTAATTATTCAAAGGCCAAAAAAATATACACATTTATACATAGTTACAAAAAAAAAGGATAAAACATTATTAACAATATCTAAGTCGGTGGTCGACCGTTTGGATATCTAAGGACAGGGGCCATGTTATATAAGAAAGAATTGGCACAAGTGAAGTCTTGTTCTACGACGGGTATGAAAGAGGCTGCTCCGAGCAGAAGAAGAAGGAAGGCACTTATTGGCAACGAGGCACGCATGACTCTACCGAGGAACCTGTGGCACCTCACCAGGGTCGATGTGTCAACCTCGTCTCCACTAAAAAAAGGATTAAAAACATGTTACATAATAATAAAATAAAATATAATAAACAAAGAAATGTATAAGTATTTCTAAGAACAACTAACGCTAAACCATTCGCATGCTCTAAGTGTGTAATAAAATGCAATAATGAAATTACCTTGTAGGATGCTCATTTCCAAGAGAAGCATTGTCCAAGAGCTATAGGGAAAAAGCCAAAATTAAAAAAAAACATACCAAAAAATAAAAGTAAAAAGTGAACTAATAATAAGAAATATTTAAAGTGAAAATGTGCTATTTCTGTCTTATCAGTTAAGAAGAATTAATAAGTATTTCAATGTGCTAACTAAATAATGCCAGTTTTCTACAACTATGTAGTGTAAATAATTTTTTTTTTGTTCCTAATTACATAAAAAATATCTATTTTTTTCATTTATACCATTTTCTTAGTAAAATAGTATTTTATTACGAAAACTGTGTATTATTAGAGCTACTGCTAGATACAACCATTAATTACTTCTACTGCTACTATAACAGGGTTTTTCCAATGTCTATTTTCTATTTCAAACAATTGATCTATCATCTCAACAATACATATATAGAAGTAATACGCTATTATTATTCTGAGTTTATGTAAAAATATTCAGTTCGATTTGGGAATAAAACTTATTTATTCTTTTCACCAATAATAAATCCTAATTCGATCATATTATTCACATAACAATATATTAAATGAATTAAAAGAGGATATAAGCAATCATACAAAATGTGCCAAAAAGTATTCAATTTTTTTTTAAGAACAATCAAAGTCAAAACTATAATATAATTCTTCCACTTGATATCATAATTTACAGATTGATACATCATTCTGCTTTATTGAAACTAATTTTAAATATTGTAATGACTTTATCTGTACTTACTGAAATTTAATTATTTGTAAAATTTATTTTTAAGTACTGAATACTGGTACCAGCGTGCGAACTAGTACATCAAGCGAGCCCTATTATGGTCCTTTTTGTCATTATTTTTAAGTAACAATAATGATTGACCAAATTTAAAGAATTGAAATTTTTGCAACTTTAAATATAATTACATAATGGTTTTGTACATAAAAAGTTATGAATCACAGCTTCTGGCCTTGTCTTGTTAATGATTGTGACGACACATAAGAAGTTTAATAGACAGTCCAATTTAAAATTAACTCATAAATAACATTTTTGAAAAGAAAGTAAGTTGCGAACAAGCTAGAAGAAGTTAATTTAAAGTAATTAGATATGGTAAATTATTAATAACAATAATAGATAAATTATTAAATTTATTGTTTGAGAAGGAATTGATCAGGGGGTGTGGTCAAATTAATACTAAATTAAATAAGTACAATTATTTAATTCTATTATTCTTATTTAATTTAGTATTAATTTGACCGCACCCCCCCCCCCCCCCCGATCAACTCCTTCTCATATTATATCAACAACCATCTCTACATCATTATAAATTTATTGTTGTTATTTATCAAAATTGCTTGAAAAAATGTAAGATTTGGCACAGATGACAAATGAAAAACATAAGAATACATATAATAGAACCAATTTCAAAGAAATCAGAATTTATCTATATATTGAGCATGTTTATAATTGTATATACCTATGATATTAGTGAATATATATTTTAATGAGACAAATTAAATAGTATTCTACCTGTTGCGAAAGGTTTAGTGGCGACAAGTCAGCCGGTGGATGTTGACCAAGAGTTGCTGAAAGACTGTTAATATAACTTGAAATAAGACGAGACAAGGAAATCAGTCGAAGCCTCAGCCTTCCAAGCCTTTCGATCGCTCTATCCTCGTCGGACAAAACTTGTCTTGCTGCTTCCTCGAGTGATCTCACCCGAGCCTCGCATCTCTCCACCTCCTCGTGCATTTCCTAAAATCCATGTTAAGTTGATATTTTATGATATAAGGGATAAATATATCAATAGCAACCGAGGGGAAACAAAATAAAATGAACTGTGATATAAGCATACCTTGAACTTGGTATATTTGGCTTGGATGATCTGAGTCGGATCAGTAAGATCAATTGGTTCAGCTTGCCTAATACTGGTTTCTGTTTTTTCAAGCCATTCGGTTAATTCGGCCATTGTATCATGGAATTCATGATTCTAAAATAGAAAATTATAATTATAGTATGTAACATGGGAATAAGGAAGAAAAATTTTAAAATATTTTCATTTGAGTTCATGGTTTTATTCACCATGTAAAAATTAGATTGATCAATAGAAGTAATAAAGTGGGAAAAAAATTTATACCACTAGGTACATCAATATAAATCAGTAACAAACTCAACAAGAGACAGAATATAAATGTTATTTCGTAATTGGAAAAATTCCAACCACAATGTATCTATAAAATGCAGATAAAGAAAAAAATTCCGTCAACGTTTCGCCATTTCAGACATCATCTGTCTTCCTTCCAGTATACGATTGAATGTCTTGGAGTGAGGTGATCTTTGATTTGCTTTTTTTTTTTTATCGTCCTGATGATGCCTGAATTGGCAAAAGCCTGACGATTTTTTTTTATTTGCTTGCATTTTGGAGACATAAGGCTGTGTGGTAGGAATTTTTCCAATTATAAAAAAAACATTGATTATATCCTTCTTAAAGCTCAAATAATTTTAAATATAATCAATTAATTTAACATTTAAAAATGACAGTATATTGGTATATAGCCTTCTCAAAAGTTTTAATTTCCTACCCTTAAGTAAGAAAAGTATAGCAATTAGGTAAAAATTTTCAATGTGTAGTTTTCAACAGAGTTTTATGTTTCACGACCATTTTCAGCAGTTTGTCTGGGTATGTCTGAGCAATGATTATCTCGAGAACAGATTTTGTTGCTTCTTTTTTTGTAGGTTTTTGACAACTGATGTCTGTGAAACAAATCAGGCTCTCCCTATATAATAACAGAAAAACATCTCGTTTTCCTATGCATGTACAAAACAGTTCTAACAACTTTGATGAAAATCTTCTACTTAAAGTCCAGACAATTTTTATATGTATAGTGGATTCCCAAGAAAATGTAGGGAAAAAAGTTATAAAGAAAAGAAAAATATTTTTGGGCATAACTCAAAAATTATAGATTTTGAGGTAAATTTTATATATAATCTTTTGATAAGCAATTAAATTATCTACAAAAGCACTAAACATAATTGAAATCAAACCTATATTACCTATGGTAGAGTGTATTCAATTTTCTACACACTTTTGGTTGATATTTAAATTATGTGAACTTTTTTTAAACAGGATATTTTATTAATAATCTTTCAAAGAGAATATTATTAATTAAAAGGAATAATAAAGAAGAGAAGAATAGTTTGGGGTGCTCAGTCAAAAAAGGAAGGCAAAAAATAAATTATAATATTTATTATAATTTATTTAATATAAATATTATAATTTATTTTTTGCCTTCCTTTTTTGATTGAGCACCCCAACTATTCTTCTCTTCATTATCCACGACAGTCAACCAATTACCAATTAAACAAAAACAAAAAAAAGGAATAATAATTTGGCAAGTGAAAAAATGTGTACGTTGTATAATCCAATTGCATATTTTTATAAAAAATAAAAAATAGAAATTATTAATACCTGCATTAAAGCAGTTTGTAATTTAGCTTGCCAAGCTGTTGCTAATTCGCAAACTAGTTCCCACTGTTTATTGGCCGCCATCAAACGGTTCCGTAATTCTTTAGCTCTGGCTTCGTCTTCTGTATGTTCTGCAAGATGAGTACCAACGATGTTCATCGAGACAACAAGACTTCTATGAGAATCCAAATCCAGTAATAATTCCTAAAAATAAATTTAATAATTTTTTTTTTCTCTCTCTCTCCATTATGAATAAAATATAAATAAAGCCTACTGATATATATTACAAGGTTTAATTAATTAATGTTTCTTTGGTAATAAAAAATATATTTTCTAAGGAATTTCATGAATACTCACTCTTTGATCTTGAATGACATCTTCTAATTGCTCAATAGAGGATGGAGGATTGGACGGCTGCGACGACAATGAACCTTCGGCGTATTGAAGCCACTGCTCCAACCTCCATAGGTCGTTATCCAACTGCTGCCAATTTTTATTTGAGCACAGAGGACATGTCAACCGCCCTCTAGCACTGAAATGATAAAAAATTGATATTATTAAGAAATTGTGTCTGTAAAATGTTTCATCTAGTCTAACATCACAAGGCAAAGTACACCTAACATAATTTTCATTCTACCTTCAATATCTTACATTTCACTTCTTTTAATTTCTCCTATTACTATAGATCAGGGTTCTTCAAACTTTTTGCCCATGGGCCACATTGAGAACTCACCCTAAGTCCCGCGCCTGCGGGCTATGGGTTTTGATGAAAAAAAAAAATCTTGTTCTATAAATGACACTTCAGTTGTAAAATGAGCTTTCTAAGAGGGGAAAAAACATGCTACAAATTTTGTAATAGCCTCTTGTGTGAGCAATTTGATAAATTTCATCTTTTTTAAATATTTTATTATGTAATCAAAAAAATATCACAAGCCAGATTGGAGGGGACTTAGTTGTTGCTTGTGGGCTGTAGTTTGGAGACCCTTGGTAAAGATAAAGGAATTAGGGGGAATGATTAGGATTTCAAAAGAGTGAAATGTTTTCAAAAACCATCACAAATATTTGGTGTGTCTATTCAGATGATTTTTCTTCATGTGCAAAGTGCTGAGTTTGTGGTTTTTTAATTTTAATCTAGACTATATATAATATAGATTCAATTTTAATCTAGACTATATATAATATAGATTCTACTTGAATCTAGACTATATATAATATAGATTCCATTTCCAGTTCTCAGAAACAATGGATTTGATGAATAAGGTATCAAATAAAAGGGATTTTCATTGAGAAGTGAAGAATTCCAATATCAATCCTTAAATTCGTACTAAAGTCAATGAAAATAAGTATGAAGATTCAAAACTTAGATGGATTTAAAGTCAACAAAATTGAGATGCGATAAATTATATTCTAAAGCTCAAAAATGTCCCGTTTTCAAGATAAATCGCAGATTTTGCCTAGTGCCTCTTAATTGTATGCCAAGGGATACTTATCACATTGGAAGGTTTTAAAAATTGTTTAGGTCTTGCACGGCTACAATAACTGATTAATATAAGTTCAGAGATATGTCCTAACTATTAAAATTGGAAATATATTTCCAAATCCAAAGAAGAAGGGTAGCTATCTGATGTGAGAGTTATCACTGGTTATACTAGATTGTAGAACTGCTTTCAATACAAATTTGAATTAGATGTTGACAATTGTAAGAAAATATTCATGAGAGTATTTGTACGTACAAATAAAATAATAACCATTACTCGTTAGCATATGCAACTAATGGATACAAATTTAACTTGTAATCTACATATCTTTGTCACTTATTTTGTATTTTTTTTTTTTATAATAAATAGAATATGCCCAATTTTGAATTCTACTCATCACAAACACCGATAGTAATCCTCTAGCATTATTTCAAAATTATATATAAAAAAAAAACATTAGTTTGTAGTTTTCACACAAAAAATGAATAATTATTAATATGTGATATACACCCCATGACAAAATTCTAAATAACTAGATTAATAATATAGAAAATACTAGATTATTGATGTGCCGCAAATACTAAATTAGGTGATGGGTGTTGATTGCAAGCAAAACGAAAGTATTTATACACAGAATAAAAAGAAAATAATAAAAAATATTGTGATTCTACAAGGAAGATTATTAAATGTTACTTAACTGTTCACAAAACATTATATACGATTCCAGAATGGAAGACCTGTTAATTTGAAGAAAAAAAAATGGATCAATTTTATAATGAAAAGTGACTAAAACACCTTTGTCTACAAAAAATATAATCATAATACACATCAGCTATGTTAATAATCCTAACAGTTTTTGTAAATTATATTTATTGCTACAGTATGAAAAATAATAAAAATAAAAATACCTGGTCTCTCGTAGTTGGTTCTGTTTCTTGAGAGCGCTAACCCTCAGAAAATCGAACCTTTCTCCGAGATATTTAATTCGGTCAACCAAAGCTTCTTCTTTACTAGCTGAGCATTGGTCGATCAGGGTTTCGCTGAGGTGTTTGGCAAGTTCGTAATTAGACTCGCATTCACCAACACATTTATTCTAATAAAAAAAAAAAATTGATATATATAATAATTAGTTCTAAAAAGAAACAAAGTTTTTCTGTCATTAATTTAACTGCAAGTTTATTTAGCAGTAAAGAATGAAAAATATTTCATGAATCATTTTCATAAATAAATTATAGCAACAAGAATAGTGATGCAATAGAATTATATATTAATGTTCATAAAGAGATAGAAATATGATGGCGTATTATTAAAATCTTCAAAGATTACACAAAATTGAAACAGAAACAGAAATTAAAAGTTTACAATGAAAACGTAAAAAGTCCTGAATTTTCCTAATGCATAATTGCAAACAAGTTACAGCTAAAGAAAAGTGGTGGTAAGAGAGCTACATCACAAAAATTGGGACACCACCTACGCCCCCTCCTCCTAAGATATTTTATTGCTCACCATTTCTAGAAAAGAGAACAGCTAAGGTAGAATTAGAAAAATCATAGATTATATACAATTACACTTGTTGCGGTATGTTACATGTTTTCCCCCTTTTCCCTTAGTCCGAAAATTCATAACCCCGTTGAAATTTGCATCGCTCAAATAGTCGAAATATGCTCCCCTAAAATATTTTGATGGTGCAACTTGCGCTGTGAAACCCCTTTCTGGGCACATCTGAATATTACATTAAAATAATTTTTTAGATATAAAAAAAATAAATATCAAATTACAATTTCAGCTTGAGTTTCTAGTTGGGAAAGATCAGCTAACTTTGTGAGCAAGATTTCAAGCTCTTCTGTTGTCTTTATTAATTCTTCAGAAAACGCTCCTTTTCTTGCGATCGGTGGTGACCAACCAAGGGTGTCAACCTGTGTACTTTGGTCTGTTTCAAACCTCAAGGTGTTAACCTCGACAGACTGGTCTTCAAACTGAAAAAAAAACCACATTAAATTCATAATATCTTTCATAATATTAATTACTAATCATGGGTGCTTCTATTTTGATTAATTATAGATTTGCGATTTTAATATTGAATACTACATGAAATTACATAATGAAAATACATTCAAAGTAGGGTATAACATACTATAGAAAGTAATACAAAATAAGAAATTAAGTTAACAATGGCTGATACATCAATAACTTTACTTTGCATAAAGACCTACAGATAACGACCACATACAAACAAACTACAAAACATTTTACAATAACTTACACGGACATACCAACTTTCTGATTCGAGGCATGGCCTAGCCACATTTCTGTACCAAATCATTAGAACTCATCGACCCTCCTATATTTTTCACAGCTTACAATTCAAATACTCCATCCAATCCCGTCCCACTAGATCTCGTACTTCCGACCTCTATCCTCCTCACCGAACTGCTGCGTTTGACAAATCCTTTGCAATACAAGCCGCCTCCCTCTGGAATTCCATCCCTGCTGATATTCGACATGCTCAATCAGTTTCCCCTTTCAAACCTCTTCTCTTTAAGCACCTACTCCTTTCTCAATCCGACTGATTGCGAAATATACTTAAGAGAAATATCTAAGCACCCCCAGAGACTACCTCAATTTATTTAGGTTATTATTAGGTACAATTTTCTTGTTCTTTTCTTTCTCTTCTTCAGTATTTTTATTTATAGTCAACTCTTATTGTAAATATATAATCTAATTGTAACCACACAGACATACAATCTGTATTTATAATTTGTTCTAAAGGGACAACAGTCCCAGAATAATAAAATATTTTTTCATTCATTCATTCATTTTATTTCATGGCCACAACTAATATGCCTGATAGCACCCGTAGGAGGCTCAAAAGATGCTGGATGAGGGGTCTCCTCCACTAACTACTAATATTAAAATCAAGACAGGAAGGACACCGCTTGGCACTCCTCTCCCTCATGCCTATTCCAAGACCTACTTCAATCTTCTACATCTCGACATCACACTCACTGCTTGTTGGAACTTTTGACAGGTATGAGTGAAAAAATAAAGTTAATAAAAAAAAAATAAAGTTAACAATGGTTCTTACTTGTACAATGGTCTTAACACTTTCATCTTCAATTGGAAGTTTAATTTTAGTTAATCTTTCATTTATATCCTTCCAAAGAGTTTGATATTCATCAATGGTAGTTTGAACTTTAACGATGTCTTCATCGCTACACCATTTCATAACTTTCAATCCAGATAAATCAGCCTGTCTCAGGGTTTCACTTTCATTTTCTAATGACTTTTCTATCTCCTAAAAAAGGTACAGAATAGATAATAACTATTTTTGTCTTAAATTGAAATTCAAGACTCTAAAATTTTATAACTAAGATACTTTAAAAAATATTGGGCTTAACGGTGTGGTTAATTGACGTGTCACTTAAGATAAGGTGTGTATTTGAAATAGAATTTTCAAATGTAAAAAAATAATGATTACTTTTTTGGTTCCTAATAAGATCAGTTTAACTTAACTCCAGTTATCATTGATTATTTAAACAAAAGCAATAAAATTGGACAATATCAAATCAAAGAAATGGCCCTTGGAAAACTGTTTTTAGAGTAAATTGTCAAGCCAAAAAAGTCTTTAAAAATAATTGAGAAGTCATTGAGGATTTAAGAATTTCTCCAAACGCCCTCGCTAGCTAACATTATAAAATAATAATAAAATTCTTAAGAACTTTAATCCTAAGTAACAAATATAAGATGTAAAAAGGATAAACCAGCACCCATACATTAACGAGAGTATTCCACAATAGTTTCAGTAGACGTGAGAAAAATGAAAGTAAAATATAACTTAGGCATTGTTTGTGTATTCTGTATTATTAAAAGACACATAAAAATATAGACATTTTGTGATAATATATCACTACTTCGCTGTGGTAGTGATACAAAAAAAATTACTTTAGTTAAAAAAAAATTATATACCACTATTTATGAAATATTGGCTACTCAGAGGCTGACAAGAGAAACTAAGGTTATAACATTCTCTATGATGAAATGCCAAGTTTTGAATATGTCCAATACAAAATTTAAAAAAACATTTTTTTTTCAAGTTATGCCACTGTATTGATTTTTATGTTCATTTATTTTTATTTTTTTTACCTTTTAATGAGAGTTTAATTGTGTTGTGTAGTATAATTAGTTTAAAGTATTCATTAAATATAATTTATAGAACAATAATTATTTTAAATGAGTAAAAAATAAGTATTATCCAGAGTGTTAAAACAATATTTACCTCAATTTCGTGTGATTCTTGAACTTCAGCTAGTGTAAGGAGAGCATCGACTTTAGCCATAGCAGCAACCGCTTTGGCGGCAGATCTTGTCCACTGTTCTCTGTCAGTTCCCCTCGTTCTGATTTCTGCAGATAATTCATTTGCTCGATGTCTAAGCTCTTCCCATTTTTTCAAGAGATTTTCAGGAACTTTCAAAATTTCTTCAGGCAACTTGTACTCCGAGTGCAATGAAAGATACATAGCATCGACATTACTAAGTCCACCAGAATTACCACTGTTCAAATCTGTGACTAGTTTCTGAAAAATATTTTAAAGTACCATTATATATTAACTGTTTTGTTATGTTTAAAATGTAGCATAAAAATGAAGGAATAAACAGGAAGTAGTAAGTAACTTTAGTAATATAAATAAAACAGCAGTTGATATTTTAGTTTGTTTAGTTAATAATCTAGTGGTTACGGTAATACTCACGGTAATATTCTCTTCCATATCAGGCAGCATGGCTAGGTTTGCAGATTTTAATTGTTTTTCTGAATTTCCAATTTTAGTGTCCAATTCCTTCAGCCATACTTTTTGTTCTTCGGCTAACTTCTGTGCTTTTTCAAGAACAGCAATCAGATTTTCAAGGGATAATTTTCTTTGAGAAGAAAGCGAACTAATATTCTTCCATCTATGATTAATTAAAGAAAAAAAATTAAATTCAAATCAGTTTTAAAATTATAAAGTTTTGTATTAATAATTGATATCATATAAGTATACTGAGGATTGGTTGCTAGGCCAAGAATTATTCTTAGTTCTCAAGTAACCCTACCTTAGATGCCCTTTAGTGTCATAATAAATTAATCTTAAGTAGTTAACTCAAAAATAAAATTAACATAAATATTTAAGAAATTGGAGAAGGGGAGTGTGACAAGAAAATAATAAAAAGACAAATAAAACTTATTTTTATTGTTTTGGCCTAAGTTACAGCTGTAGGGGACTTGTCCAGAGCAATGCTTTAGAAAGAGTTATAGAAATAGTTATAATCAGGCTAACTAAATAGGAACTATTTCAGTTTTCAAATAGTTAACCGTTTATGGAGCGAAATTAACATGGTAAACAATTATTTTTAACTATATATTTGTTCTTTCCTAGCGTTACCTATTTGATTTCAGTGTATTTTAAAAAAATAGAATAAAAATTTTCTTGGCCAGTAAAACATTTATTTATATTAGTGCTCGTTAGGAATAGCGTTTTCTGTACGAAAATAAAATTTTGAGGGTGTAGGTTAAATTATTTTTCTTTGTTGACTACAAAGGTTTATTACTGAAAAAAATTAAGCAAAAGACAAATACAATTTTTTTGGAATCTTCTGAAAGAAATATTTTTTTCGATTTTGAAACTGCCCTCCACTTCATAACAGAATGTGACCGATTGCGTCACTCAGATACAGACTTCTGGGTGCAGACACATTCCAAGTATGCAAAGCTGCCTCCGTAAAATGGCCCAACCTTTTGAACTTCATTAGAAGAAGAAAAAGGTTTGAGACAGAGTTGGAGACAACCATTGGTAGTATCATCTTTGGGGTTGGTAAAAAGGATGGTAAATGTTGAATCCAAGATAACTCTTGACTTATCAACCAGCTCGTAGACATCACATTAAGATTATTAAAAAACATTACTTATTCAACACATCTTATCAAACTAACCTGCTTTCCAAACTGGCCATAGCTAAGGTTATTGCTTCCACGTCTAGTGTTATATTACACGATTCACAATCAGTTAACAAAGATTCACACAACTTTAGTATGTCTTTAACTTTAGTACTCTTGTTCTCTATGTCATCCTGTATTGCCTAAAACCAATAAAATAAATCATGAGAAATACAAAACATTAAAATTCAAACAAAAAAGAAACAAAGTTTCAAAAATAGACTACCTTATGTTCCTTTATTTTGCTATTGATGAACTTTTTGCTGGCCTGTTTGAGCACGATGGGTGTAGAGAGTTTGGTTTCCATTTCATGGATCCATACTCGAAGATCATCCATTTCTTCAGCGAGTTTTGGAATACCCTGAATAAAAATAATACACAGGTTAATAATCAAATATAAGGAAAAAAAATTATTTAACACTCAATGCAACTAATTCTTGAGGGATAATTAGGAAAGAGGTGGCAGTGAAGATAAATCAATTATTTTTAATTAAATAAAAGAAAAATTCTAATTGTAATACATTAAAACATTTCAATAAAGGACTATCTACAAGGTGCTCAATTTTGCCCACTATAGAGGGATGTCCCTTATACAGAAGCTGGAAGGAGAAATTACAAGAAAATAAAAACTGATATAATAAAATTGTATTTCATGAATTCTATCAATGATATTGTTTATTATAAACATTTTTGTTTTTGTATTTATTGTTTTGTTGTTGTTTTTGTGCTCTATTGACAATTTAAGATTTTATATTAATGTTGATAATTATCATTTCTGTATTATATATACACTGACAGGCAAATAATTCCACCCACTTGATTTTTTCATGTTTTCATCTAAAAATATTTCTGCTTTGGATTGGTCTATTGTTTTTAATGAATAAATAGGACAATAACGCTTAATCCTTAATTTCAATGAAATGATTCTAGATTCCAATGTTTACTTTCTATGGAATCAAAATGTTTATTCAGTATCATTAGTTCAGTGCCGTTTCTTTCAGCACATTTCTTAGTCTCTGGCTTTTAATTTTTTCAATATTAAGTTTAAAAATGCCTCTTAGTGCTGAGGATGTTGCGCGTAGTGTGGTACTTATTGATAATGGACGTTCCATTAGATATGCAGCTAATGCCATCGGAGTTCCATATGAAACTTTTCGAGACGCTGTCAGGCGTTTTCGGGAAACTGGTTCTTACAATAGAAGGCCCGGTTCTGGACGGCCTAGGGTAACAGAACGACGGGATGACCGGTTTTTGACTTTGAGAATTTTACGAAACCGGTACCTTACCGTTGTTGAAGCGATTCATCAGCTCGAAGAAGTTCGAGGTGTGCAAATTTCTGAACACACCGCTCGGAGAAGATTAAATGAGTATGGATTAATGGCTTTTCGTCCAGTAAGAGGACCAGGGTTGACCAGAACTCACAGAGTAACACGGCTGCTGCTTTTGCTCGAGAACACAGCCATTGGACTATCGACGAATGGAGTGCTGTACTTTTTACAGATAAGTCAAGATTCGATCTCCAGACGGGCGTGAAAGGGTGAAGAGAAGAAGAAACAAAAGATATGCAGCCTGTAATTTTTCCCAGAGCCAACCTTTCCAACATGGTTCCTTAATAGTGTGGGCTGGGATTTCAATGGAGCACCGCACAGAATTGGTTTTTGTTCGTGGAGGGTCTTTGACGGCCATTCGCTATGTAGATGAGATTTTGGAACCCCATGTGTTGCCTATCCTCAACGAAATCGGCGATCGTTCTATTCTAATGCACGATAATGCTCGCCCACATGTCGCCCGCATAGTGCAGACGTTCCTTCAACAGAACAATATTGAGGTTTTAGCCTGACCAGCACGTTCTCCAGATTTGAACCCCATAGAGCATTTAAGGGGTAACCTCGAAAGACGAATAAAAGGGCATGCAACACTTCCTGATACACTGCAGGATCTTGAAAGGGCTCTTCGAGAGGAATGGGCTATCCTCCAGCAAAGGGACATTTCCCGACTGGTGGAATGTATGCCGAGGCGTCTTCAAGAAGTAGTGAAGGCAAGAGGAGGAAACACGCGCTACTAAACGATGATGTAATTAATTTCTTTTAGAATAATAATGATTCGTTTTTCAATTTTTTTTCTCTAATCATTCTTACCCAATCACATTTTGATTATTAAAGGTAAAAAAGATTATAAAATTCCATAAATACTAAGTATTATCTACAAATACCATGTATTATATACAAATACAACTTTTTTTACAAGTGGCAGAAATATTTTTAGATGAAAACATGAAAAAATCAAGTGGGTGAAATTTTTTGCCTGTCAGTGTATATATATATATATGTTGATAATTATTATGCATTATTTTAATCGTTTGATTTTTATGAATTATGATTTGTAAGTTATACTTAACACTTTTATAATATTTATAATGTAGCATAACAAAGAAAAAATATTGTATTACCATAATAAGAAATGTTTATAATACAAAGATAGACTCTATTTGTATGGGTTTCTTCCCTCAAAACAAATAAAGATTAAATAAAAAAATAAATAAAAACGTTTTATTAACTAACGATTTAAACGAAACTAAAAAAACTAAACACTAACGATTAACTAACGAAACGTTTTATTAACGATTTATTAAACATAAAAATAATTTATGTTTTGAAATATATTTTTATTAGGAATAATATATTTTTTGAAGTATGTACACAAACAAATAATTATAAAATTACTTAAACTATTATTTTATAATTTTGTTTGAATTTTGGTTTATTATTTTCAATAATAAACCATTGTAAACGTCCAAAAATTTAACTCCCTTTCAAAATTTGAGGTTTTAGGTTTCACAATACGTATAATTCTAAAATCGAATAAAAAAATGTTGTCTGTCCACAGTCCTTTTGTTTTTCCAAATTAACTTGAAGAGACAACAAAATTATTGTACTTGCTTTAATGTATTTCTTCAAAATTAAAAAAAGAAAACATCAATGGAGCCATTTTTCCCACATAGTAATTTTACAAGAAATATTGTGACCTAAAGTCTGTGCAACTACTAATGCTCTTTCTTTGATCAGGCTTCACATTTCAAAAATTTATTTATCAATGCTTTAAATTGTCAATCATGTAGGAAAACTAACAATGAAAGATTAAAACTATAATCAAAAATTGTTAATAAAGATGTTGAATAACATTATTGTAAATATTTAAGTTCACAGAATATGAATACCACCAGTTTCCTGTTGTTTGTTATAGAAAGGAATCCTTATTCAGAATTTCTCAATACTACAAAATGATTTAAAATTTTATTGACTTAAAGTTATCTGCAATAAAATAAAAATCTTCTAGGAGTAGTTAGTTTCACCGTAATATTTGCCTAAGATTTAAAGAAAGAGAGAACATTTATACCTTAGATATTCCAGTGAGTTTTTCTATAATTCGACTCAAAGACTCCTGAAGAAGAGACCATTCCTCAGTGATCTTTTTGAGAGTATCCTTGTTTCGTATCTCTTTGCCTGTATGCATCAACCAATCAGCTTCGGACCGTTTCAGAGCTACCTCAGCTCGAATTTCCCTCTCGACGACAGAAAGAGCAGAAGCAGCATCGTTAGGAAGAGTGGAAAGCTTATGATTCATTGAGGACAACCAACTTAAAAATCTCAATGCCCTGAAAAAGAAAAATATGTCTAAGCCTTCTATATAACAAGGAAATATTTTTAAATTGAATAACAAAAGTTTTGAATCTCAGAGACTCAAGAGATATGCTTTGTGTCTTGTTTCCTCACATTTGTACAGAAAAGTTACAGGGAAAATGAGTAAGATTAGTAACCTCTATTTTTAATAATTTTAGTTTTCACTAAATCCTCAGTTGAGGTAAACAGTAGATTTGATATGAAGAGGTACAATTCCCATCATAATTATTCATGTGCTATCCTCAAATCTTTTTTGACTAAATTTTCACTGTGTTATAACAACTTTGAATTTCTGTGTCAATAGTAGTTCCCTAATTATATGAACATTAAATAAATTACACGAAGAACTTTATTTTTTATTAGTATTTTCAATTGAGTGCAAATATAATATGGTTAATTAGTTATGTGATATTATGAACAAAAATTGAAATATGAGTTCCCTGTTTCTATGATAAAAAAATACATTGTTAGTTAACATAAAAATAATATCAATAATGTTAAAACAATCTATCGTTTAAGATTAACAATTGGAATAAACCATTGATAAAAATGCTAACTATTGAATCTGAAAATCATCACTGAAATATCATTATCAATTCAGACCAAACAATGAGGATTTATAATTTCCACACTAATACCAGCTTTATGAATATTTGAAGATTTTGTATTTACTCTTTAAAAATACTTAATTACAATTACAATAGCTGGAATGCAGTGTTGGAAATTGTTCATAATTTCATATTTTATAGTTAGCATTTATATCGATGAAATATATGATTTAATATTTGAAAAATGTTTATTTATTTACTAACATAAGAATTTAATCGGTCATGGTTAGTGAATTTGCTATTTGCAATTTTTGTTTTTTTACAAAACGCAAATCTGTACATTTTCGAGTAGGAATTAAGTTAGAAAGGCTTAGACACGGGTGGGATGTAAGGATTCATGGTGGAATTAAGTGTTTGGGCTAATGGGTTCATGTTGTAAGTCGGTCACTGGTGGAAGTTTTTGTAGTGTTATATTTCAGTATCTGAAACCACTTGGATGTCCACATCGTTGTTTAACAAGTCATTTGTCACATAGAAAGGTGTGATATTTTGCAAAACATTTGATTGAAAAGTTTGAATTTTGTGGATGTTAAGACTTTATTGCAATGCTCCATAGCTCTAATTTCGTAAGTTCATAAAGGTTTTTCAATTAATTTTCAGATAGTAAGTTTGTTAGTTAAGGATAATTTGGAATGTCTGTCAAGCAGCCTGGATAACAGTCCAAATCATTTGTTCAGTTGTTTTATTTTCAGTGAAGAATAAGTTCTCCAAGTCAGTCTCTTGTCCAGGTAAAGTCCCTAGTAATGCACTTGTTCTGAAGTAGAGATATGAACATTATCGAAGAAAATCTGTGAGCATGTACCGTGATTTAGTGTAAAAATAATGAAAACACTTTTCGTTTTATTTATTTTTACTTTCCACATTAAAAATTTTAATTCTGCCCGATTAAAAATATGATCAACATGGTCCAGTATGGAAAGAGATGCGATAATTGAGTGTTTGTGAGTTGTAAGTAGTGAAGTATCGTCGACAAATGTTGCTAGTAAAGTCTGGTCATGTTCTGGTAAGCCTGCTGTGAACATTTTGAAAAGTAGATGAACAGAATACATGTAGCAAAATAACAATGGTTCTGAATATTAGAAATTAAAATTGGATTAAATAAATAAGTAGCAGATTATATTTCTTACCTCTGATCATATACTTTGGAAATTTGTAATTTGTCATTAATGACATGTTCGGCGATCGTGAGTTGATGTTCGAATTCATTTTGTTGTTGCGAGAGTAACCAACATCTCTGCGTCATAGTTTTAAGGTCAGTCGGGCTGAGGCAGTCTTTCAAGAGGTCCATCGCGTCTTCAAGAGATTCGACTTCTTTTGACAGTTCTCTTACATTATTTGAAACAGTCTGTAACAAAAGAAAAATTATTTTATCAATGTATTTAAAAAGTAATCAATACACGAAAAATAAAATAACTTACCATGATTGTTTGCAATTTATTTTCCAAATGTTTCGGATCTTCACTATCTACATTAAATTTGTTTTCTTTTATTAGAATGTTTTGTATCTTATCTATTGAATTTTCTACACTTTGAACATGCTTTTCGTACAAATCGATATTACTCTTTACTTTTTCCAGATAATCTTTCCTGTAATAATAGATTAAATTGTTAAAAAATAAATTTAATAGAATAAAATAATTAAATGTTATAATACTAGAGTAATTAAAAGTACCAAGTCAAAAGTGCAGCATGGAGATTTGACAGACGATGGCTAAGAGAAGCTTGTTCAATCTGGAGAGATGATGACACAGATTCATCACAGAAAGGAATTATAGTGAGAAGTTGTTCTTTTAAAGACATTTCCAAGCATTCTCCCTCAGCAATACGCATTAAAAGTTCCTGAAACCAACATTAATATTGTTAAATATAACTAGTTGACTATATAAAAAAAAAAACTAAAAGCGAGCACTAATAAATGTAGCTCAACAGCCATTTTAGCTCTGTAAATATTTAGACACTTTTTTTTCTTTCTTTTAATACATCTATTTTACATTATAAGAATGGTAGAAGAAAAATACCAAAAACAAAAAGCAAGGCAAGAATTACACAGACTTATTTTGGCATTCTTAATTTAGATAGGTCAGATGTTTCAATAATATGAGCAATAATTTTGGTATAACACTTTAAGTCATAGAGGTAAAGAGTTTATTTCTTGTTTTATTCAGTTATAGGGGGCTAAATATAGTTGACCAGTAATAAAAAAAAATTGACATCCTAAAACAAATCTTAACAAGTATTACGTATGACACAAACAAATTTTTGAAGTGCTCTTAAGATTTCAGATATTTAATCATTTCTTATAATTCAATAACGGTACAGTTAAAAACTAAATTACTATTTTATTAAATTTTATATTAAAAAAAAAAATTATAATACTGATTATCTTACCTCTATTTTCGCAATTGTTTTTGCTATGGTTTCGGAATGAATGTATCTCAGTTTTAGTTGGTTTCTTTCTTTCTCCATATTTTTCAACCAATCCATTAGATTTGTTTGGTCCTGTCGATACTTGTCCCAAACAGTAATTCTACTTTCAATCTTTAAATAAAATAAAATAGATTAGTAACATGACAAGAATATTATTAAAGTAAGATAATTTAATGATAATTTTCAAGGGATGAGTGCTGTTAAATGAAGCAGGAGAGTTGAATTTTTATATTTTTTATTAACAGAAAAATAAATGATAAAATAAGAAGAATCTTACCTGCTTTTGTTTTTCCATGATGCTCGCCAAAGTTTCATTGTGCATATTTGTCAAGAGATTGAGCTGTTGAACTGTGTTCTGATCGAGGGCAGAGCTCTCGGCCGGCAGTAATGATTTTTGACTGCTAAGCACTGTGTAGTGAACCTTGAATAGAAAAGAAGAGAATTATTAGGACAAATAATTAATTTTATTTTTGTTGCTATAAATTTTAATTAACAGCAACAAATACCTGGCACAGGTGATTGTGTTCATGAAGTTCATGATAGTGCTGCGGTAATTCGGAGTCCAGGAAATGCCTAACATGAATCAAATAATCTTTCCAAAGATTTACAACGGTTGTGAAATCTTCAGTCTTCGCGAACTGAGATGAGAGTTGATGGTAATTTTTAAAAGTCTGGCGGTATGCTTTCTCCCACAACTATTAAATAAATAAGTTGATTAACAAAAACAAAAAAATTATAAAAAATTATTCAATTTTTTAAAAATCAATTATACCTGTAAGAGGTCATTTAGAGGAACGTCAGGCGCTGAACTACTGGCAATACTGGAGAGTTGAGCATCAGCCTTGCCCAGATCTAACAGGCTGTTCCTCAGGGAAATAAGTTGTTCTGTAGTACTACCTTCAGGGACTCTGTCCAACTTCTGCAAATATAGGAGGATAGAATAATTTTAATTATTTATAATGGTGATAGAATGAGAAACATTAAACAATTTTAATATGCCTACAATGTATTTAATAAAAATATAAGAATCTGTTAGTTTTATTAGTAAGACGTAAATGATTGATTAAATTGCTCAACATTATTTAGATCATATCATATTACAAGAGCGATCTGGGATTAGAGTATTAACGCATGAAGGATAAAAACTAATAATAAACGGCTAGGAGAAACTGGTCAATCTATATCTCATGGTAGGAAGGCAAGGAAATTAAGATGAATGAGACATGCAATTCTGAAGCAATCCATCAGGAAGCCTCTACAGAATAATGAATGCCACAGAATTGTCAATAAAACATGCTGAAAACAAAAAACCAGATGAATGGATAGATACAGCAGAGGTGGAGATTTTAGGTTTAGGCGCCAAAAACTTAGTAAGTATGTAAAGCCAACAGAAAAAGTAAAAAAATAATACTATTATTGTAAGACATTTATGCTTAAAAACAAAAATCTGAACCTCTTACAATAAATGATCTTAAGTTCATTACTTGGTGAGGATTTATTGTTTCCTGACCAACAGTTATGGAAGGAGGTGATTTAGCCAAAACCATGTTTAATAACTTTTCCCTTAGATAAAGGATACCAGTGATCGATCTAATTGATATAACAGAATAAATAATTATTTGCCATAGCTAGACTCGAGCCTGGAATCAATAATACTCTACCTAACTCTTAAACTTTTAGTTAGGTAGAAACATTTATTTGATCGGTTTTCAATTGAATTTTCTAAAATCGACCTAGCCCTTGATCATAAACCATTTAATGTAAATACACTTCAAGCTAGTAATTCGAAAAGTAAAATTATAAGTATATATGAAAAAGAGTCGTGCAGTAGGAAACTGAAACGATCTTATGAAATCCTCAGACAGTATGATTGGCATTGTATTCCAATCGCCTGCTTATATGAGGTTCCACTTTGAGATATATGATATATATATGATTCACTTTGAGGCTGAATGGATCCAGGAAGATCTTATTTTAAAAAAAAAAAATCTTATTTCAGAAAACTTTTGTGCAGTCAGGTCAATTTGGCTTAGGTAAACAATGGCACTGGTTTACACAATAGACAACCTATTTTATTTTAAAATTATTGTTTTTGTTCTAAGAAGTATAAATTATAAAATTAATCATTAAAAATGCCACAGAAAACAATAAATCAATGGAAAAAGATATCAGATATAGTAATTAAAGCTAAAGAGGATTATGAATATATTAATTTAAGTTAAAATTTTATTTTTAAATCATGAATAATCATACTATTACTTTATAATTTTAAGATTTTTCATGTTATTACTTTAAGATTATTGAAACTAAAAGGAGTTGGAAGTTGAACATGCAAACCTAGTTAAAAGAGAAAAATACAGAAGGAGTAATAAGAGAAACGGAGGTGTGACAAGTGAGTGGTGGGGGGAGGTTGCATGCTTTACACAAATTAAAAGAAGTTCCAACTTCAAGGTGCTGGTTGGGATTAGTTTTACTCGAGAAACTCCGATCTATGAGATGTAGAAGCTTTGCGTGAAAACCACTTTTCCGCACCTACAAATGACTAACACTAGTTTTGTTGAAACTTTTGACTTATGACTTAATTTAACAGTTGTTCTGAAATCCTTTTCAGCATCAGTTATTTTCACAGTTGAGGATTTAAATTTAATATAATTTAGTTATATAGCTATTGATATACATTATCAACCTATATTATAAAATATAGACATTATGAAGGGTGATTCTATCATATTTTACAATTAATTCCAAATTAATTTAGAGTTACTAATGCAGACTAATTAAGAAACAATGCTATTTCTTTAAATGAATCAACTTTATAATTCTACTACTTTCTCTATTTGTTCTAATAAAATTATGTAAAAATACACAGAAGACTTATAATAAGCAATTATAAACAAACTATAATTGTACAATCAAGCAAGCACTAGCACACTATAACAATACAAATGTTAATTTTGAAGCTATTACTTTCATATAAAAATAATGTAATAAAAATTAATGCGATAACAGTATCAATAAGAAACTTGCTTGTAAAATAATCTGAGATTGACTATGAAAAATTAAACCACAGTGAAGTATCCGCCCTCACTTAGTTTCGAAAAGACCTAACATCTGAACAACTCATAAACTCCTATACATCTTTTTTTTTTTTACATTAAAATAAAAGTCAGTAACAAGAATAAATTTATAAAAACTTGTTAGAAATCGACTTTGATCAACTAAAAAATTAAATAATTATAGTAAAATAAATACTACCTCCTGTATTGCTTCTATCAGCTGGGTTCTTAATTTTACAGCTGGTTCGACAGGAGGAGGAGATATGATCTCTTTGGCTTCTGCTAATTTTCGAGTCAGCAAATTGACTTCTGGAGCTAATATTCCTTCAATTCCCGTTGCTTGAGCGATTTGATCAGCAAGCTCCTGAACTTGTTTCACAGCCTCCTGTTTTTTCTCCCATTCCTGTAAGTTATGGTTAAAAAATAAAATAAATCCTTATATGCTTATAAAAATGTAGTAGTAATCCACAGGTAATCTCTTTATGATTAGCTTTATGATGGCAAGATAAATATGGAATTTGTAGTATACTAATTAGAACAATAGCATAAAAATAAATATAAATATTAATCATTTCATTTTCAATGGGGCTGTAGACCCCCAAAATTAAATCTTGGATCCGCTAGTGTACCAATATGATAAATGTTGCATTAAATTTTATGGTTAATTTATAGAAATAGTCATTTTATCATAATCTAATTATTTTGTAACATTCAACAACAGAATTTTGAACATATACAGTCTATACTTGACCTCCATGTGTTATATTCGGCTCTAACGGAAATGACAAGATAATTGTAAATCCACCGCTTAACAGAGAGATAAGAGGTATAAATTTACTTTTTTTCTGTTGTATAGTTCGTTTTAGATAACATAACTAAACTATTAAGCTCAAATAGATCAAATATAGTAATTAGTAATTGTAGATAGTTAGTGAGAAATAGAAGATCAATTAGAATGGATAGATTTTTTACTCCATGTTTTTAGTAAAACACATATAATTACTTTAATTTCTAATCATATGAAGGATGCTTTTCCATTTGCTTCTGCCAAGCTTTAAAGTTTAGAACTATATCTTGGTCATTATCAAAAACTGCTTAGAATTTTATAAATTACAAAAAAAATCTAAGCAGATTTGAGATGATCAAAATACAAGTCCGAAACAGAAAGGTAATAAAGATGTGTCAATTCCACTTATATTCATTTAAACCTGAAGGTGTTTTAGGCAAACAATGGGCAATAGTTAGAAATTAGATTTCCCCCAAAATTAGATCCAGGATTTAATTTTGGGGGAAACAGATTTATTTTTTTAATAACAGAAATTAGTCAGGCAGAAAAAAAGTGGTGATTACAGAAATCATAATGCTATTAGAGATGAATTTCATATGTTTTTTATGCTTCTTGATACACGGTTATATTTTGTAGCTGTAGATGCATTAGATAGCCAATTTATTAAAAAGAGAATGTATGTGTTATATTAATAAGTGAATTTTTGTTTAACAGCTTTAACTCAAACTGTTTCTGATGATTTTATTTAAGAATGTTCAAGCTGAATTATGAAAAGCAATCATTAGAATTAGTCTAAATTAAAGCCATATTACAAAAATGGGCTTTTTCTCATCTTTAAAAAATGACAGATGTCCGTCTCTGATATGAGGCCACTCATATGTATTACTAATCCTACTTGCAGAAATTTGTTTTCAACTTGGAAAATACATCTTTTATTTTTTCTTGAAGTTAATAATCAAATTATTTCAAAGTTTTTATTTATATTTTTTTATTACTAACATTGAGTAGATAATGTTCACAGGCAGATCTATAGGGGAGAGGGAAACTTTCAGACTAAAGCCCCTCCCACTAGCGGATCCAGAATTTAATTTTGGGGAGGGGGGAGGCTTCAGCCCGAAATTTTTTTTTTCATAAAAATAACGATAATTACTTTGGAAAAACAGAAAGAAACTAACTATCTATATGAAATGGTGTTTAAGTGATTCCTTAAGTGATTTTAAATGTAATTACACGAACAATAATACTTTAAGAGGTATTTTAAAAAAAAAATTTCCCATAAAACATGGTTATATTTTTCCATTCCATCCCTCCCCCGTAGATCCGCCCGTGGCCCCTCCAAATGGTAAAATATAACCATGTTTTATGGGAAAAAAATTATAAAAAAATCATCTCTCAAAGTATTATTGTTCGTGAAATTACATTTAACAGGACTTCAAGAATCACTTAAACATCATTTCATACAGGTAGTCAGATTCTTTCTTTTTTCAAAGTTAATTATTGTTCTTAAAAGAAAAAAAAGGTTCCGGGCTGAAGCCACCCTCCAAAATTAATTTCTGGATCAGCTAGTGGTAATGTTTAATTATTTCAAATAAAAAAAAAAAAAAAATCGAAGGTTCTTCAGAGAGAGAAGCCATTTTGAAAATATGTTATTAAAACTATTTACCTGTCAGGTTGTTCCAATGAAGAAAGGACCTAGCTGATATTTAAATTTTTTTATTTTACAATGTTGTATCCAGTTGAATCTGAAGTTCTATGTTTTCGAGAAAATAGTAAAAAAAGTATAAAATCCATCATTTAAAATGGTGTCAATTAATTAAAGTCGAAGTTGTAATATCACATTCTTACAACTTACAACTCGATTTAAGAGACTTGTAAATCTGTATACCCATTAATAACTCGAAATTTTTCACGATCCTTGATCAGGTAATAATGCGATGAATAATAATCAACTTCAATGGAGGATATAAACGGATTAACTAGGCTATAAGAACCATTGACAACAACAAGAAAGAAGAAATAAATCTTCAGCTTTTACTCACGCCGTAGAAATTACGTCGAAGTTGTAAAGGGTTCCGAAGCACGCCAATCTTAAATATATATTTTTCTTAACAAACCCATTTTGATGACCTGATTTTCAGAAGAGGTGATAGTTCATTTAAAAATACTGATAGGATCGACAAGTTTTTATAAAATATTATTTTAAAAAATACTTTATATGGGATTAATGATATAGTACGCGGTACAGACCTCTTTTTATCAAATTATTAAGATCCGTCTAAAAACTTCGTAAATAGCTTCATTTTATGATAACTTACATTTTTTTAATTTACGTAAATTTCTGGAAACGGAGAGTTTTCAATCTGGAGATCGGTAAAATTAGTCTATTTAATGAAGAAATGAATACTCACGAACGCCACTTTCAACTGAAATCGTAAGATAATTTGATAAAAAAAAACAGAAAAAAATAGACTAAAAATTGTGGGCCGTTTGGCGAGATCATCGCCATGTCAAAATAACAAGGTTATATAGGCCAAATGGCCAAATATATTTTAAGGCTACCTTTTTCTCGATTTTGTGTTCAAATTATCTTACGATTCCAATACTTCATTTAATTAATTTACGAGAATTTTCGTAAATTAAAAAATTGTAGGTTAGGATAAGATGAAGCCATTATCGAATTTTGAGGTGGTTGTTAATAATTTGATAAGAAAGAGAGGTTTGTACCGCGAATCAATATGCAAAAAACTTTTTTAAAGAATATGTAATATATGTATAATTTTGTTCCTTCAATTTTCAAAAGTATAATATATATATTTATTCTATACATTTAAATTTAATACTTAAGTGAGTGGCTGAATAAATAAATTTATCTTTTTTAATGATGGTCACTGAATCATATTTTAACCACTATATTAATCATGGCATGATAAACCAGTGGTCAAGTAATAGGCAATTATAAATTGGTTTACAATACATTTAAATCAGACAGTTGTTTCAGTTAGGCATTATGTACAGGCTAAGTGATTAATATTTAACTCGAATTGTATATAGCCAATACAGTGTTTTACATAATCACACTAAACAAAAAAATAAATAAATGAATAAATAAAATCGCGAGACAAATGTAAAAGCCATATTAGGGACAGTTTTAATAATAATTATATATCCTTTACCTACATATAAATAAAAAATATAGATGAATTCATGGGAAATTGATTTATAAATTATTAAAAAAAAAAAGAGGTTTATTATAAACATAAGAATTTATAGGTATCTATGTCCATTTAAGTATAGCTACAGTATGTAGATGTATATATACATATTTATTCGCATTTCAACTGTAACTATACTTAAATATCCATAGACACAGTTACTAGAAAAATTTGAGATTCACGTCAAGTTGTGTAAAAAAATATAATTTTTTACTTTTAAAAATTATTAAAACCATTTTTTAAAACGATTTGAGGTGAAACTCAAAATTTTCTCTAATAAACCTCAACTTAATTAATACAGACTTAAACCTTATTTTAAGAAGAAGTTTTCCGATCCGAGAAGTGCGGTATCTGTAATGAAGTTAGATGATAATAAAAATAAAAATAAAAATTGTGAATAATTTATTATTTAAAAAACACAACAACATAATATAGCATAGTTTAGCCGCTCAAATGTCCTCTTTAAATGGTTTTAACAATGGCAAACTTTATTATCATTTAAAGACAATTTTATCTAGTTTACATTGAAGCTATTGTTAATTACTTAAATTAATTATTTCTTTAGTTATCGCTTCCTACTAAACAAAAAATACGGCTTGCTTAAAACACAAAACTTGGATTTCCTACTTTTCTGCTTAAAATTGACCCATTGTTTATATGAACCTTTTCAAACTCTTGGGGACTGCTATCACTCCAATAAAAATTTCCCCCAAACCCCGTGTGTATATATATATATATAGATATATATATATATATTGATTCAAGGTAACAGGAAACGATTAAAGATAAAGCAAAAACATATAACCATAAAAAATTTATAAGGAAAAATTCCTAAAAAAAATTTATGATAGGAAAAAACATTTTTTCTCTCGAATCATTCGACCATGATAACACTCTTTATAACAGTAGGTTAAATGATGCATGGCTATAAATAGATGCCTATTAGCATACGGAATAATAAAACATGTTTACACTAATTCAAATCTTTTAATATCATCCTTCATCTTAACCAAATTCAAAATATTAGTACTAATTATTTGTTTAAATGTAAATAATAACTTTATTATCAATAAGGTGATTTTTCTATTGTTTGGCAAGGACCTTATTGTTCGTTATACATTTTCGAAAACTATTCTTTACTATTTTGCGATCAATAAAAAAATAATTTTGTTATTATAGCTAGCAGAGCTCATTTTCCAATGACCATTTTAGATTACATTGTAACCGCTACCACACACTAAAGAGATTTTAGTTATTATATTTACAGCGTTGAAAACTGAGGTCATGTCAATTAAAATTTGAGATGATTATTATTTTTAAAATAAGAATATGTAAAACAAAAGAAAATTACTTTTTAAGATCATGAGAGTTGAAATGTTCAGTTGGAATAATAACAGAAAGGCGTTAAGGATAAATCTTTAGTTCAAGCAGAATACATCCAACCCTAGATTTCTACATATCAAATTTATGATGTTAGTTCAACTAAAATATAATCATATAATAATTTAATATTATCATATTATATTAAATATAATCAATAAAATTAGTAAATCAATTTATTTGATTCTTAGCTGAACTTAATTTTAAATAAAGACTTTTATTTGTATTTATTTAAAATTCATATTTTTGAGCTTTGGTTGATTTCTACATAACATTGCTCCGTTCTGGACGGTTTAGTGACATGGAATTATGTAAAAGGAAAAAAAAACGGTAATCCATATAACTTTTAGTTTGACTTCCTTTACAACTTTATATCTC